CCTCGCTCTCTCCGAGCTTACATTTACAAGCGTCTCTAAACCTCTGTAAACAGCTCTTTGATTGGTGTAGACCTACTGCCGGTTTCGGAGACCTCTCCTACATTAACATTAGCTGCCCCGCCCATCTCTAAACCTTTATAAGCAGCCTGCCTCAGCAGCTTTCCCCTTCTTTGTTCACCTGATGACGATTGCTTGTGTTGCGATCGAAACGTCGTGATATTATTTTTTCTATCTACCGTGGCTTTACCTAAAGACCCAAAGAATATACCCTACGTATATATACACACATTTTTTTGTTTAAACCTAACATTGTTAGCTTTTCCACGCAAATATTTCATAACATAACTTCACCTCCCTAACCTAGCCTTCCACCGCACAAGTGTGCAATCGCAGATCACTAATAAGGCTGCAGGGAGTAGCAAGAGACCTAACTTTCTAGTGTGGAAACAGAAGTCTGCCTGCATGAAATTGATCATGGAAATGAACAGCAAGTGTTGGAGTCGAGGCATCCCAAGGTCAGTTCAATGACAGCTCGGGCCATCGTAGAGATCTCTGGATAAAGGTAATCCATGTATTATTAACCTGAAGATCAGAATACGATCGTGTTTTATAAACTGCAAGAGGCCAAGCCTGGGAACATTTTCACGAGGACCCAATGGCAATTTAAGTCACTGTGAAAGTCCAGCATTAAGTCAATCAAGTGTCCCAACAATCTAACTTGTCCCGAATGGGTAGCAGTAATGTCACATTTAATAGCATGAAAATGATCCCCATAGAACCCATGCTCACTTTGCACAAGATGGTACTCAGTTTAACAACCTCCAGCGCCCTAACACGTGCTACGTATGTGTAGTGTAATAGCGCCGGCTGGTGCCCAGTAGCGGCTACTGCGGTGGACAAACAGTACACACGACGGTGAGCAGATACACGGTGTGTGTGTCGGAAGGGCGGAGGAACTAGGGCAAGGGTCACGGAAGACCCCATCTGGAAGCCCCTGGAACCTGCTAGTGGGTTCGAGAAGGGAGCTGACAGCGGGAGCTCAGGGCTGCCGGTTCTGTGAGTGGACTCGTCTCGTTGTCACCGTCTTCGTCGCTGCCGTCTTCGCTAGATATTGCGCAGCCAGACAGTTGTTGGCTGTCTCGGTCAGCGCCATCAGTGTTACACGGTCAGGGTTGTGTTTTGGCTCGGCCAGACGACCAGTGAGAGTGCGAGGACGAACCTGTGAAGTGTGAAGTTAATAAAGAAGGTGCCTCCTGGAAACCCTGGTCTCCGAATCACTGACACTATATATTGTATGCATGTTGAACTTCTTCCGCACCACACATAGTCAACCGTGATGATCGGAGATGCGGGGTAAGGACAATAAACTCGACACAAAGCAGTGTAGGATGTTTTTACGGTTACAATATTTCACGAGGCGGAATGTAAAAATGTTTTATTTCTTGCCCAATTGTGCCACAAACAGCACACTTAAAAAATGCATGTTTAACGTGTTGCCATTTATAAAACTGAGTCGATGTACCCACGATCCTCCCAAATACCATCCTAAACATGAAGTTAAACAGTGCAACTGTTTTAATATTTGTTGCTTGCGACGGCAGTCAAGTGGAGTTCATAAAACGCCGCTTTAATATCGGCTGTAAAGCGGAGAGCGAGCTCGGGTTGTGTTTGTAACGCACGTAAAGTGGGAGTCGTCGATTGTAGCGTCGTCAATTTCTCTGGAATTAAAAAAAACAAATTCTGGCAGTGGTGTGCTAGGATTAAAAGTATGATTTTAAATTAGGAAAATATATGAAAGCTACGTTACCTAATTCTTCATGCTTTTTTTTTAGAATGTCTATTTGTGTCAGCTTCAGCGGGCTTGACATTCTTATTCACACATTTGGCCTTCGACACGCTCCAGACCAGCGAGTCCTGATCGCCTCCTTAGCTCCCTGGTAGACGATCGAAGGTCGGCAGCCGCACAACGCCAGTTCCTTCCGCTAACACGGCTGTGCTGGGGCCGCACGCGCCGTGGAGAACACCCACAATCACCCGGGGGGGCCCAGACGAGTTGCCCCAAAGAGACGTCCTGTTTTACCTTTGCCAATATTATTCTGTTTATGATGGTTTAATTTATCCAGGAAAACATACTTTACACTCTTAAAACAGATTTCACCCGGAAGTCGCAAAGTGCTGTTACAGGGCTAAAAACTGAATTAAATGATTCATTAAACTAAATAAAACCGAAATAGCACGCAGACTCGTGATAGCAGCACTCCACCAAGTAAAATAAAACAAACGGCATGTGGGATTTAAACAAGCCGAGACTGAGCCGAGCGATTATCTGGTGGAAGGAATTCCACCAGATTTTGTAATTTTCTCTGCAATTTCCGACCATTTCCGCCCCCAGCCTGGGTTGGACACCTGTGAAGCACAGCTTGCAGCTCCATCGGGTACTTCCAGCGGAGACGAGAATGTCTGCAAGCAGTGCCAGGTTATCCTCGTAGCAAAAGCAGCATAATGCTACGGGCCCCGCACTTTCAAGAGCCCCGCGCTAAATGCTTTCAAGCTATCAATTCCGTTTCAGTGATTCTGCACTTGCTCTATTACTATAGTACTATTCTGGGTGTTTACGGTTAGCGATTTGTTGTATCTGGCTGTATAGCAAATGAAAAAATACAATTACTTTACTACACATGTAAAAAAATTGTTTTAATATTTACGTGTTTTTTTTAGGGCCCCTTTAATAACATACTACAGGCCCTGCATTAGCTTAATCCGGCACTGTGTACAAGACGACACCTTCGGAGGCTAAGCCACACGTAAGGGCACCAAACAGAACTCTGGGTCACCGCCAAGAAATCTACAACACTGGCAAAGGGCGGTCGGGGGAAACTCCGTGGCCCTCTCCAGGAGAGGGGGTGGGAGCTGCCACACAACTCAAATTGCCATGTGCTGAACTGTGATCAAGACTTCACCACTACCGAGTGTGTTGACGGCCGCTGTGATTAACCGAGTGCCACGTGAGTAAGAAAGGCCAAAAGGGTGGGTTGAGTGGAATCGCATCCTTAGGTATTTCTTGGTACACAACAATAAATGCATTTTGTATTGTGATTTGCTGAAAACGTAATGTTATGCAACTATTGCAATACAGACACAAGAGTTAATTCTATGTTGCAACGTGTCAACATTTGCAACATGACGATTGATTCAATCAAATCGATTCTTATACTCACATTACATGTGTATCACACCTGATTGCAATTTATGTAAATTATATACAAATTATACATTTATTTTACCTTCAAGGTAACGGAGTAAACAAAACTGTACAAAGGAGATGCAACAAGAAATTAAATGGTAACAATTATTTAAAAAATAAAATAACCCGATTATTTAAAAAAATCTGAATCTCAAATATGACCAATCACCTGCGGGGAGAATCGCTTTCCGGGTAAGGTTACAATCAGAGGCACTGCTTACGCTAGCTAACACCATCACGTACAGAAGCTGTTACAAATGGACAGTGTGCAACTACAGTGAGGGAAAAAAGTATTTGATCCCCTGCTGATTTTGGACGTTTGCCCACTGACAAAGAAATGATCAGTCTATAATTTTAATGGTGGGTTTATTTGAAGTGAGAGACAGAATAACAACAAAAAAATCCAGAAAAACGCATGTCAAAAATGTTATAAATTGATTTGCATTTTAATGAGGGAAATAAGTATTTGACCCCTCTGCAAAACATGACTTAGTACTTGGTGGCAAAACCCCTGTTGACAATCACAGAGGTCAGACGTTTCTTGTAGTTGGCCACCAGGTTTGCACACATCTCAGGAGGAATTTTGTCCCACTCATCTTTGCAGATCTACTCCAAGTCATTAAGGTTTCGAGGCTGACGTTTGGCAACTCGAACCTTCAGCTCCCTCCACAGATTTTCTATGGGATTAAGGTCTGGAGACTGGCTAGGCCACTCCAAGACCTTAATGTGCTTCTTCTTGAGCCACTCCTTTGTTGCCTTGGCCGTGTGTTTTGGGTCATTATCATGCTGGAATACCCATCCACGACCCATTTTCAATGCCCTGGCTGAGGGAAGGAGATTCTCACCCAAGATTTGACGGTACATGGCCCCGTCCATCGTCCCTTTGATGCGGTGAAGTTGTCCTGTCCCATTAGCAGACAAACACCCCCAAAGCATAATGTTTCCACCTCCATGTTTGACGGTGGGGATGGTGTTCTTGGGGTCATAGGCAGAATTCCTCCTCCTCCAAACACAGCGAGTTGAGTTGATGCCAAAGAGCTCCATTTTGGTCTCATCTGAACACAACACTTTCACCCAGTTGTCCTCTGAATTATTCAGATGTTCATTGGCAAACTTCAGACGGGCATGTATATGTGCTTTCTTGAGCAGGGGGACCTTGCGGGCGCTGCAGGACTTCAGTCCTTCACGGCGTAGTGTGTTACCAATTGTTTTCTTGGTGACTATGGTCCCAGCTACCTGGAGATTATTGACATGATCCTCCCGTGTAGTTCTGGGCTGATTCCTCACCGTTCTCATGATCATTGCAACTCCACGAGGTGAGATCTTGCATGGAGCCCCAGGCCGAGGGAGATTGACAGTTCTTTAGTGTTTCTTCCATTTGCGAATAATCGCACCAACTGTTGTCACCTTCTCACCAAGCTGCTTGGCAATGGTCTTGTAGCCCATTCCAGCCTTGTGTAGGTCTACAATCTTGTCCCTGACATCCTTGGAGAGCTCTTTGGTATTGGCCATGGTGGAGAGTTTGGAATCTGATTGCTTTTGTGGACAGGTGTCTTTTATACAGGTAACAAGCTGAGATTAGGAGCACTCCCTTTAAGAGTGTGCTCCTAATCTCAGCTCGTTACCTGTATAAAAGACACCTGGGAGCCAGAAATCTTTCAATTGAGAAGGGGTCAAATACTTATTTCCCTCATTAAAATGCTAATCAATTTATACCATTTTTGACAAGCGTTTTTCTGGATTTTTGTGTTGTTATTCTGTCTCTCGCTGTTCAAATAAACCTACCATTAAAATTATAGACTGACCATTTCTTTGTCAGTGGGCAAATGTACAAAATCAGCAGGAGATCAAATACTTTTTTCCCTCACTGTATGTGACCAGCACAGAGAACATCGGAGCGGGACCTTCGTCGGCGTACGCCCCTGGGCACACGTGTGGCACCGCACGGGGCGGCGTGGGGGGGGGTGCTACAGCAGGGTGCACACGCTGCTGCCTCCTCGAGAGCAGCCCTGGCTCACGCCGCCGCCCAGCCGGGTCACCATGGACACGGAGCGGGGGCCACCGGGCCGCTTCGAGGAGAGGGCGTGAGGCCGCGGTGAAGGCTCCTCCAGGCGGCCCCAGCGAGAGGCCGGCTCGCACCTACACGGGGGGGGCACACACGGGGGGGGGGGGGCACACACGCGGAGGACAGCAACGCGATGTGGATCAACGCGGCGTCTAAAAGTCAAGACGCTCAACAGAAACCGTGGGCTTGAGCCTGGATTTACACTGTGGCGGGGAGTCAGACAGCACAGGTGGGAGGGTTCACTGGACCCATGAAGCTTGCTAATAAAATACAAGTCAGGGTGCTAAACTGAGATTGCTGTGGTCTGACGTGCGAGGCGTCTCCGAGCAAGCAGGCGGATTCATTCATTGCGGGGATCTTGTCTTGAGACGCGTGCGTGCGAGCACTCACCCTGGCGCAGGGAAAGGCACCATTTCATTGCCCTGGATGAGCACGTCGCCCGCGCTGCTCAGCTCGATGTGCAGCGCCTCGTACCCCGTGCTCTGGAAGAGGAGGTTGGCCTGGATGGTCCCGCGCGTGCGTTCGAACACCGCCATCGCATAGCGGTGAAGGGACAGCACGCGGTTCTTTAGCACCTGCGAAAGACAGCATCCAGAGAGCGCGGCCCAAAGGGATGTATTGCATGTGACGTTTCAATAACTTGTGTTTGCCTTTCATTGTCCAGTGCAGGGGTTGGCAACGTTTGCAAGAAGAAGAACCATTTTCTTTTTTACCAAAATAGTTGAAGAGCTGCATGCCACGCAGAGCCGCTTGCACGCAAACACAGCAGCAGGTGTACAGATGACAAATTCTGACTTAAATAAACTAAGTAGGCGATGGAATAAACAAAATAGGTTATGGAATCAACTGCGTCTTTAGTTTTTTCCCCCCTTTAGTTATGCTTTAACAATACAGTTTGTTGTAAAATCTGTAGTCACCAAGACATTCCATAGTGAGCCATTCCCTGCCACATTTAATACATTATTTCTACGTTCACTTATGTTTAAGATTTTACTTTTTTTTTTTTACCGCCGGCTGCCCGCAAGAGAGCAGCCAAAGAGCCGCATGCGGCTCCAGCTTGCCGACCCCTGGCCCAGTGCAATGAATCACGGAGGGCACCTCCTCCTGCTGCTGCTCGACGTGGTGTAGCACGCGAGTCAGAGGGGACTCCTCGTGCGTGCTTCATTGCTCATCTCGGTTGGTTTCTTCATGGCCCTGAGACAAGTTGTCAAACTTTCACATCCCCGCGTGGTGAGCAGAGGATGAGTAACCACAACGTGGCTCACATTTTACTAACATCAGAAGGATGATGATTTCCATCACAGATAAAATAGTTAAAAATCTTAAAGCTCTCATTCCACAAGACCTAAATAGAATATTTTACTAAAATAATACTCAGTTGTTTTTGTTTCTAAACCACACTGCACTGCATTAGTTTTAGCGACAGGATGGCAGAGTGGTAACATTTGCGCCTCGATTCCTGGCTCAGGCACCTTGCTATCAGCTTGTATGTTCTTCCCCTGTTCTGCATGGATCTCCGCTGGATTCACCAGCTTCCTCAGAATAAACACTTGCAATGTAACTGGCATCGGCCAAACATCCCGACGCCGAAATTTACTCAATCGGCATTACACATAGCGACAACTCTTCATGCTGCAAACACTTGGCAGGAATCTGCCGACTCTCAAAAACGTGGCGTGACTGGATAAACAATGTCCATAACACGTAAGTCCATGGCAAGACTGCGTGCGACCGCCCACCAGCATGCGTGCATCCTGGGCCAGGCGCAGGCCACACCCACGACTGGTCACGACGTCGTTCTCGATGAGGCTTCCCTCGCCGCACGACTCGATGCCGTGCCCGGTGTTGTGGTAGACGCCGTTGCCCTGCAGCTCCACCTTGCAGCCGGGCCGCACGCTGACGCCCCCGCGGCCGTTCCAGCTCACGTTGTTGCTGGCGATGCGTGCCAGCGCCGTGCTCTTATGCACGGCCACGCCGCACTCCTCGTTGCAGTGCAACGCGTTCCAGGCGACCGTCAGCGACTCGCTGCTCTTCACGAACACCCCTGCCCCTGCAGGCGACGCAGCGTTGTCAACATTTTACAACGTTTGACGAGCACATAGGCTTGGCAGAGCGCGTGCAATGACAATTAGTCCGTCGCGATACAAAAAAATGTTATTTCATATTTCAAAGCAGTCATTGTATCTTTGAATGTAAATGTGATATCAACCAAAGGTCGTGTTTAGTATTCTTTAATTTATTTCTGACACAATCTGAAAATATATCACTTGGGAGAGGTTGGTGGAAGCTGATTTTGTGCAAGGCTGAGAGAATGGAGGTGGAATACGAGATGTAGTCCTCCACGTTCTATCAGCATTGTCAACATACACAACCATCACATCACTCGGCCTCCCTCCACCCACACTCAACAGTCATCGGGTGCAGGATGTTTCAACGAAGGGACGTGGCCTTCAAGGTGCCATGTACCGACGAGCCACACACAATCGTGCAACGCATGGCAGCTTCGGCTTACCCTACAAAAACCCAAAATGTATTCAAATCTTGCCTTTTGCATTTACTCCTGAATTCCACAATATATAAAAATTCCCCGCACCTCCGATTAGCACGGTTGGCTACGTACGACCCAAAAGAAGTTCAACATACATACATGCATACAGGCAGGGCCGGATTAAGGCACGGGGCTTTAGGGGCTGCAGCCCAGGGGGCCTCCACCAGCTGGAGGGCCTCCAGAGATGAAGTGAAAAGTTATTTCATTTGTGAATTCTGAATTGTATTTGTTGTCAGCCTTGTAAAAATAAATTGTATTGTCTTTAACTTTGTTTTCCTTTTGAAAGTATTCCTGGGGGCATCACAGTACCTGTAGCCCAGGGGCCTACAACATCTTAATCTGGCCCTGCATACAGTACATACGTAGAGTTATAAAGCACCTGCGTTGTAGAGCATGTTGTTGTACTCCAGGATGGTGGTGGTGATGGCTGCGTGGCCACCGCGCCGCTCCGCCTCCTCCAGCGGGTCGCCGTCCCCTTCCCAGCTCAGCAGCTCCGCGTCGTCGCCATGCGGGCCCTCCCCTTCGGCGCGGTACAGCGCCTGGCCGCCATGCGCCTCCACGGGACCTTCCTTGCGGCAGAAGACGGCGGCCCCGTGCAGGCCGTTGTGCGCGATCACGTTCCCCAGAACGTGGGGTGTGCCCGACGCCATGATCCACACTCCACAGCCCTTGTTTTCTGCAGCATAGCGACGCACGCTGGTAAATTGAACACGTAGTAGCAGGCTTTCGCGACCAATATTATCCATGCTGAAGTGAGTTTTTTATGGGTTAGATCTCGTGAATATGTAGTGAGTCCAACCGAGTCGCAGATGTTATCTTAGGATTCACACTATTTATTTACACAACGGTACGTAACATAACACAATCTACACTAGGGTCTCGAACGTCCATCTAACCACGCAGAACTAGACACGGTTCACTATCCCGGTCCGGACCGCAAGCTGGGTCCCGGACCGTGTGGCTAGAGGCTTCTTTTCCAATGACGTGGATCTTCTTGACACCAGCACACGAAAAACCTCGAGCTCCTCACGGGGCCCCCGTTATATCGGCCTGGGCTGGGGCTGGCTCCGCCCCTCTCCCCGCCCACCTTCTAGATCTCTCCAGCTCTTTCCCGAAGGCTCCCGAGAGCTCTTTTATACCACGTGACCGCCCCGCGGCCCCCGTCCACCGGTGCCCCCCCCCCCCCTCCAACATCATCTGGTCACGTGTCAGCAGGTCAACCAGCGTATCATGCCCCAACGTAACCCTGGCTGGCTGACTCTCCCTCTCGCTCCCTCACCGGGAGCCCGCACCGCACACTGTACGTGGTGCTTCCGTGCTCACCAGCGCTCACCAAATCCCTGCTAGGGCTGGTACTACGCCCAGTAACCCGGGCTGCCCATAATGACAATACATTACCCGCCGTGGCTTCGCAAGCCCCGGCACCACACAGTGACATTCACAGTCACTACAAATACATAGACGCGTCATTAAACCCGCCACCACCCGACACAGCCAATTAGTGAGTTTTGTCACGTAAACAAAACGTGCCAATTAGTTACTACTTCAGCACACCGGTGCGTTGGAGGGTAAACCCACAACATTCATGGGTGTGACAAATAAGAGAGGCAATAAGAATGAGAAGATATACGAGTTAGACATTGGGACGTGAGATGGAAAATAAAAATGCGTAAAACAATACAATTAAGACAAAACAAAGAGAAAAATGCAAACAAGACGGACAGCAAATGGGACACAATACGAGACACAAGTATGGACTCTGCAACAACCGTCTCACTTGTGAAGTTTTATCGAGTGAGTACCTTTCCAAATACAGTAAAACCTTGGATTGATTTGATAAACGAGCGAGGTCTTGCAATACGAGTAGTACGTATACGCTTTGTCTGCCGAGCGTCACGTGATCACAACTGATATACGAGTGCTTTGGATTACAAACACGTTTCCGGAACGAATTATGCTCGCAATCCAAGGTTTTACTGAATGTGCAAACTGCATATAAATTCACTTTGCCAATCGTTCGTTCCCCTTGCTTTCACAATTTACCCAAATGTTTACAATGCCCTGAGATACGGTCGCATTTACGCTCTTTATAAAGTCATATTACTTCTGTAAACATCATCTCAAGCTTTTCTGTACAGCCTGTCCACATTTTATGTCACCGTAATGTTTAATGGACAATAAATTTGAGCTTGATTGGGTGCTTTCGTGACTGCAGGAATTACTCTTTGGTTTTTTCGGTAAAGTCACGTAGAAATAATAAAAAATAAAATTATATAATAGCATACGACGTTTCGATTGCAACACAAGCAATCATCATCAGGTACAGAAGAGCTAAATTTAAGAGAGGAAACACATCACACAGGGGGCAGTCGCAGCCCCCTGTGTGACAACTCGTGCCCTCTACCCGCACCGTCCTTTGATACGTGCTCTCTTCATGCTAATTTGTGTCCCATTGTCTCTGAGTCCCAGCCCCACCGTCTCTGTCTATTTAAGGCCTCGGCACAGAGATGCGGCTTTACTTCTTCACTGTGTGCCAGTCTCTCCCCATATGTCTCTTTACGGTCTGTGTTCCATCACTCTCTTAAATTTCACACTTAACTTACAATTTAGCAATCTTTGAAATAGCGGAATCTACCAGACCATGCGTTAATTGTGTTTTAACCGACCGTCTGTGTTGCTTTATATAGTTTCCAAATTTTGCTAAACCCTGTTTGATTTAGTGTGCTCCGTCTCTCTCTCTGTGTCCCCTGGTGTGTCTGTGTTAATTCCCTCTACTTAGGGTCTGTATATATATCTGCGGTTATGTGTTTCCTCTCTCTCTTAAATTTAGCTCTTCTGTACCTGATGATGATTGCTTGTGTTGCAATCGAGACGTCGTATGCTATTATATAATTTTATTTTTTATTATTTCTACGTGACTTTACCGAAAAAACCAAAGAGTAAGAAATTTGAGGTTTCAGAGTTTCACGTCCGCAAACGGTTCACCATTATGTCCAAACACTGGTTGTAGTTCTGTTCTTAATCAAATGGCAGGCTCCTGGCTTGTGCATGTCAATAAACGTAAAAGTATCCCCATACTAAAATAGGTTGGGCAGGGCTTATGACCTTTGTTGGCATACGTTCCAGCCCTGTCAATGTAAGTGGTGGGCTGCTGAATTTCAAAGGAAAAATTGTCGTCATTTTATTTTTCCCAACATTTAACTAAAGCGGAATGATTCGTTTTGAAAAGCCAGGTGTGTGGTAAAAAGGTTTCCAAATCTGTGTCCTATTGCTTAAATTGGAAGGGCACCATACTTGTTTGACAGGGTCAGCCTGCCAGCTGGTGGAGAAGTAATACTACACTCCTAGAACCTGACGGGGTTCGGAATGCTTCACTATTTTTACCATCTAATTGCAGTTCTTTCTCCAGCTCTTTAATGTTCTAAACCTGTCACACATATTTCATATTAACTTTCTTCTGCTGCCGTCTCTCGACGATTATGCTTGTTTTCATATTGGCAACCAAATACTAAATGCAGTGCCACTCTCCGCCCTACAAAAGCCATGACTTGTCACCACTTAGTTATTCACTGTTTGTCTCATGGGTTTGGCCTTCCACAAAGCTCATGGCCCACCCTAAACCGCATCCACTGCACAAACCATAGCAGATGTGGATAACTGACGCACAAATGGAAAATGAAATACTTTCTAGTGTGCGACTGTGGTCATCCAGAACAGGATGACCGTAACAATGTATGACGGCGTAATGCCCGATGCACAAATACAACGGAGGCATCGCAGCGATGTACTCCCATGCTTCTGATGCGGTTATCTGGCTTGACCGCCTGAATGTGAAATTGTAGCTGTTGCTCTGCATCTACATCAGCAGCCATACAGAATAAAGGGAGGTGGAAGTCCCCCCTGTTGTATTCTGCCACGTCCTCCCATGCGGTCTCCCTGGCGCTCACCCCGGACGAAATATGGAGGCCAGGTGGCTGGTAAATACGACACAAGTAAAAATGGCACGAGTGAAAACTAGGAAAAAATAATATTTGAAGCTTTCGTGACTGCAGGAATTACTCTTTGGTTCTTTCGGTAAAGTGACGTAGAAAATAAAATCAAACAGTAATAGAAAACGACGTTTTAGTTGCAACAAAAGCAACCATCATCAGGTAAGAATGAATGATAAAACACAGACACGGGAACAACAGCACAGGCAGATACACATGCAGAGAGAGAGTCACACAAAGACACACCGAGCGAGACACACACCAATGTGTTGTTTGCTTGTGTTGCAACCGAAAGGTCGTATTATATTATTATTTGATTTGATTTTCTACGTGACTTTACCCAAATAACCAAAGAGTAGGAAAAAAGCACAATACTCATGAGGCTTAGGGTTAGTCATCTCTTTCATGCAGATATGTACATAACTGTTGGTACAGTACTCATAACTGTTAGCAGAATACAGTGAAACCTTGGATTGCGAGTAACCTGGTCTGCGAGTGTTTTGCAAGACGAGCAAAAATGTTAAATACATTTTAACTTGATAAACGAGCGAGGTCTTGCAATACGAGCAGTACGTACACAGTATACGCTTTGTCTGCCGAGCGTCACGTGATCACAACCGAGCCAATGGTTCTTCTCTCTCTCGCTGCGGGATTGTGGGTAATCGTCTCATGCTCGGTCTCAGTCGGCGTGCCTCACTCGTATAGTCAACATCCGTGCGAGCGTATACTGTTTACTACAGTACTACAGTGTTGTGACCACGTGTATACTGTTTACTACAGTACTATAGTGTTGTGACCACGTGTATACTGTTTACTACAGTACATTAGTGTTGTGACCACGTGTATACTGTTAATACAGTACTATAGTGTTGTGACCACGTGTGTGTGAGTAAAGCATTTTTTTAGTTTGTGTCCCAAGTGTAGTGACTGTTCTTTAGTATCTGTACTGCAAGTGAAAGTCGTCCTACACAATAACCCTCCTCCTCCTCTCTCGTCTCTCTCACACCAGCCACGATTAAATGTAATTAATATATTTGATTACTTTATATTAAATTGAAATAATACAAATGTAAAAAGGTATTTTGTATTAATCATTTTTATATGAATACAGTATTTTTGGGTTGTGGAACGAATAATCAGAGTTTCCATTATTTATTATGGGGAAATTCACTTTGATATACAAGTGCTTTGGATTACGAGCACGTTTCCGGAACGAATTATGCTCGCAATCCAAGGTTTCACTGTACTTAGAACTGTTAGTACAGTCCCGTTTAATTGTGCCCTGGTTTTCACTCGTGCCATTTTTATCGAAGGCCGTAATGACCAAGCTCAGCTGCAAAAACAACACGCCTCGTTGATCACCAGCGCCACTAAACTTGTCGAGGGTCAGGAAATTCCTCATCCCAAATGACAAAGTCCATCTGGGCAACAATGCGAAAAAAACCTGAACTATTTTCGTGACTTAAAGCTTTCGTGACTGCTGGAATTCATACTCTTTGGGTCTTTTAGGTAAAGCTACGTAGATGGAAAAATATTTTTTTTAAATCACGACGTTTCGATCGCAACACGAACAATCGTCTTCAGGTGAAAAAATACAGCAGGAGAACTGCTGAGGCAGGAGAAATATAGCGAGATAACTACTACAGCAAGAGGTTATAAAGGTTTGAGATGGGTGCAACCCAAGGGTAAGTGAGCGGCGCTAGAGATGGAATTGGCATGTAAATGTAAGATCGGAGAGCCTTAGAAACCTCACGACTACGGTGCTGAAGAGGCGGTCATTGTATTGCAAGAGATTAGCATGTCAATGTGAGACAGCTCCCGCAGCAGCGGCTGTGTTAATGAGAAGATTGGCAAGTCAGCGTCAGAGAACCGGGCACAACGCCACCTCGTGGGCAACAATAGCTGCGGCGTTGGCCGTTGCACTGTGACAGACCAGCATGTCAATGTACTGTGACAGACCAGCATGTCAACGTACTGTGAGAGACCAGCATGTCAACGTACTGTGAGAGACCAGCATGTCAATGTACTGTGAGAGACCAGCATGTCAACGCAAGAGAACCACCGCAACGGTGGCCGTGCCAGTGAGACATTCAGCCTATTAAACAACGAGAACCACCGCCACATCGAGGAAAAGGGAAGAGCGGCTATGTTAGTGAGACATTTAGCCTGTTAATGTAAAGACATTTAACAAGGTAATGTAACTCAGAGAGTCGTAAATAACTGCTAACATCGGTAGGGAGGATGGAAGCATCACAGCCAGTGATGACTTTATCTGGTTAATAACATCCTTCCAATGATTGCTCAGTTTGTACCCATCTTCTCGGTTGAAATTGTGTCTGTGTTTATATATCTGGATGGCTTCATGAACAAATCTTTGTTGATAACCAGTGGGTTTGCATAGTACCTTCGTCTTGGAGAAATCTATTTCAACAATGATCAGCAATGGCCGAGGTATTGATCCTACCATGTTTCAGATCCGCCTTGTGCTCACGAACATGGTCCGAGACATGTCGCTTAGTTTCCCAATGTAACTACTGCCGCAGACACAGCTTAGTTTGTAGACACCGGGGTATTGCATGTCAGGGATCACATCCTTCGCAGATGGGATCAGATCATACATTTTATGTACTGTGTTGAATCGAACCTGGATCTTGTGTTTGCTCATGATTTTGGAAATATTTTTGGTGACCCCTGCTATGTATGGCAAGGTGATGGTTTTGATTGGGTCCTCAGATGGTTCCAAACGGTTGGGGTGATAGCTTTACGGATTGTGGAGTCCAAATATCCATTCATCTTGAGGGCTTGGTATACGTGCTCCAATTTCCCTGACTAGGTGGTGATGGTCGGAAATGCAACGAGCCCTATGGTGTAGAATTGATGACGGAATTCTTCTGGGCTGGATGGTGGTGGGAGTCAGGTTTTAGATAGGCATCCGTGTGGGTAGCTTTCCTGTAGACAGTGTCCCAATGAGCCATCTGGTCTCTTTTCGATCAAAACATCCAAGAATGGTAACTTGCTGTCCTTTTCCACTTCCATGGTGAATTTGATGGCTGGGTGTATGGAACTGATGTGGTTGAAAAATTGGTTCAGTGCTACTGTAGCAGGCCATGTGGCCAGATGACAAACGTGTCATCTATGTATCTCTTCCACAAGGAAGGACGTAGGATGGATGCCTGGATGGCATCTGTCTCAAATTGTTCCATTAAAACATTGGCTACCAATGGAGATAAGGGAGAACCCATTGGGGTACCTTCAACTTGTTTGTAGTATGTACGATTCCAGGTGAAGTAAGTGTTGGTGAGGCAGTGTCTCACCAGGGCCGGTACATCAGCATTCAGTCCTTGTTGGACCAAATCTTCAATGATTGCAATGGTGTCAGGCACAGGAACTTTGGGAAACAAAGAAACTACATCGAAACTGACAAGTAAATCACCTGGAGATAGTGAGATGTCTTTAATTAGAGATACCAAGTGAGCTGAATTAAGTACAGCTGAGGTGGCCTTGCCAGTGAATGGAATGGAAGCAAGGTCTCGGACAGAAATCGGACCAGTTTGTAGGTGGGTGAGTCCAATGGTGGAGCCAGGATTTTCAGGTAGAGGGGGCAACCCCTCCAGCAATGAAAAATGATAGTTGTTAGTAAGTAAGGACTTGTCCCTTGCTTTTTATTCGACGCGTGTGCGGCGATGGCGCAGCCATCGATCGAGGGTCGAATTCGAACCGTTCGCTGAAGGTGAATGCCTTCAGGGAAGTCGTGTACTGTATACGCAACTGCGCACAATTCTGTGAGTCACTTATAACTGCTTTGCTGTTACTTATGTCCAATTATGGACTCGGACTATTGTCCTATCATCTCATAGAGTCCCTGGCATGTAATAATATGCTACACAGTGGCAGTGGGGGTCGCAAATGCCGATTTATTACTAATAAACCCCAATGATCCGATCGAAATCCCTAATTTCGATCAGATCATTGGGGGGGCACGTGCCACCCCACCCCCCCCCCCCCCCCCCACTGGCTCTGCCAGTGGGTGAGTCAATGGTGGAGACGATAAGACAGAGTGGTGTACCTTCTTTATGGATTTTTGGTAAGCCATAAAATCTGAGTGGTCTAGCAGCAGAGGATTTTAGAGAGAGCCGCTTGGTTGGTTCGATTAAAGATGTCGAATCAGTGATGATGTTGTTGGTTTTCGTAACCGGGCGGTTGGTAGGATCTCTATTGATTTTGGTATAGCTGCCTCTTCAGGCTCTCCGATCTTACATTTACATGCAAATTCCATCTTTAGCCGCGCCCACTTACCCTTGGGTTCCACCCATCTCAAACCTATATAACCTTTGGCTGCAGCAGCTCTCCCGCTATATATCTCCTGCCTCAGCAGTCCGCCTGCTGTATTTTTTCACCTGAAGACGATTGCTTGTGTTGCGATCGAAACGTCGTGATTTTTATTTTTCTATCTACTTGACTTTACTGAAAGACCCAAAGAGTATGAACTATTTTCCACAACACGCCCGCACAGTTGTATGGCACCCACTACACTGGTCTACAGAGTTCAAGACCCAGGTCCTTGTGGTTCCTCACTCTGGAGAACACGAGTAGTCGCCACGGCATAGCACGAGCAGAAGAGGCCCAGGGTGCACGATGGCTGTGAACTTGCACTGTCTCTGTGTCTCCTGTCTCTCTTTGTCTCTGTCTCACGCTATAGGTATCTCTCTGTTTCATTTGGTCTCTGTGTCTCTCTGTCTCTCTTTGTCTCTGTCTCACGCTATAGCTATCTCTCTGTTTAATTTGGTCTCTGTGTCTCTCTGTCTCACTTGGTCTATGTCGCTCTGTCTAACTCTGTTGATGTCTCTCTGTATCACTCGGTCTCTGTGTCTCTCTCAAGTCTCTTTGTCTCCATCTCACTGGAGGCTTTGTATCTCTGTATCACAGTCACTGTGTCGTTCTGTCTCACTCGGACTCTGTGCCTATCTATCACTGTCACTGTCTCTTTGTCTCTGTGTCCACCCGTCTCACTCTGTCTTGGTCTCTGTCTCACACTGTCTCTGTATCCAATCCTCTGGTCAAGCGCTGAACTGACACTTTTACACTGAGCATGTGAGGCCGTGCCGCCTCATGAGCTGGCACAGGAGGCAAAGGTGCTCCAGATGTTGTTCGAAGAAGTTGGGGAAAATGACATCATTGATGTACACATAACGGCAGCTTCCCAGGAGTCTCTGCAGCACCTCATTCACGAGTCTCTGGAAGGTCTCACGATCATTTCGAAGGCCAAAAGGCATCACTCTAAATGACTATAACCCCTCCTCAGTGACAAAGCTGGACCTAGTAGAATTTGCCAAAATCATTGCCTCATGTCCAGGGTGGAGAAACAAGTGGCTGCTCCCACTGAGGTGAGTAGGTCCGGAATATGGGGCCACGGGTAACTATCTGGGGGCGTCACGGAGTTTACCTGATGGTAGTCCACGCAGAACCATCAGCCTCTATTTTTCTTGGCAACCAGGATCACCGGGGTGACCCACAGTGATCTACTGGGCTCACTGAACCCCTCTTCCAGCATCTGGGAAAATTTCCCCCCGATGAATTCCCTCTTCTGGGCAGAAGACGCATATGGTCGGGAGTGGATGGGCAGCTCAGACGTCACCCACATGCAGCGTTGCAATGTCCTGGTGCGCCCGCGTCTTCTCGGTGAACACATCCAGATACTGTTTCAGCACCTGTGGTAAGTCTTCCCGTTGGTGAAAAAAGACACAACTTGGTCATCTTGATTTGATCCGGCGGCAGTGGGGGGGGGGGGGGAAGTCACGGAGGGTGTTTTCTCGGGTCCTAACAAAGGGTACGTGGCACCTAGCGGTGAGATTATCTGGTTTCGTCTCAGGTCCAGAAGATACTCTGTTTTACGGAATAATTCTGCCCCCAAAACCGTCCCTTGGGACAACTTGGGAACCACAAAGAAGGTCCCCATGAAGTCCTTCCCGGCTATGGGGATCATCGAGGAATCAGCCAGCAACAAATGTGCCACTGGTTGCCTCTCGTCTTCCGCCTCAATACCCAGGCATTGAAGGGTTCCCGGGCTCACCAGGCCGTGAGCGAGTGGTGAGCGGGGGTGGCTGAGGGAGGGATGGTGGCAGGAGGGGCCTGGGGCCTGAGCGGCCTCCCAGCACCATCGCTCGAAACACGCACGGTTTTGTTCTTTCCCCCCACCGCCCCCATCGCCAGTCAGACAAGCCTCTTGGACTGACGAGGCATGGGGAGGCCTTAATCCAGCAGTGAACTGAGAAAAGGCCTCACGATTTCATGCAAGTATTGTCAGTGTAAGAATACATTTTTATCAATAAATGTATTAATCATGATATATATATACTTATGAGATATATAGGTGGAACCTCACACTGTAAAGAGTAGTATAATGTAATTAAGAAGATGGAAGATGTGTGATGGGGCTCGACTGGGATTTCAAATATTAGAAAACCAAACTGGAGAAGTGCTTCATGAGTTCAAGAGGGCCGCAGGCCTGGCAAATGCGACGCTGAATGAAGCGCACTCACCACAGATGCTGTTGCCTTCAATGAGCCCTCGGCCTCGCTCTCCAACCACCACCCCATCGCAAGCGCTGTGGCAGATGAGGTTATTTCTGAGGACCGGGTCCCCTCCTCTGCGAATGTCCACGCCGCCATGCTGGTTCTCGTGTATCAGGTTACCTACCAATGCAGAAGTGCGCACGGTCAGCCGCGCTGTCTCTCTTGCATGGGGCACACGTGCGTCCGCGCCCCGCTCGAGGTGCCACCTTACCTGGCACACCGATAGCTCTGACGACTGCATAATATTGTAAACGTTATCAAGATGAAGGATGGCTGACGGTTATTGCATGCAACGTCAGTTCATGTAAAGAAATTGTATTTTTGTAATCGATTAATCAGGTTTTGTTATTATTGGAAAGATGAAGTCTTCAAGTGTGAGACTATCTTGCATATGAGGCAATCCTGGTCTCTTGAGTTCTTAGTTAGTTAAACACAAAAATTTCAACTTTACAGTTGATTCTTAGCACAGATGAACACTATTTTGTGCCAAATAATGTATGCAGATGCCTTTTTTACTTCTATCAATAATATGTGCACTGTTTCTATGGTAATATATAATCTGTAACAAGGTGTAACATATTCTTAGTTTTTTCGGTAAAGTCACGTTGAAGAGAAACAACAAAATAATAAAATATATATATAACAATAAAAAATTCTCACGACGTTTCGACCATAACTCAAACGGTCATCTTCAGGTGTGTTGGTTTGCATAAATTTATTTTTAAACGGCGCATTTATTTATTTATAAAAACGTTAGCGTCACGTGCAGCGATTTGGCAGTTTACCCAGGACTAGTCAATCTATATTTTGAAAAGAGGAGGGGGGAGACGAAATTTTTTATAATGTATGCTGTCTGAAAGCCACTGTAAGCGTGAACAATCAATTAAGAACTGAAATGGTTTATCAAATCTTTCCAATGATTGCTAAGATAGAATCCATCTTCTCGGTTGAAATTGTCTCTGTGCTTGTATATGTGGATAGCCTCATGAACGAATCTCTCATGGAAGCCAGATGGCTTACAAAGAACCTCTGTCTTGGAAAAGTCAATGGCATGTGAGCCTACTGAATTAGAACAATGATCTGCTACGGCCGAGGTGTTGGTCCTACCGTGTTTAAGGTCTGCTTTGTGTTCACGAATGCGGTCCGAGACATGGCGTTTGGTTTCTCCAACGTAACTACTACCACAGAGGCAACTTAGTTTGTAGACACCAGGGTATTGTATGTCCGGAATCACATCTTTTACAGACGGAACCAGATCACGGATTTTATGTAATGTGTTGAAACGGACCTGGATCTTGTATTTATTCAAGATTTTGGAGATCTTTTTTGTGATCCCAACAATGTAGGGTAAAGTGATGGTTTTGAAAGGCTCCTCAAGAGGGTTCTTCTTCATGGTTTGAGTGATAGCTTTGCGGATTGTATAGTCGGAGTAACCATTAGCCCTAAGAGCTTGGTGTACGTGTTTAAGTTCACTGCTTATGTGTTCCTGGTCGGATATGCATTGGGCTCTATGATACAGAGTCTTGATGAGAGAATTCTTCTGTGATGGATGGTGGTGGGAATCCGGTTTCAGATAAGCATCCGTATGGGTAGCTTTCCTGTAGACAGAGTGGCTCATTGAACCATCAGGTCTCTTTTTAATTAGGACATCCAAAAAAGGTATCTTGCCATCTATTTCAACTTCCATGGTAAATCTGATGGCTGGGTGTATGGAATTGATGTGGTCGAAGAATTGGTCTAGAGCAGGCCGGCCATGTGGCCAGATGACAAAAGTGTCATCCACGTACCTCTTCCATAAGGTTGGGCGCAGAGTGGCAGTCTGGATGGCGTCAGTCTCAAATTTCTCCATGAAAATGTTAGCTATAACTGGAGAAAGGGGGGAGCCCATTGGGGTGCCCTCAGTTTGTTTGTAGAAAGTTCCATTCCAAGTGAAGTATGTATTGGTTAAACAGTGTCTCACCAGGGGGGGTACCTCAGTATTTAGTCCTTGATGAACCAAGTCTTCAATGATTGCAATGGTGTCAGGTACAGGAACCTTGGTGAATAAGGAAACTACATCAAAACTGACAAGCAGGTCGTCTGGGGACAGGGAAATACCCTTGATTGTCGATACCAGGTGAGTAGAATTTTGTACCGCAGAGGTGGTCTTTCCAGTGAAAGGACGCAGGATTTCAGACAAAAAACGAGCTAGTTTGTAGGTGGGGGAGCTGATAGTAGAGACTATGGGACGAAGAGGTGTATCAACTTTATGTATTTTTGGTAAGCCGTATAATCTTGGTAGCTGACAAAGGCAATGCTACTGTCATCATGGATAAAATAGAATACAACAACAAAATTAAAGAATTACTCGACGATGGTAGTTATACAAAAATAAAAAGAGATCCCACCAACAGCCTCGTCACACAAACCAACAAAATAATTTCTGATTCAACCGCATTAATTGATCAATCTAAACAGTTTTCGTTGAAACCTTCTGCTGCCAGGCCACCAAGATTATACGGCTTACCAAAAATACATAAAGTTGATACACCTCTTCGTCCCATAGTCTCTACTATCAGCTCCCCCACCTACAAACTAGCTCGTTTTTTGTCTGAAATCCTGCGTCCTTTCACTGGAAAGACCACCTCTGCGGTACAAAATTCTACTCACCTGGTATCGACAATCAAGGGTATTTCCCTGTCCCCAGACGACCTGCTTGTCAGTTTTGATGTAGTTTCCTTATTCACCAAGGTTCCTGTACCTGACACCATTGCAATCATCGAAGACTTGGTTCATCAAGGACTAAACACTGAGGTACCCCCCCTGGTGAGACACTGTTTAACCAATACATACTTCACTTGGAATGGAACTTTCTACAAACAAACTGAGGGCACCCCAATGGGCTCCCCCCTTTCTCCAGTTATAGCTAACATTTTCATGGAGAAATTTGAGACTGACGCCATCCAGACTGCCACTCTGCGCCCAACCTTATGGAAGAGGTACGTGGATGACACTTTTGTCATCTGGCCACATGGCCGGACTGCTCTAGACCAATTCTTCGACCACATCAATTCCATACACCTAGCCATCAGATTTACCATGGAAGTTGAAATAGATGGCAAGATACCTTTTTTGGATGTCCTAATTAAAAAGAGACCTGATGGTTCAATGAGCCACTCTGTCTACAGGAAAGCTACCCATACGGATGCTTATCTGAAACCGAATTCCCACCACCATCCATCACAGAAGAATTCTCTCATCAAGACTCTGTATCATAGAGCCCAATGCATATCCGACCAGTAACACATAAGCAGTGAACTTAAACACGTACACCAAGCTCTTAGGGCTAATGGTTACTCTGACTATACAATCCGCAAAGCTATCACTCAAACCATGAAGAAGAACCCTCTTGAGGAGCCTCTCAAAACCATCACTTTACCCTACATTGCTGGGATCACAAAAAAGATCTCCAAAATCTTGAATAAACACAAGATCCAGGTCCGTTTCAACACATTACATAAAATCCGTGATCTGGTTCCGTCTGTAAAAGATGTGATTCCGGACATACAATACCCTGGTGTCTACAAACTAAGTTGCCTCTGTGGTAGTAGTTACATTGGAGAAACCAAACGCCATGTCTCGGACCGCATTCGTGAACACAAAGCAGACCTTAAACACGGTAGGACCAACACCTCGGCCGTAGCAGATCATTGTTCTAATTCAGTAGGCTCACATGCCATTGACTTTTCCAAGACAGAGGTTATTTGTAAGCCATCTGGCTTCCATGAGAGATTCGTTCATGAGGCTATCCACATATACAAGCACAGAGACAATTTCAACCGAGAAGATGGATTCTATCTTAGCAATCATTGGAAAGATTTGATAAACCATTTCAGTTCTTAATTGATTGTTCACGCTTACAGTGGCTTTCAGACAGCATACATTATAAAAAATTTCGTCTCCCCCCTCCTCTTTTCAAAATATAGATGGACTAGTCCTGGGTAAACTGCCAAATCGCTGCGCGTGACGCTAACGTTTTTTATAAATAAATAAATGCGCCGTTTAAAAATAAATTTATGCAAACCAACACACCTGAAGATGACCGTTTGAGTTATGGTCGAAACGTCGTGAGAATTTTTTATTGTTTTATATATATTTTATTATTTTGTTGTTTCTCTTCAACGTGACTTTACCGAAAAAACTAAGAATATGAATTACTGCAGTCACGAAAGCTTTAAATCAAAATTTAAGGTGTAACATGTTTCAGGCGTTTAATAAAATTGTCTTAAAGCTAGCCCTATACTACTTGTGCAGTCGGTCTAGAGTTTGCGACAGTATGATTTACGATCCAAATTTAACACATTTACATAATTTCGAAGTCACTTTGAGTTGGAACTTTTGTTACTCTCAGGTGTTTTTTCAGATTTTTACCTATTAAACCCTGCTAAATATGGCTGAGAAAAGGAAAAATAAAATTGGCAAGTGATGTTTCTACTGTCTATGGGAATATAGGGTCTGATTTGCCACGATCTGCTTTACAATGACGGGGTTTCCAGGAACGCATTGTAATATCGTAAAAGCGGGGACCGCCTGTATAGTAACACAGAAATGAAATGCCTCAACCGTGATAGTTCTCAGCAAGAATAAAGCATGAGGCCTAAATGATTGTTTCCATTGTACTCCCTATTGTCCGCAGGGTGAAGTGTCCTGTAATGTTGGAAAAAAGAACAGCGGAAGAGCTTTACCTGTGATGAAGCAATGGAGCGGTGAGTGGTGATGAATTATTATTCATATGTCACCTGTGATAGCGCAACACATGACGGTGTATACGGAGATGCATCACCTGTAATGAGACCCAGTCCATTCTCATTCACTGCAATCCCAGCTGCCAGTCCTTGATAAATGTAATTGCCACTGAAGGAGAAAACACAATCGCTCTAATAAGAGGACACAATTTTATCTTTTCATCACATATTGGACCAAAACATTTTCTTTTTCTAAAGGATGTTTTCAATATGTTTTTTTTTAATACACAGACTACATAGATGACCTGCATAGAAATTAGGTCAAAGCCCATTGACACAAAAGTATATTTTTCTAATAATATATGAGTCACAAAAATAAACAAATGGAACACAAATTCAATCGGACAAACCATAGGAAAAACTAAATGACGTAAATATATATTAAACATTATATAGGGTAGAACTTTAATTTTGTTTATTCATTTTAAATGAAGTATTTGATGAGGTGCAATTGAAACAAATCATCAAGGATTTGAAATAAGAGGAAAAAAGCTAACATGTGTATTAAATTGACTTAAGAAAAGACTATGGATAACAATTAAAAAGTAGCAAAATTCAAAACACAAACTTAAAAAATACCTGCGCTTGTATCGTCCGAATTATCCAATCGCTTATTAAAGTGAAGCTGGTACCAGCCCATCCTACAGATGGTGGCATTTTTAACGATAACCTTGAATAAAACCGCATTTCATGGGTGACCTGAGGCCTCATTAGGATTTTGCACTCCACCAAACGGTCATGTTCGACCACATCAAGGTTGCATTAGCAACCTCAAGAAATTAATCCATTTGTTCCATCTATTTTGCTCCCAACTCAAATGTCCATGTGACCAATGTGGACACAATTGACCATTAGGACAAACATAGAGCTACTTATCATGTTACACTCATTTTTCTTCATATCCAAAATATTTTCTCAACTCTTGTCAACTAAAAAAAATGGTACCGTGTAATCGCCAACGGCAATGTAGAAAATGAACAAGGACAGTTCGACTCGACAAGACGCTTCTATTTCAACAAACGCGCTCGCACACAGAACACCGGCTGACGGCAGGGCAAGACATGAACAGACAAAATTAAGTTTCCCAGCCGAGACGCCAGACAGGAGAGAGAGAATGATGGCAGCCCCACCTGACGAGCGGGTTTCCACGGTACAGGATGCAAATCCCTGCCTCGCGATTGTTGAAAATGAGGTTGCTGCGGATGATGCCCCGGCCACCACCCATAACCAAGATTCCTGTGCGTTGTCCCCCGTGGATGCGATTACACTGCCTCGCACAAGAACACTCCGTCACGACCAGGCACCATTTAGGAGGCACTCGGGCAGTACGGGCAGTCCCCAAATCCTGAGACCTCCGTTCGTAAGTCGAACTGTTCGTAAGTCGAACACAATAATGTACTGTATTTAAATGCACATACGGTCAACGTTATAAATGTGTTACGGCTCAACAAAAAAGGGAACCATTGTTAAACTCACAAATAAGAAGTAATATCGAACATTTGCACGTAACACTCTAAACAGTTCCACGACTCGGTTCGCAAGTGCGAATTTCACGTTCTCAAGTCAGATGGTTAAAAAATTAAATATCTTACGGAAGCTCGTTCGTCACAAGTGCGGATTTTCGTAAGTAAGTGGGGGTGACCGCTTGTCGTTGGGTTATTGGGGAGCCAGGTGGGCATGAGGGGCGGCGCCTACCAGTACGAGGGGGTTTGCCGCCTTGCGGATGTCGATGGCTGCCTCGCCGTTGGAGTGGATGTCGTTCTCCGCAATGACACCGCCAGCGGAGAGGCGCAGGAAAACGCCCGACGCTCGGCAGTGGTGGATCTCGTTACGAAACACGAGCACCTGTGGAACGCGCCCACAGGACAAACACGGCAGCAGGAGGCCACCACGCAGGGGATCACTTCACTCGGAGCAGCGAATCGGTGTGGATTATATTCAGATGGCGTGCACAGCAGACAGCACGAAGATGCAACCACATATTCAAGCTAATATTCTGTACGTTTAAAATGTTGCTTTATAAGTTTAGATTTATATAATTACTTTTAAATTAAATATGAATTTGATGGTTAAAATGTTAGCATCACATTTAGGTATTCTATTTTCTGTTATATTCTGACTCCACTTCAAATGGCTCTTATATGGTAATTGAATATGACAAAGATTTTCACATCAAAGCGAATGTTCAGAATCCCACTTGAAGCAGATTGCAAGCAGGAGGCACTAAGCGTGGTCCCAAAGTGCGGACTTTTCCATGTTTGGAAAAGTAGTCCCTCCACCTTTGGGAAGCACTCCAAGAGACCACATTAGTGTGTATGTTGAACTTCTTTCGCACCTTATGGAGCCAACCGTGCTCATCGGAGTAGCTATCATTAGGATGACAGCTCAGACCTTTCTTACAGGAATTCCAAGTATTTTTTTTTCCAGATTTTCTCTGTGTGAAAATATAGCATTTATGGGATTTGTTTTGTTGCTTAGAATTGGTATTCCTTCAATATTATAAGAGGCCCCCGAAATGCTGGCAATGGATTCCCAGTCTTTCCCTGTGGTAAGTTGTATAAAAAAAGCGCTGCTCCAGCCATGTAACAACCTACCTTGGCATCTTGCAGGCAGCGGATAGCTTGGTGGAGGTGGCGAAAGGTGTTGTGTTGCAGACGCACATGGGCATGTGCGGAGGACAGCACGCCTCCTCGCCCATCTCGGAAGAGGCAGCGCTGCACCACACAGCCCAAGATTAGACGCACCAACAGGCGGGCTTCCTTCTCCGTGCGCAGCTCCTCCTCCAGGCTCCGAGGGCGTACCTCCTCCATGCTCAGCGAGGCCCCTGCCCCTGTCATCAGGCTCCCCACGGGCAAGCTGCGTACAGCACGCACACGCCCAAAGCATCAAGACACTCTTAAGCCCCCGCTGTTTAGCCACTCGTGAAATTTAGGAGTCGCTCAGCGCCGGCAGTAAGAATGTCGCAGTAAAGTCACGTTTCCTGCAATTTATTTACTGAAGCCAATTGTGTAAGTCTATCACTGTGGTAAGGATAGGAGCATCCGTACAACACAATATGGGCAGCCAATAAGAACGCAGCAGTGGATTTTAACTTTACTGAAGTAGCATAATGTCATTTTTTACCGAGAATTATACCAACATTTAATTAAATTTTTGAACAAAACTCAGATTGTTTGAATAGTTTTCACACGTTACGGATATTATAAAAAAAAGTATGGAACAGTTCGTCGAAACTTTTGCTTCTAACAAACAGGATCAGAAGTTTATTTTGCGAGAATGCAACCAAGGGCATCGGAGTGTTGGTCGTGACCTCGTGATTAGGTGCCCAAACTCCTTGTAGTCTTCGTCCTGCTCCGTGTCTCTGCCGCTGCTGTTCTTCTTGAGAAATGCCCCCTCGCTAACCGCTGGGGTCAGCGTGTCACCGTCATGGTTCATGCCTGGTACCGTGCATGATGATATTTACAAATTTACAAGAGTTAATGGTTAATTTTTTAGTCACTCTTATCATTACATTTTAATGGATTTTCAGAAATGTAAGGGTATTTAATTAAATAAACCAGGGATTTTTACGAATAATCACCAGAACCTGCCTGCAAAAAAACACAGCCACATTCGACAACGCCGGACGCACATTGCAGGTGTCACTGTATGTGGCCTTGATAATCCATCCCGCAAACCCCGGTTATCCTCGCCATCAAACAAATACGGTGGTCACCGCATCGCGCACTGGAAGATACGTTTCTGCGGCCGTCTGGAACGCTCTTCCTTCCGAAATTAGGAAGCCACTGGAGCTATGCACGTTTAAGCCATCTAGAATGAAAACTAATTTCTTTAGAACCGCTTTTTGTGTTTACTTTGTTGTCCTTCCCCCGTACCTCCGACAAGCACGGTTTGCTACGTATGGTACAAAAGAAGTTCAACAACATAGATACATATGAAACATCAACAGCACAAATTACTTTTTCTCACAGCTGCATTTGTTTCCTCTGCCAGCGCACACACACACACACCTGCCTGAAAAGAACATTGTTTTTTCATGCAGCTTTACCATTGCAGAAGCGGTGGGCCTTTGATGAGATGGGGTCTGAAAGGCCTGCATGTGAAGTCCCTGACACAAAGTTCTGGCCCTTCTGGCTGACGTTCCAGCAGTGTCGTCCCACCCACCCCACCGCCTTGCTCGCCTGGCTGTGATGTGTGGCTCCCGTGCTGTCTGCTGCCTGCCTGCACGCGCAGAAACACCCAAGGCACACACAACGCACGATGCGCAATAGTTGTGTTTACATACGTTAACTTACATCAGGAGATCCACTGCAGGAATGTATGCTACGCCGTATAAAATAGAGTGCAATATTTCACTGACACACGTGACATACATTTGCGAATGGTACCGTTATGGTCATACCTTGGCACGCTAAATAAGTAGCAAGAGCCTCCAAGCAATATACACGTCATATTGGACCCTAGGTTCCCTTGGAACTCGGTGGCAAAAGGAGTGGAGAGGGGGTACGATGATCCGACCCTCACCCTGCTGTTTTGTCGCTCTGCACGCTTTCCGACTTCTTGTCGAAGCCGAGATTCAGCCAGTCCAGCGCGGTGTCCGCTTCCAGCAGGCCGCAGGACTGCGCCAGCAGGTCGGCACGCAGCGACGCAGCCAGGTGCTCGTAGGCCCAGTTGTGGTCGGTCGAAGGGAACCCCTCCACTGTCAGAGAGGCGCCCTCGCTCCCAGAGAACTCGCAGTTTTCCACAGCGGCCAGTGCGACGGCGTGCAGGTGTAGGCCAGCCTGGCTGAAGCTACAGAACCGCAGGTGGCACGTGGCCGGAGCGCTCACCTGCACCTGCCCGTTCTCCAGGTTGCACGTGTCCATTTGCACGTGGCCCACGCTCGTCTGCGCCGCAGGAATGAGAGCACCGCGGCTTTGGGTTATCGTGCCAGTGACGGCGCATTGACAACCGTTTGCAGTTGTTGCGCTGGTAATTTAATACATCATTGCAGGTGTTAAATGCTCCTGTTTGTGGAGGTGGAGGCATTTAGCAAGCAACGTAGATTGTGTGAGATAATTTGCAAGGTGTAATCAATATATAGAAATTTGGTGAAAAATTAAGTTACATTTTTCCATATATACTGATAAGAAGAGATATCTGGTGTAGTAACTGTAAGGAGAGAGGGAATGAAAAGTAAAAGCATCAATACTACATCAATAAGGCAATTCCCCAGATATGTGAATCGATGGAAGAGACTGCAATGATTAACGATGGGTTTCATGGTTGGCAAGTGGCTTCATGATTTAGCTTCAGCAAGTGCATTACAGCCCTATTGATAATGACATGGCCATATCCGTTCAGCCCGCACCACTGAAACTCGAGTATTGTAACCACTTCAACCATATTAAAAAGGGACTCAAAGTTACAGCCCTTGTGTATCGTGTTTAATTTCACGATAATGTATCGCTCAACTCTAAACAAAAGTCCTCCATTAATCTGCAGATTCCTAGATTGTGCGGTGCCTCCCGCGGTTGGCGCGTGTTCACGTTTTAACCAGCCTGAACCTGGAAGGTGGTGTGGAGCACATTGTAAACTGCGCGGCCCACTGTTTGAATCCCTGTCCCACCTTGTAGATGATGGGCGTGAACCAGGCCTGCATGAGCACGAGGTTGCAGAGGCGTACGGTGGGACACTGCTGTTCAAAGCTGACGAGCAGCGCCACCTGGCCCAGGCTGCCCTGGCCCACGATCTCGACGGGCGCCCGCAGGACCACCTCGCTCTGCTCCTCGTAGACGCCCGGCAGCAGAAACACGCGGCTGTAGGGCGGCACCGAGGCTAACGCCACCCGCAGGCTCTCGTAGTCCCCGCCGGGACCCACCCACGCGCTGCGACATTCGGGCCGCTTGCGGAAGAAGGGCCCGTACAGACAGCCGGTGACATCGACGGTACTCCAGCGGCTGTCGTGGCGGCGCCACACGCGGTTGGCGAGGAGGGCTCTCCGCAGGGACTCGCGCCACGACGGCGGCTCCAACTCCGGCCGCAGCGGCCAGTTCGGCGGGCGACGGCAGGCGTGAGGCGAGCCCAGGTACAGCTGCCGCCAGCGCGTCTTGTCCAAGCTGACGACGAGCTCCCGCCACGTGCGGCTCACGGAGCTGCAGCGGCCCAACTCGGGCAACTGAAGGTACGAGAGGATGAGACGCCACAGCTCCAGCGGGAGGCGGCCCACCTCCATCACAAAGCTGCGGCAGACAGAGCAGGGCAATGATTGTCGAACATCAACGACCGCCTGACGGTCGCCAGCGAGACCCAGGGTGGCATGGGCAGCAGGGTCTGGAGTGAGGGGCTCGGATGGTGGAGCTGACCGAGACCCCGGGTATGGAGAGTGGAGCCGGAGGGATGCCCACGGTGGTGGGGGGGGGGGGGCTCCCTCTCGAGTGTGGGGGGTGGACCTCGGGGGGGGGGGGGCTCCCTCTTGAGTGTGGGGGGTGGACCCCGCGCGCTCAGGGGAAGGGATGAAACGGAGTCACAGATTCCCCCCCTGCTCGCGTCCCCTTCGCGAGGAGGCGCGACACTCCAACGGGGTAGTTGCAGCTGTAGTAGCCAGCTACTGGAGAAGATCGACCCCCCCAACCCGAGGCTGCCGCCACACGAAGATGGCCCAGGGCTGCTTGCCAATAAGCCCTGGGCTGGCGGGAGGAATGGAGCGCCACGTCAGCACCAACCCCAGTTGCTGTCGAGCTGGCTTCATCCTGCGACGCTCACGGTGGGGGGGGGGGGGCACTGCTTGAACAGATTTCCAGACAGGGCCGAGAGCTTCGTGACAAAGCCAAGCAGCAGGCTGTGGTGGCACTGCACGGGTTCAGCCGAGGGCTCCTCACGGCCACCGAGGACCGCTGCTACTCATGAAGCACAATCCGCACCCGAGTCAGCACTGTGTAAACACGAGGCGTTCATAAGCTCTTTGGTTCTTTTTAAAACAGTCTGCCTCAGCAGCAGACCATGCTTTCCCCTACCTGATGACGGAAAGCTTGTGTTGCGCCCGAAACGTCGTGATTTAATTTATTTTAAACCTACCACGTGGCTTTACCGAAAGAACCAAAGAGGACGAGGAGACCGTAAGCTCTTTTGCCAAAGATTGGTCCCATGAAAGCAAAATAAAACTGAGAAGGGGGTCGATTATGCAGCCTTCCCTGCTCACGCTGCTGCTGCTGCTGTGGGTGGCCGGGCCCATCAGAGTCAAACCGTGGTGGGCACAGAGATGATGGGCACAGAGATGAGCACAGAGATGAGCACGGAGATGAGCGTGGAGATGAGCGTGGGAACGGCGGTCACAGAGACGGCGGCGAAGCGGTGACGACGATGCCAATGTTAATGACGATGATGACGAAGATATATTAAGGTTATGGTAATAATGACGGCAGTGATTTATGGTAAGGTGACAGTGAACATGGTATTCATGATAGCGGTGATGGTGCTCGTGATGATGATGATGGTGATACTGCTGGTGATGATGATGGTGATGATGGTGATGCTGGTGATGATGCTGGTGATTATGATGGTGATGCTGGTGATGATGATGGTGATAATGATGATGCTGGTAATGATGATGGTGATGATAGTGATGATGGTGATGATGCTGATGGTGATACTGCTGGTGATGATGATGGTGATACTGCTGGTGATGATGGTGATGGTTGTGATGATGATGGTGATGATGATGGTGATGATGGTGATGATGATGATGATGCTGGTGATGAAGATGATGCTGGTGATGATGGTGATGATGGTGATGGTGGTGATGATGGTGATGATGGTGATGGTGGTGATGATGGTGATGGTGGTGATGATGGTGATGATGATGGTGATGATGGTGATACTGCTGGTGATGATGATGGTGATGATGGTGATACTGCTGGTGATTATGATGGTGATGCTGGTGATGATGATGGTGATGATGATGGTAATGATGATGGAGATGGTGATTGGTGATGCTGGTGATGATGATGGTGATGATGATACTGCTGGTGATGATGGTGATGGTGATGATGGTGATGATGATGATGATTATGATGGTGATGCTGGTGATGATGCTGATGGTCATACTGCTGGTGATGATGGTGATACTGCTGGTGATGATGCTGGTGATGATGGTGTTGGTTGTGATGATGATGGTGATGATGATGGTGATGCTGGTGATGATGGTGATGATGGTGATGGTGGTGATGATGGTGATGATGATGGTGATACTGCTGGTGATGATGATGGTGATGCTGGTGATTATGATGGTGATGCTGGTGATGATGGTGATGATGGTGATGATGATGGTGATGGAGATGGTGATTGGTGATGCTGGTGATGATGATGGTGATGATGATACTGCTGGTGATGATGGTGATGATGGTGATGATGATGATGGTGATGATGATGGAGATGGTGATTGGTGATGCTGCTGGTGATGATGGTGATGATGGTGATGATGATGGTGGTACTGCTGGTGATGATGATTATGGTGATGCTGGTGATGATGATACTGCTGGTGATGATGGTGATGATGATGGTGATGATGATGGTGATGATGGTGATGCTGGTGATGATGGTGATGCTGGTGATGATGATGGTGATGATGATACTGCTGGTGATGATGGTGATACTAGTGATGATGATACTGCTGGTGATGATGATACTGCTGGTGATGATGATGCTGGTGATGATGGTGATACTGCTGATGATGATGATGGTGATGATGGTGATGCTGGTGATGATGATGGTGATGCTGGTGATGATGATGGTGATGATGATACTGCTGGTGATGATGGTGATGATGGTGATGCTGGTGATGATGGTGATGCTGTGAAGATGATGGTGATGATGATACTGCTGGTGATGATGGTGATGATGGTGATGATGATTGTGATGGTGATGATAATGCTGGTGATGATGATGGTGGTGATGATGATGGTGGTGATGATGGTTGTGATGATGGTGATACTGCTGGTGATGATGGTGGTGATGATGCTGGTGATGATGATGGTGGTGATGATGATGGTGATGATCATGGTGATGATGGTGATGGTGATGCTGGTGATGATGGTGGTGATGATGATGGTGGTGATGATGATGATGATGGTGATACTGCTGGTGATGATGGTGGTGGTGATGATGATGGTGATGATGATACTGCTGGTGATGATGGTGATGCTGGTGATGATGATGATGGTGGTGATGATGATGATGGTTGTGATAGTGATGATGGTGATGATGGTGGTGATGGTGGTGATGATGATGGTGATGATGGTGATACTGCTGGTGATGATGGTGGTGATGGTGGTGATACTGCTGGTGATGATGGTGATGCTGGTGATGATGATGGTGGTGATGGTGGTGATGATGATGGTGATACTGCTGGTGATGATGGTGGTGATGATGGTGGTGATAATGATGGTGGTGATTTTGGTCTCGCATAACGGGGCCATTACCGTGGGGGGAGGAGAGGACGCGCAGCATCCCCGGGCCCTGTCACCATGGAGACCGCAGCGCTCATCGCGTGACGTCACTCCCCAGAGCTCATCGCGTGACGTCACTCTCATAGCTCGTCGCGTGACGTCACTCACCAGAGCTCATCCCGTGACGTCACTCTCGTAGCTCGTCGCGTGGCGTCACTCCCCAGAGCTCATCGCGTGACGTCACTCGCGTAGGTCGTCGCGTGACGTCACTCCCTGCAACTGTTGTGACGTCGCTCTCCGTCGCTCGCAACGTGGCGTCTCACTCCCTCTTTGCTCATCGCGTGACGTCACTCGTAGCTCGTCGCGTGACGTCAATCTCCGTAGCAACCAACGTGACGTCACACCCCGTAGATCGTCGCCTGAAGTCATTCCGTGCCTCCGTGCGTGACGTCATAACCGGCTTTGAGAACGCGCGCGCGCACCGGCGCAGGATGACGAAACTGACGGGTGACGTCACGCCGCGGCTGCTGCCGCTCTCGGCGGTCTGAGCAGGTCTCCCGCCAGGACCGGAGCCCGTCATAGAAACGCGGAGTTTCCACCGGCGAAGATAAGGAAATGCGATTTTGATTGTTCGTTAGACACGAACACCGGCATCGTTAGACACGAACACCGGCATCGTTAGACACGAACACCGGCATCGTTAGACACGGACACCGGCATCGTTAGACACGGACACCGGCATCGTTAGACACGAACACAGGCATCGTTAGACACGAACACAGGCATCGTTAGACACGAACACCGGCATCGTTAGACACGAACACAGGCATCGTTAGACACGAACACAGGCATCGTTAGACACGAACACCGGCATCGTTAGACACGAACACAGGCATCGTTAGACACGAACACAGGCATCGTTAGACACGAACACAGGCATCGTTAGACACGAACACAGGCATCGTTAGACACGAACAGGCATCGTTAGACACGAACACCGGCATCGTTAGACACGAACACCGGCATCGTTAGACACGAACACAGGCATCGTTAGACACGAACACCGGCATCGTTAGACACGAACACAGGCATCGTTAGACACGAACACAGACATCGTTAGACACGAACACCGGCATCGTTAGACACGAACACAGGCATCGTTAGACACGAACAGGCATCGTTAGACACGAACACCGGCATCGTTAGACACGAACACAGGCATCGTTAGACACGAACACCGGCATCGTTAGACACGAACACCGGCATCGTTAGACACGAACACAGGCATCGTTAGACACGAACACCGGCATCGTTAGACACGAACACCGGCATCGTTAGACACGAACACCGGCATCGTTAGACACGAACACTGGCATCGTTAGACACGAACACAGGCATCGTTAGACACGAACACCGGCATCGTTAGACACGAACACCGGCATCGTTAGACACGAACACAGGCATCGTTAGACACGAACACCGGCATCGTTAGACACGGACACCGGCATCGTTAGACACGGACACCGGCATCGTTAGACACGAACACAGGCATCGTTAGACACGAACACAGGCATCGTTAGACACGAACACAGGCATCGTTAGACACGAACACAGGCATCGTTAGACACGAACACAGGCATCGTTAGACACGAACACCGGCATCGTTAGACACGAACACAGGCATCGTTAGACACGAACACCGGCATCGTTAGACACGAACACCGGCATCGTTAGACACGAACACCGGCATCGTTAGAGACGAACACAGGCATCGTTAGACACGAACACCGGCATCGTTAGACACGAACACAGGCATCGTTAGACACGAACACCGGAATCGTTAGACACGAACACCGGCATCGTTAGACACGAACACAGGCATCGTTAGACACGAACACAGGCATCGTTAGACACGAACACCGGCATCGTTAGACACGAACACCGGCATCATTAGACACGAACACAGGCATCGTTAGACACGAACACCGGCATCGTTAGACACGAACACAGGCATCGTTAGACACGAACACCGGAATCGTTAGACACGAACACCGGCATCGTTAGACACGAACACAGGCATCGTTAGACACGAACACAGGCATCGTTAGACACGAACACAGGCATCGTTAGACACGAACACCGGCATCGTTAGACACGAACACAGGCATCGTTAGACACGCTCGCTCTCGGCGACGTGGTACTTGTTGTGTCGGGTGGAGACGGGTTGACGACACATTTCACTTGCGCGATCTCACCCCGAAAGCACGAATCTGAAATATTGCATGTCAAAGTCCTCAATGTTACAGTGCTACCTGTAATGTTACAGTGCTACATGTAGTGTTACAGTGCTACATGTAGTGTCACAGTGCTACATGTAGTGTCACAGTGCTACATGTAGTGTCACAGTGCTACATGTAGTGTCACAGTGCTACATGTAGTGTTACAGTGCTACATGTAGTGTTACAGTGCTACATGTAATGTTACAGTGCTACATGTAGTGTTACAGTGCTACATGTAATGTTACAGTGCTACATGTAGTGTTACAGTGCTACATGTAGTGTTACAGTGCTACATGTAGTGTTACAGTGCTACATGTAGTGTTACAGTGCTACATGTAATGTTACAGTGCTACATGTAGTGTTACAGTGCTACATGTAGTGTTACAGTGCTACATGTAGTGTTACAGTGCTACATGTAATGTTACAGTGCTACATGTAGTGTTACAGTGCTGCATGTAATGTTACAGTGCTACATGTAGTGTCACAGTGCTGCATGTAATGTCACAGTGCTACATGTAATGTTACAGTGCTACATGTAATGTTACAGTGCTGCATGTAATGTTACAGTGCTACATGTAGTGTTACAGTGCTACATGTAATGTTACAGTGCTACATGTAGTGTTACAGTGCTACATGTAGTGTTACAGTGCTGCATGTAATGTTACAGTGCTACATGTAATGTTACAGTGCTGCATGTAGTGTTACAGTGCTGCATGTAATGTTACAGTGCTACATGTAGTGTTACAGTGCTGCATATAATGTTACAGTGCTGCATGTAATGTTACAGTGCTGCATGTAATGTTACAGTGCTACATGTAATGTTACAGTGCTACATGTAGTGTTACAGTGCTGCATGTAATGTTACAGTGCTACATGTAGTGTTACAGTGCTACATGTAGTGTTACAGTGCTACATGTAGTGTCACAGTGCTACATGTAGTGTTACAGTGCTGCATGTCGTGTTACAGTGCTACATGTAGTGTCACAGTGCTACATGTAATGTTACAGTGCTACATGTAATGTTACAGCAGTGTGGGTGTGTGGAGCGAAGTGCAATGATTGCCTGGAGGCCCTTTTGGTGGAGACCTACTGCCGGCTGAGTTGTCTTCTCTGTTGGTGGAGACCTACTGCCGGCTGAGTTGTCTTCTCTTGTGGTGGAGACCTACTGCCGGCTGCGTTGTCTTCTCTGTTGGTGGAGACCTACTGCCGGCTGAGTTGTCTTCTCTTGTGGTGGAGACCTACTGCCGGCTGCGTTGTCTTCTCTGTTGGTGGAGACCTACTGCCGGCTGAGTTGTCTTCTCTTGTGGTGGAGAGCTACTGGCGGCTTAGTTGTCTTCTCTTGTGGTGGAGACCTACTGCCGGCTGAGTTGTCTTCTCTTGTGGTGGAGACCTACTGCCGGCTGAGTTGTCTTCTCTGTTGGTGGAGACCTACTGCCGGCTGAGTTGTCTTCTCTTGTGGTAGAGACCTACTGCCGGCTGAGTTGTCTTCTCTTGTGGTAGAGACCTACTGCCAGCTGAGTTGTCGTCTCTGTTGGTGGAGACCTACTGCCGGCTGAGTTGTCTTCTCTGTTGGTGGAGACCTACTGCCGGCTGAGTTGTCTTCTCTGTTGGTGGAGACCTACTGCCGGCTGAGTTGTCTTCTCTGTTGGTGGAGACCTACTGCCGGCTGAGTTGTCTTCTCTTGTGGTAGAGACCTACTGCCGGCTGAGTTGTCTTCTCTTGTGGTGGAGACCTACTGCCGGCTGAGTTGTCTTCTCTGTTGGTGGAGACCTTCTGCCGGCTGAGTTGTCTTCTCTGTTGGTGGAGACCTACTGCCGGCTGAGTTGTCTTCTCTTGTGGTAGAGACCTACTGCCGGCTTAGTTTTCTCTTGTGGTGGAGACCTACTGCCGGCTGAGTTGTCTTCTCTGTTGGTGGAGACCTACTGCCGGCTTAGTTGGCTTCTCTGTTGGTGGAGACCTACTGCCGGCTGAGTTGTCTTCTCTTGTGGTGGAGACCTACTGCCGGCTGAGTTGTCTTCTCTTGTGGTAGAGACCTACTGCCGGCTGAGTTGTCTTCTCTTGTGGTGGAGACCTACTGCCGGCTGAGTTGTCTTCTCTTGTGATGGAGACCTACTGCCGGCTGAGTTGTCTTCTCTTGTGGTGGAGACCTACTGCCGGCTTAGTTGTCTTCTCTGTTGGTGGAGACCTACTGCCGGCTGAGTTGTCTTCTCTTGTGGTAGAGACCTACTGCCGGCTGAGTTGTCTTCTCTTGTGGTGGAGACCTACTGCCGGCTGAGTTGTCTTCTCTTGTGGTGGAGACCTACTGCCGGCTGAGTTGTCTTCTCTGTTGGTGGAGACCTACTGCCGGCTGAGTTGTCTTCTCTGTTGTTGACCTACTGCCGGCTTAGTTGTTTCTCTTGTGGTGGAGACCTACTGCCGGCTGAGTTGTCTTCTCTTGTGGTGGAGACCTACTGCCGGCTGAGTTGTCTTCTCTGTTGGTAGAGACCTACTGCCGGCTGAGTTGTCTTCTCTTGTGGTGGAGACCTACTGCCGGCTGAGTTGTCTTCTCTTGTGGTGGAGACCTACTGCCGGCCGAGTTGTCTTCTCTGTTGGTGGAGACCTACTGCCGGCTGAGTTGTCTTCTCTGTTGGTGGAGACCTACTGCCGGCTTAGTTGTCTTCTCTGTTGGTGGAGACCTACTGCCGGCTGAGTTGTCTTCTCTGTTGGTGGAGACCTGCTGCCGGCTGAGTTGTCTTCTCTGTTGGTGGAGACCTACTGCCGGCTGAGTTGTCTTCTCTGTTGGTGGAGACCTACTGCCGGCTGAGTTGTCTTCTCCGTTGGTGGAGACCTACTGCCGGCTGAGTTGTCTTCTCTGTTGGTGGAGACCTACTGCCGGCTGAGTTGTCTTCTCTGTTGGTGGAGACCTTCTGCCGGCTTAGTTGTCTTCTCTGTTGGTGGAGACCTTCTGCCGGCTTAGTTGTCTTCTCCGTTGGTGGATACCTACTGCCGGCTTAGTTGTCTTCTCTGTTGGTGGAGACCTACTGCCGGCTGAGTTGTCTTCTCTGTTGGTGGAGACCTACTGCCGGCTGAGTTGTCTTCTCTGTTGGTGGAGACCTACTGCCGGCTGAGTTGGCTTCTCTTGTGGTGGAGACCTACTGCCGGCTGAGTTGTCTTCTCTGTTGGTGGAGACCTACTGCCGGCTGAGTTGTCTTCTCTGTTGGTGGAGACCTGCTGCCGGCTGAGTTGTCTTCTCTGTTGGTGGAGACCTACTGCCGGCTGAGTTGTCTTCTCTGTTGGTGGAGACCTACTGCCGGCTGAGTTGTCTTCTCCGTTGGTGGAGACCTACTGCCGGCTGAGTTGTCTTCTCTGTTGGTGGAGACCTACTGCCGGCTGAGTTGTCTTCTCTGTTGGTGGAGACCTTCTGCCGGCTTAGTTGTCTTCTCTGTTGGTGGAGACCTTCTGCCGGCTTAGTTGTCTTCTCCGTTGGTGGATACCTACTGCCGGCTTAGTTGTCTTCTCTGTTGGTGGAGACCTACTGCCGGCTGAGTTGTCTTCTCTGTTGGTGGAGACCTACTGCCGGCTGAGTTGTCTTCTCTGTTGGTGGAGACCTACTGCCGGCTGAGTTGGCTTCTCTTGTGGTGGAGACCTACTGCCGGCTGAGTTGTCTTCTCTTGTGGTAGAGACCTACTGCTGGCTGAGTTGTCTTCTCTTGTGGTGGAGACCTACTGCCGGCTGAGTTGTCTTCTCTGTTGGTGGAAACCTACTGCCGGCTTAGTTGTCTTCTCTGTTGGTGGAGACCTACTGCCGGCTTAGTTGTCTTCTCTTGTGGTGGAGACCTACTGCCGGCTGAGTTGTCTTCTCCTACATTAACATTGGCGGCCCCGCCCATGCTGCTAACACACTTGGGCTACGCCCATCTCTAAACCTTCTTAAACAGTTTGCCTTTAGAGGCTAACTCCCCTTTTCCTGATGACAACCGCTTGTGTTGCGATCGAAACGTTGTGGTGTTAGTTTTCATTATTTGTATTCACATTATTTTTTATTATGTTTCTATCTACGTGACTACCTAAATAACTTATTTCACACCGGACGTAGCCAGCCGTGCTAATCGGGGGTGCGGCGGAAGAACAAACTAAACATAAAAAAGCGTTTCTAAAGAAATTAGTTTTCAATCTAGATGATTTAAAAGTGCATCATAGCTGTTGTGGCATCCTAATATTGGAAGAGTTCTAAGACAGCCGCAGAAGCGCATCTGAAAGCACGCGATGCAGTCACTGTTTTTGTTCGATCGTTGGCCAATAGGCGCTGCTGCGAGGATGACCGTGAGAGTTCGCGTGATGGTTTATGCTCCTTGACGAGATCAGCAAGGCATTGTGGTTCATTTGGGGCAAGCACTTTGTGTGTAATGAGCGCGACCTCACAATGTATTCGTTTGGCAACCGGAAGCCAATGCAGCTCGGCATGAAATGGATGAATCTCACCCCGAGTCCCTCACACCGAGTACCAATTATCACATTTTCATTGCAACGTTCTTGAGCTTTGCTGTACTGCGTTGTCCGCAGCGGCAGCTGGTCTCTGACGTGGCGCCCCACCTAAGCATCTGTACGCCACCAACATGTTTTTGAACGTAATATTAAACAAATGAACAGTTATGAAACCATTCAAAAGTGTGAACAACCCCTAATAACGTGGATAATTAAAGTAACACTTTGGAAATGATTTGGCTAGAATTAAGAGACCCGATACTTGGGAATAAATTCACGGAGGGTGTAATTATACGGAAAGGGTGAGCCGACTTTCCATTGGCCGGGGGGTGGCCTGGGGGGTGGGGGCAATCTTCGGGATGAAAAATTGTGTTAAATTGCTGCACGCCGTTGGTGTATATGTCCATCCTCCAGCATGACAAGCATAACTGATGTGGTGTCGGCTTGGGAAGCATCTCATGTTCCAGCCAACTAGTCGAGAACAAGGTCCTTCAGTTCGCAGAAAGCCCGGGGAATGGAGATGGATACCTGAGTAGCTTAAGCAATAGCTCTCACCAGACTCGGCAATGCCTGAATGTCTGCGAAGGGTTCGAGTTTAAGGCTTCTCTAACGTGTAATCTGGTTGACACTCCTAACTTTTATGCATGGTATGAGGGCTGTTTATATTGGGCTCTGGGGCCTGCCGCTTAAAACTAAACTTTTTATTTTATTTTACCAGGTAAGGCCCACTGAGCTATGTAGCTCTTTTTCAGAAGCCACCTGGCCACAAATTATAGCTCAACGAAGTGGCTTATGTGGAAATTTTATAGCAGCCACATACTCTAAAAGCATGTTTCTAAATGAGGGGAAACCCGGATGACATGGAGAAAAATCAATGCGACCACGGGGAGAAAATGCAAACTCCAAATATACAGGTGGAATGGTTGGGATCGAACCCATGACCTGTATACCAGTTGAGGTAGTTGTATACCAGGTGAGGTAGTAAACATCTCGCCACCGCAGGACACTCAATTCAGGCCTCGTGAGGTTCAGAAATTAAGCCCATATTTTCCCCGCGTACAATTATATTCCCAGTGCATTACCATTATGGTGTGCAGAGATGAGTATGTGTCATCTTGTCCTGGTCACCTGACAATGGAAGCAGCCACACCTTGGACTAGTCACAGGGACAGAGGGATGGGCCAGGTGAGGAATAGAGAACTCCTCTTGTCTTTAGGTGGGGGATCAGAGGATAATATACATACATTTACTCAACTTATTCCCAGGAAAAAATTGCACATGATGGATCTGAGTGATTTTCTATGCGACTCCACTTTTAACGTATTACCAATTAATGCATGTTTTTGTCTGAACTTATTTAATATTGTAATACACTTAAGTAACACATCACAATTTATATTTTAATCATTTGACTTCTTTATTTCATGGAAATGGATGCCCACATGATAAACCGCATTGTTTATATTTTGTTTGGCATATTGATCAAAGGATTGCTGCCCATAAAGTCAATATAAAATGTACATCTGTAGAGTATGTAACTGCAGTGTAAAAATAACGTTTGTTTTCTGGTCCCATCCCATGTCAAACATCACGGTACAACCAGAACATATATCAAGACAGCTAACCAGTCCAGCGTGCTTCAGCAACCGTTCCGCAGCATCACAGCTGTACCTCCAAACAATGTCATGGCAGTGATTGTGCTACAGCACTCCAGAAAGTTAATTTGAAGTCTTTTCTTAGAGAAGATTCAGACCCGAGTCAGACCACCTTGGACACACTGCCTTGATACCTTTCTAAAACGTGAGAGCGGTTTGTTTTTTTGGCTTCCGTGTTCCTTGAATAAGATACAAGAAATCATCATCAGCCATGGTCAATGTACTGCTGGGATGAAGGCCTCAACAGTCTTCCTCCATCGCTTTAGAGAAAAAGTAAAATAAACCATTAATCATAATAATGTTTATATATAATTTAAAGTCATAAATCCCCCACAAACCATCCCCTAACCCTCACCACAAGCCTTTGAAACGACACCGCAAGTCAGATGGATCCCCAGATGTGGGTCAAAGGTTGGTGAATGATTTGTGGCTGGGTTCACGCGGACATGCGGGCACTGGCTGAGAGCTGTGAGCACGCTTAGATCTGGGGAGAAGGCACGGTGAGCATCCCTGCCAGCTTCATCTTGCCAATGCCTCCGTCAAGCACGCACACTCGCGGGAAGCACAGCGTCACCAGCTTACCTGCAAACTGGAACAGATAAAATAAAAATAACGTTAAACTTAATATTTAACAAGCTCAGCAGCAGCCATTGTCTATCTGCAATCCATAATACTCTCAGAAGCTAATTGCATAGCTCCATCTACGCTTTCAAAATCCTCTAAGATGTGTTCCGTGATTAGGGTGGTGATTGTGTGAAGGTAAGGTATAGGGTGGCAACTGTGTGTGGCTTAAGTAGTATGTAGGACTGTCTAGGGAGGGTGTAGTGATAGCATGTGGTGTATGGGACAGGGATGTGCGGGCAGGGGAGGCAGAGCCTCACCTGTCATACTCCAATGAACATGGCTGTTACAAAAAGTAAAAAAAAAGAATCAAATGAAATAAATATTAAGATTTTTCCACTGATCTGTGTTATGTAATTTCTGTACGATTCCAATCATTTTTATAGTCAAAAGCTCCACTGCAAATACAGGAAGAGACGAGAGGTGAGGAACCTCCCCTCTGCGCAACCCTTCAGTAACTGGATGGAGCGTGGGCAATAAGCGTGTGCCTGTTACTATTTCAGTGTCACCAATGTAAAGTTTGTAGACCCCTTCATTTCATGTCCTCGCCTTCCATACTCCAGGTAACTTATTTCACGTATGTGTATAAAGATATTTAGGCTCGCTGGTCTCGTCATGAAACTGCAATGAAAAAGCACCAGGGGAGGCAGCTATCACATCTGCCTCACTGAGGGGGACGTGTCTAACACGCCCCCCTCAGTGAGGGCACACCCTCCTCCGTGAGGCCACGCCCTCCTCCGTGAGGCCACGCCCCTCTCAGTATGTGAATCTGGCTCTGACACGAGCCAGTGCCTCCCCAGCCAATTGACCTCACCGCACGTCACTGCTATGGGAGCGCGTAGAGTGGCGACTGGGTGGCACGTGTGGGCACGGTGTAGAGTGGCGACCGCGTGCGGCGCGAGGTCGCGCATACGCGCCTCAGCCGCAGCGCTTGCTGTGTGTCCGATGACGACGATGACGCGGCCCCGGTGCGCGTGCAGCGTGGACGAGGCGGAGCACGGCACCAGGGTCCCCTCGGGGGAGAAGGCGGTTGCCTGCGGGATATTCACGCTGCCTGTCACGTGTCCACGGGAGAACCTGGAGGTACGGTTAAGGAAACACGCCTCCGCAGGCCGACGACACGATGAGCATCCAACGGGGATTAGAGCAAACGCCCTCGGGAACAGGGCAGTGGATTTCCGCCGATGCGTCAAATGTCTATTAACGTGAAATTAATGGACGTTAATTTACTGTCCTTCATTGGGAAGGAGCCCCATGAGATGATATTTTTACAATGGAGCACCGAGCACATTTAGTTTTGCTACATCAGTTATCTTTCTTATGCAATGTGCTTTCGTCATGAAGTTAAAGATGTCACCCATAAGATCTCAATACCTCTGATATATACTTTACAGAAGACGGCGACTCGTAGCAATCCTCCACTTGACATTGTGAGCAGTGGCATGAGTCTTTCCACTTCATTCAGAAGGGCGCATTGGAATATGCACGACCACTAGGCTACCCACAAACCACCTGGGTCCTGTGACTTCTCCTGTGGAGGATGACAGCCACTGCACAACCTGGCACATTCCCATCATGCACTTTATACTCACACATAACTACAATGATAAACATCAGCTAATATAAATATGCACATTCTTACACTGTCATTTCAATAACTTAACTGAATCTTCCGTAGTGTGTATATTTCACATAAACATGGGAATACCAAACACCATGAATACAATTACGAAAGGTGTGCAACTTTTTTTTTTAAACGAGACATCGTTCATGTCTGAGCATTAGCTTCAGAATACTCATATTGAATTAAACAGGATGGTATATGTTACAAATATAATTTACTTGGGGTTCCTTTAATATTTTCATCTCTGACCTCAGGCATGCACACATGCTCCCATACAAAGCCAGGAAAACACTTTGCATGCACACATTCATACAACGAGTCTCCTGCTCTCTCAACTTTAGCTGAAAACCTAAAACGTCTATGGTCCTCCTATCCCAGTCTGTGTTGTCCTTGTGCGTGGAAGGCAAGCAAGCCAAGGGATAACCTCACCCAGATTTGATTCGGAGAGTGCTAGCAAAAAGCTGGATTTGGCCTGAATATAAATATGGATTAGTATTCATCCAATCCCTATGCGGTGAGGAGCCTCCTTTGGCACGAGTTTCAATTGAATTGCATTGCTCTACCCCCTCCCCCATCCCACACAGCGTTGCCGAAGCGTTATGAGCGAGGAGGCCGTAAGCGGCATCTGGCGGTACACCAGTGTAGCACAACACGCCGGTCCTCACAAAACAGTCCAACAATGTCACTGTTGCCCATGGAGCAGCCAATCGCCATCATGGCTGAATACTGCTATACAGCAACACACTGAAGCTTCGTGTTAGCTGCTCGTAACATTCGTCTTCCGACTGCTTCGACATCACGAGAACTGACTTTGGGGAGCACCCCCCGCAAGATCTTCCAACCGAGGTTGCGAATCGTAGGAAAGTAAACAATTACTGCTTAAAAATTAGCTTTTTGTTTTATGCCGCGCACCACCGCTGTACCACCAATACACGTTCACGTGCGCACACATGGGCCTGCGCTGCGGAAGCAGGATACTCCTCGGCAGTGCGCACGTCCACGGCCAGCAGCTTGGGCTTGCTGGCACGCAGCTTGCGGCCCGGGCTGCGAGCTGGACCCGACGGCGCCGGCGCCGGCGCCGTTTGAGTCGCGGGGCTCCGCGAGGCAGACGGACCCCGCAGCTCGCACAGCTCGATGAGGTCTTCGGCAGAGATGCGTGGACACGTCTCTTCCTTGAGCTCACTCAGGCGCAGAGGCTCCCGCATCTGCACCGTGGGTGGGAGGGGAGCGATGGGAGGAACAGACCAGGGTGTTCCTCTCGTCGAGAAAGGCTTAGCTTATTTACACTTTCTACTCGGCACATGTTACCGTCAGCCGATTAGCACGGTTGGCTAGGTACTGATCGTAAAAAGTTCAACGTGTACATACATTACAGTAGGACGGCAGGCATGACTGAACAGTGTTCTATCCAGACAACGACAGCGTATAATTAAATCATAAACTGCATCTCAGCACTGGAGCATCTGAGCTATGAGCTCAGAAACAAGGAATAAGCATGCACACGTACAGTAAAACCTTGGATTGCGAGCATAATTCGTTACGGAAACATGTTTGTAATTCAAAGCACTCGCATATCAGTTGTGATCACGTGACGCTCGCCAGACAAAGCGTATACGTACTACTCGTATTGCAAGACCTCGCTCGTTTATCAAATTAATATTTATTTCTAATTTTTGCTCGTCTTGCAAAACACTCGCAGACCAAGTTACTCGCAATCCAAGGTTTTACTGTACATCTATTCCTTAACCTTAGAACAGTCTTAAATAGCTGAGCAATCACCTGGTCAAGCCCCCCTACCCCAAAGAAAATCCCTTCCTGTCCCCCCCCCCCCACGGCCTGCTCTTATGAGTCCGGTTTGCCCAATACCGTCGATGCCCCTGGTAATGCCGTCCAGAACGTCAGGATGTTGCAATGTATGATGTGAGGATGTGGAATAAAACATATTTGATTAAAAAAGACAGACTGCAATTTCACAGGCTCACACACTTCGTACTCATGCACAGGGGTAGTTCTAAAACAGGATGGGCATCAATTGGCATTTTCCCCCAAAAAAATCGCGTGTGGTGCAGCGGGGCGTGCACCCGCGTTGCGGTATTTCAGTGTGGCGAGCGTGCGCGTTGTTCACTGTGGCACCAGCTCAGTGCGGGGCGTGTCCTGAGCCTCCATGGAGAAGAGCGCCCCAAACTTGTGCGTGGGCAGAGCGGCGGGCCGGTTGTGCTGCGCATGCCGTCGGTAAGTGGCGCTCTTGGGCGTCCAGCAAAACAGGCTGACCGACTCCCGCACGCAGCGCTCAATGTCGATTTCTGAAAGAGTGGCCATGTTTTAGCAGCACGCCGCTGTGAAGACGGAGCCCTACCCAACATGCACACATTGCAATTAACACCAGCAGCAATTATGCATGTCGGAAAAAATATGACACTTTTTTTAACCCAGGAAAGCTTCACTGGGTCTCAATACTTTTTCAGGGCAGATTCTGCAAATTTTTACAGTTGGGGGCGATTTTCACGTGTGCAATTCCCAGTGAGTAATTAGCATGTAATTGTTCAGCAAATGGATATTTTGGCCAAGAGTGTTAACATTGTATGTTTTTTTGTTTACCGATGGGAGGAAACCCATGCAGAACAGGGGGAGAAAATACAAACCCCACACAAAACGGTGTCCGAGTCAAGAATCGAACCCAGGCCCCTCTTGCTTGGAGGCACAAATGTTATCCCCACGCCACCCTGCCACCCAATACCAACATTACACCAAAGATGGTGAGGTCTTGCCACATACTGGGAAAGTAAATGACAAAAGGAGATTTGTGTTTGCTGTTGCTGGCGAATGACTGCTGGTCTGAAGAGTTGAATTAAAGTACATGTCTCCACCAGTGCCGCGGTATAGGATGTGCAGTCGGTGGGGCATACTGTAGCGCAACAGTGGGCTGCAATATACCCGCGGCCCATACAAGCGGCATGCAGCGTAAGCGTGGAAGTTAATGCTACTGCTGTAGAGAGCAAGAGACTAATCCCTCCTGGAGGGCAGTCTGCGGTGTAGGGAGTACAAGGAGATGTAAGGTCCTCCAGGTGGAGTCTTTTCAGCGATGAGTCACCAAACTTGGCGTCCATGTACGAGGTGCCTCTGTGGATGTGTAGGCTTTGACTTTAACATGGCTATTTCTGTGACCAGTCACAAGATAATCCCTCAACTGTTTCAATGCTAAATTCTCCTGTTTGATGTGTAAACCCCTTTGTCAAGGTGCCTCACTTCTCTCAACCAGCTTAAAAGACGCTGCGAATCTTAGCAGCGTTCACTGTAGCTCTGTCGTCCCGACAGGTTTGTTCCTTTCACCTGAAGAAGGCCACCTGTGTCGTGGCCGAAACGTCGTGAGAATTTTATTGTTTTATTTTATTATTTTATTCTCATTCTACGTGACTTTACCGAAAGAACCAAAGAGGTTGGTATTCAGTCCTTTGCGTGAGTCCCGGTGCTGCAACTGCACACCTGGCAAGTCGGAGAAGAGCAGGATGCACTCATTGAATCCGCTGAGCAGCAGGCGCGCGCGCAGCTGCTGCAGCACGGCCACGGCCACGCAGAGCGGGAAGGCCGAACTGCCCAGGAGCAGCGTGTCCCACAGGTGGAACATCTTGTGCAGTGGGAACACGTCTGCGCGCCCACACACAGCGGCGCACGCCGCGCTTAAGTGTCGAGCGGCGACGTGGCGCGTTCGCCGCTTGTTGCAGAGGTTTGTGGGTCGAATCCAGCGGCTGCCCTGATTAATTCTGCTGGTGTGATAACCGTAGAATAAGTGCATCTGCTTCATAGCAGACATTAATGATCCTGCGAAGTCGTTTGTAAAGAGTAGGCCGTTGTGTGCCGTGTCATGGTCCAAATTTTGCAAACATTTTTCAAATTACCCACAAAATTACTCAATTGGAATATACATCGCGATTAATTTCCCTGCATGTGAAATATTGGCAGGACCCTGCTGAATAAGTCATGGCATCATAGTAAAGTGTGATCTCCAACTTTTATTTGAGTAAAGGAACACTGCCTGAAACATTACCCTCGTGTACATTGCTTCTATTATGAGGCAGCATTAGTAATATATAGTTACGTTCGGTACATTCAACTAAAATTAAGGTCAATTGGCTCAGATAACCAGGCGAGAGCCCTGATAGACTCATCTCCTTTATATTGAGGTCTGTGAAAGCACTGCTAAGCATGGGCTGTTTTTTTACTTTTACAGGTATGCTGGAGGTGATTTCTAAAGTTGGCTTTGGGCTATGACACAAGCACACAAAGGCATATTTTTTGTTCATATCGCAAAGTCTTTACTGTCTACTTTTAAACATAATGATATATCATCTTAGTAATGCCCTGTAATAATTACTGGATGGCACCACAAAAATTTAGTTGATTAAATTGTGTATTTGATTCATAGAGTTAATCAAATGCGCATCCCAGGCTCCAGCTGACTTTACCCAGAGACGTTCAAGGGGGCTAATGGTTGACAGGGGGGCACAGGGCAATTGAGATCACGTGGGGGGGTCAACACTGAGGGGACAGGTAGGAGCAGGTGCCTAGAACGCGCACAAAGCGTGTGCACTCACGTGTGAACATGGTGAGGAACCAGGGTATGGCGTAGAGCTGCAAGAGACGCACCACACCAAATCAGAGACACACCACAGGAAATCAGAGACACACCACAACGAATCAGAGACACACCACACTGAGCCAGAGACACACCACACCAAGTCAGAGACACACCACAATGAGCCAGAGACACACCACACCGACTCAGAGACACACCACACGAAAATCAGAGACACACCACACCGAGTCAGAGGACACACCACACCACATCAGAGACACACCACACCTAGTCAGAGACACACCACACCTAGTCAGAGACACATCACACCGAGTCAGAGACACACCACGCCAAGCCAGAGACACACCACACTGAACCAGACACACCACACTGAACCAGACACACCATCCCGAGCTAGAGACACACCACACTGAACCAGAGACACACCACACCGAGTCGGCACCATCCTTGGCTCACAACACGTGCTGTGCGGGAAAGCGGTCCTATCACAGCGGAATACAGAGCTCAGTCGCATCATAGTGTGAGAAGTCATATCACGGTTGGCATAGGACATGGAGAGATTCCACAGTAAAAAATATATATATAATAATTAGGTTTTATTTTGGCACGCATTAAAACCCATTGGGCTATGCATTCTCATTTTCTATGGGGGATCACGTTACAGCATATATCTCTTATTACGGCAAAGTGTGAATAAAGCTATCCAGAAACTACAGCTGCAAATAGAAGTGGGCCCAAAATATCTCAAATGTCGCAACCTTTATTCTTTAACACATGTATATTTTAAAAGTCTAATTGTATTATATTTGTATGTGAGAGAATAAAACCCACTGTGAGGTTGTCTAGTTGTGTCAATAAATAACCCTGTTGTTTATGAAATGCTGCATATTAAACTTTTCTGGCCTAACCCATATGCAGATCTAATAAACATAACACACTGAAAACAGTTCGTTCATGATTGGGAAGATGAGGGCCAACGAGCGACTCACATCTGGGATGAAGCCGATGCTGTTGAGGTGGTTGTTGAGCTCGGGGTCGTGGAAGGCAATCATTTGGGAGAACACCTTCAGGTACTCTGCAACAACAAGTGCCCGGACACGGAATGGAGACACAGAGAGGAAATTCACCACGTGGTTTCACAAACCATCCTCACAGGGCAGTATTCTGGTTCTATTCTTGCGTGCGGCAATATACGTTTAGGCGCCAAATGCCAATGTTGATGTCTGCGACCCACGTGGACACTGGAATACAGCAATCCCTTGCCAACCGCGGTTTTGAGTATCCATGCGTAATATTACGTCTACCGTTTTGCCATCCACGGCATACAGTTTCACGTAACCGTTTTGTTTCCCGCCGGCCGTGATTTCAAATCTCCAGCCGTGTTCAAGCATCCGCCACCAGGGGCGCATCAAGCACCTATATTCCTATAACCACGCTTGCCCGCATACAGTAGTCGTCCGCGTCGTTCAGTGTTGTGCAGCAGTCGTGAAAACGTAGTGCTGTCATTTATAGCTGGTGAAAGTGTAGAGGCAGGCCCCGGGTTACGGAAGGGTTAGGTTTCCGAGAAATATCCGTAACCCGGATTTTCCGTATGTCGGAAACGGAACAATTTTCCTCCAAAATCAAGATAAAATCTCATAGCCAGAAATAGTTGTATTCTCCCCTATCCAATTACTAGCTGGCATTCTCTCAGTACTACATCACGCAGACGTCCGTTTTCTATCACTATCTGCATCGTATCGCTGTTAATGGCACTCTGCACTCCCTATGATTCTTTCATTGATCGAATATCTACCCTAACACTACCCATAATTACACTAATGGAACATATACTGTACGGTGTCCAATTGTTTATGAATACCATGAAGCATAGAAAACAATTAGGTAATGCTATGAAAGGAAAAGAGACGATGTGGTGCGTGTAGAGTCTACTCAGGGTAACAATGTAACAAGCTTGACTCGAAGTGCTCATATAGTACACACCACCGCCTTGGGGAATACGTGGCCCTGCCTTACGCCTCGCTCCGCGGTATTCATCCGCAACCTCACCGCGCTGCCCTATTTGCGCTAACGTAACTAATGCAAACATTTAAGCGTACAGGATTTATCTTTTTTATTATTTATGGGAGCATTTCCGTAAAGTCGGATTTCCGTAAGTCGAATCTTCCGTAACCCAGGGACTGTCTGTACTGTAATTATTGTACAATACAGTGAACTATCGGTTTAATGGACTAATCCGGGGGAAGGGGTGTCCATAGAATCCGATTGTCAGTTAATGGCCAAATTATGTATTTTGAGCACTAAATCACACCCTACCACAAACTACTTACTGGTAGTACAGTAATGATACAAATAAAATATATTGTAATGCTTTTAAAATAAAAAAGAAATCAACACATTCCACGAGTGCAATAATGCCTTTACATTAATAATACAGTAATACATTACAGTACCGTACTAATACTCTAATACAGTACTGTACATTCACACTTTCAAGCATGATTTGAGTGGCGGATACATGTGTAGTGCTGTGAATTTACTCGGACGACAACCGCCTTTCTTCCACCGTCACTTTCATTTCCATCGTTCCGCACACACACACACTATATAATTTCACACACACACTATATAATTTCACACACACACACTATATAATTTCACACACACACACTATAATTTCACACACACACTATAATTTCACACACACACACTATATAATTTCACACACACACACTATATATAATTTCACACACACACTATATAATTTCACACACACACACTATATAATTTCACACACACACTATATAATTTCACACACACACACAATATATATAATTTCACACACACACTATAATTTCACACACACACACTATATAATTTCACACACACTATATAATTTCACACACACACACTATATAATTTCACACACACACACTATATATAATTTCACACACACTATATATAATTTCACACACACACACTATATATAATTTCACACACACACTATATAATTTCACACACACACTATAATTTCACACACACACACTATATAATTTCACACACACACACTATATAATTTCACACACACACACACTATATAATTTCACACACACACACTATATAATTTCACACACACACACTATATAATTTCACACACACACTATATAATTTCACACACACACACTATATAATTTCACACACACACATACTATATAATTTCACACACACACTATATAATTTCACACACACACACTATCATTTCACACACACACACTATATAATTTCACACACACACACTATAATTTCACACACACTATATAGAATTTCACACACACACACTATATAGTTTCACACACACACACTATATAGTTTCACACACACACACTATAATTTCACACACACACACTATATAGTTTCACACACACACACTATATAATTTCACACACACACACACTATATAATTTCACACACACACACTATATAGTTTCACACACACTATATAATTTCACACACACACACTATATAATTTCACACACACACTATATCATTTCACACACACTATATAATTTCACACACACTATATAATTTCACACACACACACTATATAATTTCACACACACACACACACACTATATAATTTCACACACACACACTATATAATTTCACACACACACACACTATATAATTTCACACACACACACTATAATTTCACACACACACACTATAATTTCACACACACACACTATATAATTTCACACACACACACTATATAATTTCACACACTATATAATTTCACACACTATATAATTTCACACACACTATATAATTTCACACACACTATATAATTTCACACACACACTATAATTTCACACACACACACTATAATTTCACACACACACACTATAATTTCACACACACACACTATAATTTCACACACACTATAATTTCACACACACACTATAATTTCACACACACACACTATATAATTTCTCCTCTCCGCGCTCGGCCAACTCGAACACTCGAATTCCCCTCAGCACCGTCCGCTCATACTCCTTGTCTTCCCACACACAGTGGTTCTCTATCTCCTCACACACAGTGACTCGTCTATCTCTTCACACGCAGTGACTTGTCTATCTCTTCACACACAGTGACTCGTCTATCTCCTCACACACAGTGACTCTGTCTATCTCTTCACACACAGTGACTCTGTCTATCTCTTCACACACAGTGACTCGTCTATCTCTTCACACACAGTGACCTGTCTATCTCTTCACACACAGTGACCTGTCTATCTCTTCACACACAGTGACTCGTCTATCTCTTCACACACAGTGACTATCTCTTCACACACAGTGACTCGTCTATCTCTTCACACGCAGTGACTTTATCTATCTCCGCACACACAGTGACTTGTCTATCTATTCACACACAGTGACTCGTCTACCTTTTCACACACAGTGACTTGTCTATCTATAACTCTCGCTGTACCTATCTCTCCCGTAACTACCCCTCTGCTAACGCTAACTCTCCCTATCGCTATTTACTGTCCTTTGGGTTCGGCTCTCAATCTATTCTTCACTAACACTTGCCGGCTCTCCTCTTCGCATCTCTCGCTGCTCTCTCCGCCTCTGGCCAACAACTCCCCAACAACAACTCAACTGCGTGTCCAAATCACCTAGCGTTTTATCCCCTTTCCAATCAGCCTTAATTAATTGCCACGTGTCTCGCTGGCATTTTTCCGCCAGCTCGCACCTGTCCAATGGTCCAGACTTCGTGACGCCGCCACTTAATGCTAACAGCCTCTCGACCAATCACAGCCCTCGTGCCATGACTCCCTTAATTACTTCGGTTTGTTTACGCCACCCGTGACTCGACCACCTGCTCGACCTTATGTGACCCACACTGCTTGTATGTCTGTATGTACTGTATATGGTCAATTTACCCATGCATATATTTTACTCCACTACACATGTAAAGCCTTTGTATTGTAACGCAATACCAACCCGTTCTGATGAAACTGTTCCAGCGGCAAGCAATCACTGTTCACCTTTATCGCGATGTTATGTATACAATACCGTACAATATTTTTAAAGACCAAAGTACTTTAAATGTACTGAGATACCCTTTTTCCACTTTTGTTTATCCTATTTTGATCTATTTTAAACAACAAAAAAACCATGTGTAGTATAATAAATATCGTGTACCCATTTAGGGAAAGAAGCGAATATTGACCGGACTGATTTCCCAATAACCAAAATCCATTGTTGTCTGATCTTCGGACAAAACTCGAAATCAGCAGATTTTGTCTCTTAAATCCGAGATAACGTTAAATGGGGGTCCGTCAAACCGAGGGTTTACTGTACCACTCATTTTTTGCCCTTAATCGTGGCCCCTATGAGCCGAGTTGGTGGTGACGGTGAGCGTCCGTCATGTGAAGAGGGCAACGAAAGTGGTTTGTCTTTAAGAGAAAAGAGTTCTGAGGAGGGGGAAAGCTCCTCATCCCTATAACCCTCCCCTCCCTTAACATCACCATCGTCGTCATCATTGTCAACGTCATCTGGACTTCACTACAGTATTCATATTAAAGGTATTTACAATTATTTTTGTTCACGATTAATATGAAAGATATTTATGTTCATACAGTACTGTACGTATTTCTCATGTGTACCAAATGCATTGGATGCGTAGTTAGGCTACGATGAGTGTTAACTGTGGACACGGAATCTAACCCCCTATTTTGCATAGTCTTGCCAAACACGGGGCTTTTCAAGAACCTAACCCCCGCAGTTGACATGAACACACGGAACAGGCGCGACGTGAACACACGGAACAGGCGCGACGTGAACACACGGAACAGGCGTGACGTGAACACACGGAACAGGCGTGACGTGAACACACGGAACAGGCGTGACATGAACACACGGAACAGGCGTGACGTGAACACACGGAACAGGCGTGACATGAACACACGGAACAGGAGGGACATGAACACACGGAACAGGCGCGACATGAACACACGGAACAGGCGTGACATGAACACACGGAACAGGTGTGACGTGAACACACTGAACAGGCGTGACATGAACACACGGAACAGGCGTGACGTGAACACACGGAACAGGCGTCACATGAACACACGGAACAGGCGTGACATGAAGACACACGGAACAGGCGCGACATGAACACACGGAACAGGCGTGACATGAAGACACACGGAACAGGCGCGACGTGAACACACGGAACAGGCGTGACGTGAACACACGGAACAGGCGTGACGTGAACACACGGAACAGGCGTGACGTGAACACACGGAACAGGCGCGACGTGAACACACGGAACAGGCGTGACATGAACACACGGAACAGGCGTGACATGAACACACGGAACAGGTGTGACATGAACACACCGAACAGGCGTGACGTGAACACACGGAACAAGCGTGACATGAACACACGGAACAAGCGTGACATGAACACACGGAACAGGCGTGACGTGAACACACGGAACAGGCGCGACATGAACACACGGAACAGGCGCGACGTGAACACACGGAACAGGCATCACGTGAACACACGGAACAGGCGTGACGTGAACACACGGAACAGGCGTCATGTGAACACATGGAACAGGCGCGACATGAACACACAGAACAGGCGTCACATGAACACACGGAACAGGCGCGACGTGAACACACGGAACAGGCGTGACGTGAACACACGGAACAGGCGCAACGTGAACACACGGAACAGGCGTGACGTGAACACACAGAACAGGCGTCACATGAACACACGGAACAGGCGCAACGTGAACACACGGAACAGGTGTGACATGAACACACAGAACAGGCGTGACATGAACACACAGAACAGGCGTGACATGAACACACGGAACAGGAGGGACATGAACACACGGAACAGGCGCGACATGAACACACGGAACAGGCGTGACATGAACACACGGAACAGGTGTGACGTGAACACACGGAACAGGCACGACGTGAACACACGGAACAGGCACGACGTGAACACACGAAACAGGCATCACGTGAACACACGGAACAGGCGCGACATGAACACACAGAACAGGCGTCACATGAACACACGGAACAGGCGTCACGTGAACACACGGAACAGGCGCAACGTGAACACACGGAACAGGCGTGACGTGAACACACGGAACAGGCGTGACGTGAACACACTGAACAGGCGTCACGTGAACACACGGAACAGGCGTGACGTGAACACACGGAACAAGCGTGACGTGAACACACGGAACAGGCGCGACATAAACACACAGAACAGGCGTGACGTGAACACACGGAACAGGCGTGACGTGAACACACGGAACAGGCGCGACGTGAACACACGGAACAGGCGTCACGTGAACACACGGAACAGGCGCGACGTGAACACACGGAACAGGCGTGACGTGAACACACGGAACAGGCTTGACATGAACACACGGAACAGGTGTGACATGAAGACACACGGAACAGGCGTGACGTGAACACACGGAACAGGCGTGACATGAACACACGGAACAGGAGGGACATGAACACACGGAACAGGAGGGACATGAACACACGGAACAGGCGTGACATGAACACACGGAACAGGAGTGACGTGAACACACGGAACAGGAGGGACATGAACACACGGAACAGGCGTGACATGAACACACGGAACAGGAGTGACGTGAACACACGGAACAGGAGGGACATGAACACACGGAACAGGCGTGACATGAACACACGGAACAGGAGTGACGTGAACACACAGAACAGGAGGGACATGAACACACGGAACAGGAGGGACATGAACAGCACAGCCAGTCATGAGCTAACCAGACAGCACACTCAGTATGGTGGGAGCAGAACATTCGTTTGGCAGCAAGCGAAATACTACACATGTACTTTCTAATGCCATAATTATTTATGTAATGGGGGCATCACAGAATATAAATATCCATCTCCACGAGATGTAACGACTGTTTAGAGCAAATGCTCTGGTATATTAAACACCTCTGTCTGTTGCACTTCCACAATTCTACAAAGACATTTTAATTCATCACTCATCTGCATGCACTTTAGTTCCGGTTTGATTATGGAAATTATTTTTTTGTTCAAAGGTTGTCCATTAAACTTAGCATGTATTGATGAATACGAATGTTACAAGAATCGCACAATCACAAGCATGCTTTCTAAAGAGTAAAAATGCTCGAATAGTAGAGCGATTTTAAATCTGGGGACCTGATGTGTTAAGAGAAGTGATCCAGTGCTAAACGGTGTGATGATATAATGGTCCCACATACACAAGGGGCCAAAGGTGTAAATGGGAGTCGTAGCGTGGACCCTCATCTGGTGTCTAAACCTGTGCGTGGCGTGTGGCTGCACCGAGCGACAAGTTAAGTATCCGAGAAGGGGTTTACCTTGGATGACATTCGAGTTGTCCTTCATGAAGAAGTTGTGCAGGTATTTGGGAATGAAAGCAGACATGCAGGAATAAGCCAAGGCTGCAGAAAAAAAAAGCCGCGATGTTTATCACCACCATCATTTTAACATCCACCGATACAATTAGACAACACAGCACGGTAGTATGAAAAGTTACACCGATGCTAACGCAATTAGTGTATGTGTAGTGCGTCCAACTGAGTTGCAGACGTTGTTCCTTTTAGAGGCAACATATTTATTCAAAACACGTATATACAAAAGGGGTAACTGCCCCTTTACCAGATACAGCCTAGGGTGGTGACCACCCAGCTAACTACACTATACAGAGGAGTTACAGCTACCAAGGGTCGGACCCTCTCACTCGGGTCCGCGACCACGTGGTTGCCTCGTAGGACGTAGAGCTTCCAGCATGTAGGACAAAGAGCTTCAGCTTGAGACGTAGAGCTTCCAGCTTGTAGATGTAGAGCTTCCAGCTTGTAGATGTAGAGCTTCCAGCTTGTAGGACGTAGAGCTTCCAGCTTGTAGGACGTAGAGCTTCCAGCTTGTAGATGTTGAGCTTCCAGCTTGTAGATGTTGAGCTTCCAGCTTGTAGATGTAGAGCTTCCAGCTTGTAGGACGTAGAGCTTCCAGCTTGTAGGACGTAGAGCTTCCAGCTTGTAGATGTTGAGCTTCCAGCTTGTAGGACGTAGAGCTTCCAGCTTGTAGATGTAGAGCTTCCAGCTTGTAGGACGTAGAGCTTCCAGCTTGTAGGACGTAGAGCTTCCAGCTTGTAGGACGTAGAGCTTCCAGCTTGTAGATGTAGAGCTTCCAGCTTGTAGATGTTGAGCTTCCAGCTTGTAGATGTTGAGCTTCCAGCTTGAGATGTAGAGCTTCCAGCTTGTAGATGTAGAGCTTCCAGCTTGAGACGTATAGCTTCCAACTTGTAAATGTAGAGCTTCCAGCTTGAGACGTAGAGCTTCCAGCTTGTAGGACGTAGAGCTTCCAGCTTGTAGGACGTAGAGCTTCCAGCTTGTAGATGTTGAGCTTCCAGCTTGTAGATGTTGAGCTTCCAGCTTGAGACGTAGAGCTTCCAGCTTTTAGGTGTTGAGCTTCCAGCTTGAGACGTAGAGCTTCCAGCTTGTAGATGTTGAGCTTCCAGCTTGTAGATTTAGAGCTTCCAGCTTGTAGATGTAGAGCTTCCAGCTTGTAGGACGTAGAGCTTCCAGCTTGTAGGACGTAGAGCTTCCAGCTTGTAGATGTAGAGCTTCCAGCTTGTAGGACGTAGAGCTTCCAGCTTGTAGGACGTAGAGCTTCCAGCTTGTAGATGTTGAGCTTCCAGCTTGTAGGACGTAGAGCTTCCAGCTTGTAGATGTAGAGCTTCCAGCTTGTAGGACGTAGAGCTTCCAGCTTGTAGGACGTAGAGCTTCCAGCTTGTAGGACGTAGAGCTTCCAGCTTGTAGATGTAGAGCTTCCAGCTTGTAGATGTTGAGCTTCCAGCTTGTAGATGTTGAGCTTCCAGCTTGAGACGTAGAGCTTCCAGCTTGTAGATGAAGAGCTTCCAGCTTGAGACGTACAGCTTCCAGCTTGTAGATGTAGAGCTTCCAGCTTGAGACGTAGAGCTTCCAGCTTGTAGGACGTAGAGCTTCCAGCTTGTAGGACGTAGAGCTTCCAGCTTGTAGATGTTGAGCTTCCAGCTTGTAGATGTTGAGCTTCCAGCTTGAGACGTAGAGCTTCCAGCTTTTAGGTGTTGAGCTTCCAGCTTGAGACGTAGAGCTTCCAGCTTGTAGATGTTGAGCTTCCAGCTTGTAGATGTTGAGCTTCCAGCTTGAGACGTAGAGCTTCCAGCTTGTAGGTGTTGAGCTTCCAGCTTGTAGACGTGGAGCTTCCAGTTTGTAGACGTAGAGCTTCCAGCTTGTAGGACGTAGAGCTTCCAGCTTGAGACGTAGAGCTTCCAGCTTGTAGATGTTGAGCTTCCAGCTTGTAGGACGTAGAGCTTCCAGCTTGTAGGACGTAGAGCTTCCAGCTTGTAGATGTTGAGCTTCCAGATTGTAGATGTTGAGCTTCCAGCTTGTAGGACGTAGAGCTTCCAGCTTGTAGATGTTGAGCTTCCAGCTTGTAGGACGTAGAGCTTCCAGCTTGTAGGACGTAGAGCTTCCAGCTTGTAGATGTTGAGCTTCCAGCTTGTAGGATGTAGAGCTTCCAGCTTGTAGGACGTAGAGCTTCCAGCTTGTAGATGTTGAGCTTCCAGCTTGTAGATGTTGAGCTTCCAGCTTGTAGGACGTAGAGCTTCCAGCTTGTAGATGTTGAGCTTCCAGCTTGTAGATGTTGAGCTTCCAGCTTGTAGGACGTAGAGCTTCCAGATTGAGACGTAAAGCTTCCAGCTTGTAGGACATAGAGCTTCCAGCTTGTAGGATGTAGAGCTTCCAGCTTGTAGATGTTGAGCTTCCAGCTTGTAGATGTTGAGCTTCCAGCTTGTAGGACATAGAGCTTCCAGCTTGAAGATGTTGAGCTTCCAGCTTGTAGGACGTAGAGCTTCCAGCTTGTAGGACGTAGAGCTTCCAGCTTGTAGATGTTGAGCTTCCAGCTTGTAGGACATAGAGCTTCCAGCTTGTAGGACGTAGAGCTTCCAGCTTGTTGATGTTGAGCTTCCAGCTTGTAGGACGTAAAGCTTCCAGCTTGTAGATGTTGAGCTTCCAGCTTGTAAATGTTGAGCTTCCAGCTTGTAGATGTTGAGCTTCCAGCTTGAGACGTAGAGCTTCCAGCTTTTAGGTGTTGAGCTTCCAGCTTGAGACGTAGAGCTTCCAGCTTGTAGATGTTGAGCTTCCAGCTTGTAGATGTAGAGCTTCCAGCTTGTAGATGTAGAGCTTCCAGCTTGTAGGACGTAGAGCTTCCAGCTTGTAGGACGTAGAGCTTCCAGCTTGTAGATGTAGAGCTTCCAGCTTGTAGGACGTAGAGCTTCCAGCTTGTAGGACGTAGAGCTTCCAGCTTGTAGATGTTGAGCTTCCAGCTTGTAGGACGTAGAGCTTCCAGCTTGTAGATGTAGAGCTTCCAGCTTGTAGGACGTAGAGCTTCCAGCTTGTAGGACGTAGAGCTTCCAGCTTGTAGGACGTAGAGCTTCCAGCTTGTAGATGTAGAGCTTCCAGCTTGTAGATGTTGAGCTTCCAGCTTGTAGATGTTGAGCTTCCAGCTTGAGACGTAGAGCTTCCAGCTTGTAGATGAAGAGCTTCCAGCTTGAGACGTACAGCTTCCAGCTTGTAGATGTAGAGCTTCCAGCTTGAGACGTAGAGCTTCCAGCTTGTAGGACGTAGAGCTTCCAGCTTGTAGGACGTAGAGCTTCCAGCTTGTAGATGTTGAGCTTCCAGCTTGTAGATGTTGAGCTTCCAGCTTGAGACGTAGAGCTTCCAGCTTTTAGGTGTTGAGCTTCCAGCTTGAGACGTAGAGCTTCCAGCTTGTAGATGTTGAGCTTCCAGCTTGTAGATGTTGAGCTTCCAGCTTGAGACGTAGAGCTTCCAGCTTGTAGGTGTTGAGCTTCCAGCTTGTAGACGTGGAGCTTCCAGTTTGTAGACGTAGAGCTTCCAGCTTGTAGGACGTAGAGCTTCCAGCTTGAGACGTAGAGCTTCCAGCTTGTAGATGTTGAGCTTCCAGCTTGTAGGACGTAGAGCTTCCAGCTTGTAGGACGTAGAGCTTCCAGCTTGTAGATGTTGAGCTTCCAGATTGTAGATGTTGAGCTTCCAGCTTGTAGGACGTAGAGCTTCCAGCTTGTAGATGTTGAGCTTCCAGCTTGTAGGACGTAGAGCTTCCAGCTTGTAGGACGTAGAGCTTCCAGCTTGTAGATGTTGAGCTTCCAGCTTGTAGGATGTAGAGCTTCCAGCTTGTAGGACGTAGAGCTTCCAGCTTGTAGATGTTGAGCTTCCAGCTTGTAGATGTTGAGCTTCCAGCTTGTAGGACGTAGAGCTTCCAGCTTGTAGATGTTGAGCTTCCAGCTTGTAGATGTTGAGCTTCCAGCTTGTAGGACGTAGAGCTTCCAGATTGAGACGTAGAGCTTCCAGCTTGTAGGACATAGAGCTTCCAGCTTGTAGGACGTAGAGCTTCCAGCTTGTAGATGTTGAGCTTCCAGCTTGTAGATGTTGAGCTTCCAGCTTGTAGGACATAGAGCTTCCAGCTTGAAGATGTTGAGCTTCCAGCTTGTAGGACGTAGAGCTTCCAGCTTGTAGGACGTAGAGCTTCCAGCTTGTAGATGTTGAGCTTCCAGCTTGTAGGACATAGAGCTTCCAGCTTGTAGGACGTAGAGCTTCCAGCTTGTTGATGTTGAGCTTCCAGCTTGTAGGACGTAAAGCTTCCAGCTTGTAGATGTTGAGCTTCCAGCTTGTAAATGTTGAGCTTCCAGCTTGTAGGACGTAGAGCTTCCAGCTTGTAGATGTTGAGCTTCCAGCTTGTAGATGCTGAGCTTCCAGCTTGTAGGACGTAGAGCTTCCAGCTTGTAGTACGTAGAGCTTCCAGCTTGTAGATGTTGAGCTTCCAGCTTGTAGGACATAGAGCTTCCAGCTTGTAGGACGTAGAGCTTCCAGCTTGTAGATGTTGAGCTTCCAGCTTGTAGGACGTAGAGCTTCCAGCTTGTAGATGTTGAGCTTCCAGCTTGTAGGACATAGAGCTTCCAGCTTGTAGGACGTAGAGCTTCCAGCTTGTAGATGTTGAGCTTCCAGCTTGTAGGACGTAGAGCTTCCAGCTTGTAGAATGCAACGACTCTGGTCCCTCTCAGGGACCGGCCTTATATCCCCCCACGGGTCAGGGCCGCTCCGCCCTTGGCCCCGCCCCCTTCTAGAGCCTTCCAGCTCCCTCTCGATCCCTCTCGAGAGCTCTCCCTGGACACGTGATCACCCCCTAGTCCCCCCACCTGGGGGCCTCTCTGTGGACACTCCGGATCATGGCCCGGGGCAACCCTGCTCCTGGGCTGACACTCTCTCACTCCCCCCTGTGGGGGCCCACATCACATGCTATGCGTGGTGCTCGCGCTATCCCAGCGCACACCAAGCCCCGCGAGGGCTGGTACTACACCCGCCCACGGGGTGTACGCGATGACGGTGCTACGCGTGCCGTGGCCCTCTCAGGCCGGCACCATACAGTGACATCCCCGATGTCACTACATCTGCATTAAAACCCATGACACATGCATACTCTAGGAAAGAAAAACATACGCACCCAATGCATTGCTTTAACTGCTTAGCGTATTTCTATGGATGTATGCTGAACTTCTTTCGCACCGTACGTAGCCAACCATGCGTATCGGAGGTGCGGGATACAGTGGGACGGCCTGCACAACCGCTGTTCAATTACCAACGTTTCTAAGGAAACACCACATATGCTCTCCTCTGCGAGCCATTCCCCCCCGCCGCAACATCACCGCACAAAACGAGGATTTGTTTTAGGTAGAGTAGCCCTCTCCGCTGCGTCTCAGAGCGCTTCACACACAATGAGTGACTTACGTCACATTTTAATTTTAAAAGCTGTGCCCGTGGGCACAAGGTGATTTAGCAACTGACCTGCAATCAGGCATTAGAGTGTGCCAGTCGAGGGCGATGACTGCTGCTGTGTCATCCAAATTGAGAGAAGTTTTTCTGCAATCCATCGCTTTGCCACCGTGTCCTTCCACTTCACTCCCCTCGCCATCCCACCGAGTGCTCCACAGCGAAATATCCCCCGTGTGAAGCTGTGGACTTGCAATTCCTAGCCCCTATATATTTATTAAATATCACATTCCATGAACCGTGGGTAACCCGTAGTGCAGCAAAATCATTGGCAATCCGCACCTTCATTGTTAAAGTTGAGGTAGAGAAACGGGGCGCAGAGCGAGTCAAGACCTGCAGAGACAGGGGATGAGAATGAGCTCGGCATGCCTAGCATGTAGATTTATTCAACACACACAGACACGCATTGTGGGATGACAACACTTGTGCAATGTTACTCGCTTTAAAGTGTGATCGATTGCATGTGTCCTAATGAATATATTTAGTATTTTACATAGGGGAAGTAATGAATTTAAGAAACAAAACACACGTGAATTATCACCCTTTGTGGCTGTTGTTGCCTCTATTTCATCAGGAGATTAGATCAACTGAGGCACAAAACCGGATCACCTCTATACTCTCTGGTTCTTTCGGTAATGTCACGTACAGTGAGGGAAAAAAGTATTTGATCCCCTGCTGATTTTGTACGTTTGCCCACTGACAAAGAAATGATCAGTCTATAATTTTAATGGTAGGTTTATTTGAACAGTGAGAGACAGAATAACAACAACAAAATCCAGAAAAACACATGTCAAAAATGTTATAAATTGATTTGCATTTTAATGAGGGAAATAAGTATTTCACCCCCTCTCAATCAGAAAGATTTCTGGCTCCCAGGTGTCTTTTATACAGGTAACAAGCTGAGATTAGGAGCACACTCTTAAAGGGAGTGCTCCTAATCTCAGCTTGTTACCTGTATAAAAGATACTTGTCCACAGAAGCAATCAATCAATCAGATTCCAAACTCTCCACCATGGCCAAGACCAAAGAGCTCTCCAAGGATGTCAGGGACAAGATTGTAGACCTACACAAGGCTGGAATGGGCTACAAGACCATTGCCAAGCAGCTTGGTGAGAAGGTGACAACAGTTGGTGCGATTATTCGCAAATGGAAGATACACAAAAGAACTGTCAATCTCCCTAGGCCTGGGGCTCCATGCAAGATCTCACCTCGTGGAGTTGCAATGATCATAAGAACGGTGAGGAATCAGCCCGGAACTACACGGGAGGATCTTGTCAATGATCTCAAGGCAGCTGGAACCATAGTCACCAAGAAAATAATGGTAACACACTACGCTGTGAAGGACTGAAATCCTGCAGCGCCCGCAAGGTCCCTTCTACGTGACTTTACTGAAAGAACCAAGAAAGCTTTAAATCAAAATTCAACTCGCCGTGTTTGGAGGAGGAGGAATGCTGCCTATACCCCAAGAACACCATCCCCACCGTCACACATGGAGGTGGAAACATTATGCTTTGGGGGGTGTTTTTCTGCTAAGAGGACAGGACAACTTCACCGCATCAAAGGGACGATGGACGGGGCCATGTACCGTCAAATCTTGGGTGAGAACCTCCTTCCCTCAGCCAGGGCATTGAAAATGGGTCGTGGATGGGTATTCCAGCATGACAATGACCCAAAACACATGGCCAAGGCAACAAAGGAGTGGCTCAAGAAGAAGCACATTAAGGTCCTGGAGTGGCCTAGCCAGTCTCCAGACCTTAATCCCATAGAACATCTGTGGAGGGAGCTGAAGGTTCGAGTTGCCAAACGTCAACCTCGAAACCTTAATGACTTCGAGAAGATCTGCAAAGAGGAGTGTGAAAAAATCCCTCCTGAGAGGTATAAAAACCTGGTGGCCAACTACAAGAAACGTCTGACCTCTGTGATTGCCAACAAGGGTTTTGCCACCAAGTACTAAGTCATGTTTTGCAGAGGGGTCAAATACTTATTTCCCTCATTAAAATGCAAATCAATTTATAACATTTTTGACATGCGTTTTTCTGGATTTATTTGTTGTTATTCTGTCTCTCACTGTTCAAATAAACCTACCATTAAAATTATAGACTGACCATTTCTTTGTCAGTGGGCAAACATACAAAATCAGCAGGGGATCAAATACTTTTTTCCCTCACTGTAGATAGAAAAAATCATCAAAGAAAACACGACGTTTGGGTCGCAACACAAGCGTCCACCCTGAAGACGGACGCTTGTATTGCGACCCAAACGTCGTGTTTTCTTTGATTATTTTTTCTACCTACGTGACTTTACCGAAAGAACCAGAGAGTATGGATTCCTGCAGTCACGAAAGTTTCAAATCAAGATTGGGTCACCTCTTTTGCAAGGGTGCTGTTTGAAGGGCAAAGTGACTGATCACCAAAGTGGTGAGTGCATCTCCTCAACATACCAAGTGCTACATGGGAGCTCAACATTAAATATGTAACCATGCACTCCAGGAAATACAATCACAGAAGCCACTAGAGGGTTGAGTATCCGTGGGAGAGTTCAGGGGGACGCCACTGTGGTCTGAGAGTGGGACTCAGTCGTGAGGGTGCCAGGACAAATCCCAACTGCGGGTTGTCACTGACCATCATCTTTTCTCAAGGACTGGTAAAATCAGTACCCCCACAGTGGCCGTCCAATGGAATAAACTGGCCGAGTGCCATGGTAATGTGGAATTTCTTTCACTTGCTCAGGGCCACACATGTATACATGTAAGGTAATGCACCACAAGCAACATTAAGCAACATACAGTATCTTGCCAATAGATTCATGTGTGTGTACAGAAAAGTCCTGTGTACAACGCCTTGCTATTAGACCAGGGGTCTGTGTGTGTGTGTGGAGGAGGCTCGTGAAGGACGCTACTGGGCAGTTGGAGGCAATCGCCTTCGAACAACAAGTGAGGGTGGAGGAGCGGCGCTCACAACAACGAGCGGAGTAGTGGGCGGATAAAACGCAGAAAGTTGGCACAGTGGGGAACACAAGAGGTGCATCTGTCAGTCATCTCGGATAGTCAATCAATAACACCTGGGTCTGTCCCATGACCTCCTTCCAGCAGCAAGCCCTCGACAGTTCACATGGCCTCAAAGTTCACCTAGCCTGGCACAAGCGGCTGCTGTTGTTGAGTGTGTTACACAGAGAGGTGGTGCACCTTGCCAGTACACCAGGTGTGGGTGGGACAGAACCCAGGCCTTGAGGATGCGCTTGAACTTGGCGTGACCCTCGGGGGAGGAGAGCAGCTCGTTGTACTGGTGGCAGCGTGGGATGTCCACCTCAATCTGCAAGCAGCACACACACGTACACACACACACACGTACACACACACACATGTACACACACACGTACACACACACACAAGTACACACACACACGCGCGTACACACACACGTGCACGCGTACACACACACGCGCGTACACACACACATGCAGACGCACCATATGGGATGCGCACAGCACACCAAGCACGATATGTATACAACAAAAACAACCACACATTACGCACTAATTTCAAGGCAGGTGGCAGCCCATTGAAAGAAAGTCTCTTATTCAAGGCAGACGTGTAATAGAGCACAACACACTATTAAGAGGTAGGTGATACATATCAATGATTAACTATTTTAGCTTAAGCTTCAGTTAACATAATGCTATCCTGCTACAGGCTAGTATATGTACGTGTAGTTATAGTGAATAATGCATATGTTAATCACTGGCCCAGATAAATTAGAATATGATTGATTTCTAATTTTAACCTGATTGGTTATTCCTGTGAGATCATGACATCTATTTAAGCCAGGTGAGGTGACACACTGATTCTGACTTCCTAGTGATTTACCTGAAGATGTTTGACATATTTTCAAGCTAAACATCTTATCCCATTGATACATTTGGCTGTGAGAATTGTTGTTAAACTTATACCACCGAGACAACCGAAACAATCATAATTGGCGCTTGTATACGTCACAATGTAATTTGATTGGCTATGGTGAAGGCTGTCACAATATAAATTTGGCTAGATCATTGTGGCCTAAACCAAGAAAAATATATATGTAGATTGATAAGGTAACTAATTTTTGAATTATTAATTGTATTCATGTTTCTGATGTGTATGATTAAAAAAATCTGACAATACAAACATCTGTGATAAATCATCAAAGAGATCAAACTCTGTGCGATCTTGTTCAGTTTGCTCAGTTCTCTCCACCCACGGGCTTCTGGAGCGGAGAAATGCTGCCGTGGTTTAGGACGGTTGGCTACGTACGGTGCGAAAGAAGTTCAATATACATACATTCTGATGACGTATGTGTACGTCATCGAACACGTAGGGTCATGACATGTATGTCATCGGAACGCAATCAAAACTAAGGCCATGCTGGAGGGCATATGGCAGAGTTTCGCGCCAGCTATCATAGAGTGAGGTTGTGTCGCTACAGTTCTCTGCGGTGAGTACAATGTCTTTAAAAACAGCGGTACTATGCTGCACTAAATAAAATTAATGCCAACCGCTCATGAGTTCCGAGATTCAGAGGTGAAAGCGGAACCCACCCTGCAATTTGTAGATATCTCGGAATGGGAAAGGTTAATAATAACTGAATTTGTAACTTCTACTTCGTGAGCTTGGTGAACTAAAGGAGGAGTGTGGGCATCCAAGACGACTAGCGCGTAGAGAGATTCCCACCTGCCTGTCCGTCTGGATAGCGGTGTCCTTGTCTATGGAGTCGTACTTGGCTTGGATGTCTCCCTGCAAGAGACAGGAAATTGAACGTACAATCCCATAAGTGAATAAAAGCAGACTACTAGCAGGCAGCACGGGGCGTACAGTGAGGGAAAAAAGTATTTGATCCCCTGCTGATTTTGTACGTTTGCCCACGGACAAAGAAATGATCAGTCTATCATTTTAATGGTAGGTTTATTTGAACAGTGAGAGACAGAATAACAACAACAAAATCCAGAAAAACGCATGTCAAAAATGTTATGAAATGATTTGCATTTTAATGAGGGAAATAAGTATTTGACCCCCTCTCAATCAGAAAGATTTCTGGCTCCCAGGTGTCTTTTATACAGGTAACGAGCTGAGATTAGGAGCACACTCTTAAAGGGAGTGCTCCTAATCTCAGCTTGTTACCTGTACAAAAGACACTTGTCCACAGAAGCAATCAATCAGATTCCAAACTCTCCACCATGGCCAAGACCAAAGAGCTCTCCAAGGATGTCAGGGACAAGATTGTAGACCTACACAAGGCTGGAATGGGCTACAAGACCATTGCCAAGCAGCTTGGTGAGAAAGTGACAACAGTTGGTGCGATTATTCGCAAATGGAAGAAACACAAAAGAACTGTCAATCTCCTGCGGCCTGGGGCTCCATGCAAGATCTCACCTCGTGGAGTTGCAATGATCATTAGAACGGTGAGGAATCAGCCCATAACTACACGGGAGGATCTTGTCAATGATCTCAAGGCAGCTGGGACCATAGTCATCAAGAAAACAATTGGTAACACACTACGCCGTGAAGGACTGAAATCCTGCAGCGCCCGCAAGGTCCCTCTGCTCAAGAAAGCACATATACATGCCCGTCTGAAGTTTGCCAATGAACATCTGAATGATTCAGAGGACAACTAGGTGAAAGTGTTGTGGTCAGATGAGACCAAAATGGAGCTCTTTGGCATCAACTCAACTCGCCATGTTTGGAGGAGGAGGAATGCTGCCTATGACCCCAAGAACACCATCCCCACCGTCAAACTTGGAGGTGGAAACATTATGCTTTGGGGGTGTTTTTCTGCTAAGGGGACAGGACAACTTCACCGCATCAAAGGGACGATGGACGGGGCCATGTACCGTCAAATCTTGGGTGAGAACTTCCTTCCCTCAGCCAGGGCATTGAAAACGGGTCGTGGATGGGTATTCCAGCATGACAATGACCCAAAACACACGGCCAAGGCAACAAAGGAGTGGCTCAAGAATAAGCACATTAAGGTCCTGGAGTGGCCTAGCCAGTCTTCACACCTTAATTCCATAGAAAATCTGTGGAGGGAGCTGAAGGTTCGAGTTGCCAAACGTCAGCCTCGAAACCTTAATGACTTGGAGAAGATCTGCAAAGAGGAGTGAGACAAAATCCCTCCTGAGATGTGTAAAAACCTGGTGGCCAACTACAAGAAACGTCTGACCTCTGTGATTGTCAACAAGGGCTTTGCGACCAAGTACTAAGTCATGTTTTGCAGAGGGGTCAAATACTTATTTCCCTCATTAAAATGCCAATCAATTCATAACATTTTTGACATGCGTTTTTCTGGATTTTTGTTGTTATTCTGTCTCTCACTGTTCAAATAAACCTACCATTAAAATTATAGACTGATCATTTCTTTGTCAGTGGGCAAACGTACAAAATCAGCAGGGGATCAAATACTTTTTTCCCTCACTGTACGTAAGGTACCGGCAGACACACGCGCAGTTACTCTGTGCAGGGGTCAGAGTTGGTTATGCTACCGTCACATCACAGGGAATTAAACTGCCAATCACAATAGCTGATGGTGGGGATCTAAGAGTGGATAGATTTCTCAATTACAATTCTTTCACCCATGATAACGCATGCATGAAATGGTTCACATCAGAATGGATTATTTATGATTTATGTACATCATGTATAAAGTATATGCTAATGTTACATTTAGGCTGATAGATTAAAGAAAAGTGAACAAACCCTACTGAGAAATGAAAATAAAAATGGTATAAAAAATATAAATAATTCTGAAATTTAATCGCGGGGAGACGAATTGCTAGTCGAAGCCCATACATGATAGCTGACGTGAGATATGTGCCGTGTGATCGGTCGCTCGAAGCTTCCGTGTCACTGTAAAAATGAGTTTGGAAACGACCTCGACGCCGAGGATAGTGGCCCAGATGAGCCCACGCAGCAGCGGAGGGATGTCCACGCGTGCCTCCTTCCACATGAGATCCTTGCGGTGCGGGTACGCCTGCATGCCGCAGCAACACCACACGCAGCGCAACCACCAAGCCGAGTCGAGGTTCAGATGAACTCAAAATCAACCGGTTACCATTCAACCAGTTCAAAACGGTCTCGAAAGGTTCAGTTCCCGTGAACCATTTAGTAAAAACCAGTCTGCAAATGGTTCAAATTTTCATATTCGCTCAAAAATTGCGAGACTAAGAACGACAAAGTAGGCTACCATGGGATTACAGATAGCAGCAACATCGCCCCGTCCTGTGAATAGTTGGCAGTACCCTTCTGAAAGATAGTCGTGTGACTCGGTGAGGCTTTCCCAGGTCAACAAACATAATAATAAAGAATTATAAGAATTTAACCCGATGGAAATGTTCCAACCGCGATATAAGAAATCCTCACACTAAACTGAACGAGGATTGGATGGTATCTCGTGGCAGTTCGCTGGGGACGTAGCTCAGTGCCACAACGCTGACGGAGTCTGAGGGTGCAGGCGGAAGTGGGCTACAAAATAATAATTATTAAAATTTACAGAGCGCCCTTAAACAATCGTTCTCATGGGGCACCTTGAGGAGTCGCTGGAAGAGGAGGATCCGGTGGAGTTGGTGTTCCGTGTCCTTCTCTCGGATCACCAGCGGGAGACTCGCCGAGCCGGCCAGGTCATAACTGCTCCCTGAGGGGGTGAGCGCCACTCCACTGGCACGCACACAGAGGGAGGCAAACACACACACACGTATATATATACAGATAAAGACGAAGATCTCCCTATAGCCTTTGACACTGTTGGGGCAAGTGCTGCTAGCGAGCAGCACTGCACCAGGTACTCATTTGAGGCTGAGTTGACCTAGGGGAGGCCCAGGACCGGTTCAGAGAATCATCACTGGTGTTGGCCGTGAGCGGGAATTGAACTCAGGTGACCGGGTTCATAGTGCAGCATACTAGTCACTGCGTCGACACTCCCCACATATGTACACCCTTCCATATATTTAGATACATTCACAAATATGAAAATGCACATATATACTTGTGCACAACCAATTAGTTAATTTAATTCAAGCAGGAGAGAATCCAAGAGGCCAGGATTAGTCTCATCTGCAAGAGTGACCCAGGGCATTACGCTGCCAGTAGGGAGCGATGATTGCCATGTATAATCCTAATTGAGTAATCTGCGTGCAATAAAACATTTTTTAGACCCAGACGCCGGTACAAAATAGCCGACTCTCGCGAGTTAAGTCAGCCGATCTCCAAAATCTACTTTGAGGTAGATGGCACAGAGTATTATTGTGGTGAACGCACTGGCAATAATAACCGGGGTGGCCGGGGGATTCAAACCGCGAACTCTACAACAAATGTGGCGAACGCGCTACCGCTTATTCGCGTCACTCGCCGTGCGGTACTATGATGCAAAATCCATGATCGACGAAAACAAGAATCGTTTCCCGGGTTTCAGAAGAGGCTCGCTCTATTAAAAAAAGAAATTATCAGAGCCATTTATATTTCACCATATGGGTTCCATTCATTTGTGATACACGGAGTGTGGGGAGATGGACCAACCCGATATTCAACCAAGCGGGGGGAGCTTCCCATTAACTTTTCACCAGTAGCGTTCAGTCCCGGCCATGGAGGCTATTGCTAGCGGTAGTGACTTGCGGTAGTGACTTGTGGCAGTGGCTTGTGTTGTGTAAGGTGTGCCTGCTACTGAGTCCGACCCCGCTGTGTTCAGTGCTTACTCATCCTCCAGCAGGGGGTAAAAGGTCTCTCCAGGCACCTCCTGCAGCCTCTGCAAACCATAAAAGCAGCAGGAAATGTTTAAAATCATTGAATGTATTGGGAACGATGTATTCTAACCATTATCACAGTTATACCATCAACATAAACACCATCACCAATATTCGTAGCAATATCACCAGACATTCTCGTAAACAGCTATACGCTGCGAGTGCTACGTAACAAGCGCGACGCATGCTTCCCCTGTGCTCCGTACAATTGCTTACCTTTCCTATACTTTGTACTCCTATAGTTTTGTTTTAAAATTGTTCGTTGTTGTGGCTTTCTGACATGCCCCTGCTGGACATCTGTGGAAAAAGAGCTTCATAGCTCATCGGATTTCTCCAGGATATACTGATTCCGATTACCTATGTCACAGCCGTCGTCTGTCCATCGTGGATCGCTACAGCTTCGCTACTAAACTGCTGCGTGCCGGTGCGTTTACATATAATCGTACGTTGGTTATTGTTCATGCGCACTGAACGAAGGGCGACACTCAGCAAGTCGAGTCCTGCCTTTAGGACTTTGACGCACATTGCGAAGCTGGGCAAGGGACAGCGTGATGGTGGTGTCGTTGTACAGGAAGCTGTAGTCCCTCGTCTGTCCAAACATGTCCCCATCCTCCATCACCACACTGCAATGCGCACAGAGGGATGGACAATTCGGAGGCCTCAGAGGTCAGCGTGTTAAGACATCATCTCCAACATCTCATCACTCGCCAGGCGCTGGTCGCGTGCCAATAATATAATCCAGCATACTGGAGGCAGCTAGGGTTGGTGGATGGCATAAATTCGTCAAACTCCCAAACCCGGTGGGCTGAGATCGCCCTCTTCTGGCTTGTCAGGGTATGGCACTACAGCAAGTGGATTATTTCATCTCCACAGGGTACGTTACTCCATACTCTTTGGTTCTTTCGGTAAAGTCACGTAGGTATAAAATAAATCACGACGTTTCGGGCGCAACACAAGCGTCCGTCATCCGGTGGGAAAACATGGTCTGCTACTGAGGCAGACTGTTTTAAAAGGTTTGAAATAGGTGTAGCCCAAGGGTCATACGTTACTCCACTCACACGCGTGGGTTTCCTCCGGGTACTCCGGTTTCCTCTCACATGTATCATCGTTCATCAATGGAGTTGATCATCCCAATGTAGTGCCACAGAGCTTGGGAAATTGTTGGCACTGGTTCTAAGGTGCCGCGGTGGCTATGAGATGTTAACTTCCTCACCTGGTATACAGGAGGTCGTGGGTTCGATCCCAACCCGGACACCCGCTGTATATTTGGAGTTTGCGTGTTTTCCCCGTGGTCACGTGGATTTTTTTCCGGGTCCTTTGGTTTTTTCCCCCCACATTTAGAATCAACATGCGCTTAGAGTATTTGGCTGCTATACATTTCCACGTGGTATGCCACTTCGTTGAGCTATCATTTGTGGCCAGGTCACTTCTGAAAAAGAGCTATATAGCTCAGTGGGCCTAACCTGGTAAAATATAGTGAGTAAATAGTTTTACTCGAGCTGCCTTCCCTCCTAATCTTTGGTGGGGCCACACGCCTCTGAGCCTTAGGAAATACTTTGCTCTCTCCTCCATTTAACCCGTCACGTTTGTGACCACCACCTCGTAAACGTCCCTGTCCCACTTCCTTCCAGGTCTCAAATCTCGTTCTGCCCAAAATGACATGCGTCTCTCTTCTTCACTTCCCCGCTCCCCAAGTATGCAGCACGTGCAGCTTCACAATAACCACCAACACGACTCATGATCAAAACATCAGCACATTAGTTTAGTGCGATGGTCACATGCACCTCAACTGCTATGGTTAATGCATCACCTGCAAAGCAGTGTTCTGCATAGCATAGGAGAGACATATCAGATGCCTTAGGGGTAAAGGTTTGTTGAACATCTCTGGTTGGTTTACCTTGAGTACATCTAAAACAGTGTCTGCTCACTTCACCAGTGGTGACCAGAATACCAACGACATGGTCTAAGCACACGATCACTCTGGTCTTGAGTGAAAGCGAGGCTCACAGAAAGTCAGAGTGCTTAAAATGTTCCAGCTTTCTCTGGAAAGTGCAGTGTAAAGTGTGGCAATAAGGTCAAGCCCTTGGCCCTCTCTCTCCCTGTCTGTGGCTGTATATGTACAAAGATCGATATGGTTAATTTACATGTTTCTGTAACACAACTTTTTCAACATTGATTTGTATGTAAGCACTACTTATTGTTCATCCTGTTTGCGGAAAGTTCTGGCGTGATTTTCGCGTGAATAATTTGTTGTGTTTGCTCCTGTTAAGTTTGCACGTTCCCTCCACCCTGCGGTGTCCTGTAACTGCCTGCCACTGCCGACGGCCTTGGGCTGCGGTCGTCCTGGTAACCGAGCTGCGTAGCTCGATGGCCCTCACCGGCTGAAATAATGCCTGTCTGTCTCTCTGCTATGAAGAAGGGTCATTGAAATAAAATGTTTGCTCAGTATACGGTAAGGCCACGACATCCGAGAGGGTTCTCTTTTTGAACATCTGCGCGAAAGTAGAATTTGTGAATGTAGATACTTTACCACGTTTATATATGGTGGGAAACAGGGGGTTAGGTTCCTGTGTCCGACTAAACAAATACCGGAAAACATTAAAATGTTTCATATTAATCATGTACTGTACAAATAAATAACATCCATACACTTAATTAAATTGTAAAATAATACAAATAGATAATAATACAACATAATACAACACTCGAACAGTAAAAGCTTCAGCATGTGGATCGTGGCACAACTGTTAGAATGGCTTGGATGAGCACACGGACCACAATCCGCTACTGTACTGCACACATTGGCCACAACCCGCTACTGTACTGCACCAGTCCCAACATTCGTTCCATGTCGAGCAAGTCGAGGGCCTCCGGATTCACGCCAAGGGCAAGCAGCACCCGCTAACGCCAACAGCGCGCTGCGATCGGCGAGAGGCGTCTCGGCTTCCCCTCGCCTACGTTGAAGAAATTTGCGTCGCGTGTCGGAAGGCGGCTCGTACACGTCCGCCATCTCAGCACAAGCACCCCCGAAGAGAGGACTTTTTCTCAGCAGGAATAGTTTTGAAGACCGCAGGAGCGTCGTCGTCCAAAACAGTCGGCAGAGCGACCAGCGCCTCCTCCTCCATCCAATGTACTGAACGGAAAGCCGCCTCGAATTGCCAAGTGAAGGTGGCTCCAGTCGCCGCCTGCCACGACGGATTCTTTAACCGAGGAAGTTTTCGAGTACGATCAGTTACGCTCCGCGCATCCTTAGCGGCGGGCTGCCGTGTCTTGCGCACCACGCGTCTCTTGTAAAATGGCGGACTCTGTCCGCGCCTCTCTCGCGCCGCCAAAAATGGCGGCGTCCGAATGCCTGCTTCCCTCCGCACGCGTAATGGCACACCTGTAGACGAACCCGCCGAAACTTCCACCCCGGATTCCCGATCGCTTGCGTTGAGCACCCTGCCACCATAGAAGCAGTGAGAGGCGACACCAGCTGCACAACCACCGCCCGTAATGAGTCCAGTTGCTCCATCACCCTCCTCCAGCCATCTTCGGGCTGCTGGTGCGGAGGCGTTGCGTTCGCACCGACCGTCTCCGGTGCAGCGACCTCTCCCGCCGTGGTTTCCATAACCGGGACCACGGCTCCCGGGGCCGGCAGGTCTTGGGTACCATTTTCATCATCGTCGTCGGAAGACGCCACAGGTGGGTTACGCTTCTTCTGATGTTTAGACATCTTCTGTCAACTATATTCTTTGTTTTTAATCACTTGGAACAGTAAAAGCTTGTGGATCGTGGCACAACTGCCAGAATGGCTTGCATGAGCAAATGGACCACAATCCACTACTGTACTGCACACATTGGCCACAATCCGCGACTATACTGCACAAGTACAGTACCCCTCCTCCATGGTGCAAGGTTGCCAAATCGCGAATAGTGGAAACATAAAGGTGCGAAAATTAAGCAAGTGTAATGAGTGACTTCCGCGACACGTCGTGTAGAGGGTACTCTTCTTTCTTCCACGAACGGGCACAGCACAGGCCAACGTTATCGGCTTCCTCTCCAAGTAAACTATTACGTTCTACAGACTACACACACGGTTGATCACACGGCGGGTTCCGCCCGTCCATTCCCGGTCTCGCCGCTGGCTGACGGCGTGCCGGGGAGGGCGGTGAAGCTCTGCAGGAGATCCGCCACGTGACCGAACGACGGAGAGAGATGACAGCGAGCAGCGGACCCAAGACTCTACACACCGACCCCGAGTCCTCCTCCACCTCCGCTTATATTGCCGCAGACGCGGCTAGGCTCCGCCTCCGGCCACGCCCTCTCGTGGAACTTTCTAGCCGGTTCTCGGAGTTTCTTGGCTGGCCCCCCCCTTCACCTTTCGCCCAGATACCTCTCCCTTTGGGGATTGGATGTTTATAGTGGTGCCTGTACCCGTGCTTCCCTTTTCCAACCAGTAGATGTCACTATCTCATTACACAAGTGTAGTGAGTACAAACTAGAGGGAGACCTCTCTTGGAGGCAACATGTTTATTTTCCAATAGCGATACAGTGTACGGCCCCTTCCACCCGCTACACTAGGGAGGTATATACTCCTCACTGGCATGCCCTATACATTCGGGACTAATGTCTATAGGGTCCTCTGCTATCGGGGTCTAGGGAGGCTATCTGACCCAACCCAGCCAAGGTCCTCGGGTCCTATCAGCCAGGCTGCTCGGACCCGACCCAGCCAAGGTCCTCGGGTCCGGCTCTGGCTCCTAGGTCTTCAGGGCCATCTTCAGGGCAGTCTTCAGGGCAGCCTCTTCATCTTCGAGTGGACGACAACTCCCGGTCCCGTTCAGGGGTTCGGCTTTTATACCGGTTCCCGTCTCACTCCGCCCCTACCCACTCCTCCCTTCTGGAACCGTCTAGAGGGGCCTGGTCCCGAGCTACCCTGTGGGTTACCTTGGCCCAACGGTCTCACTCATCTCCATCAGCCTCCCTTCTGCCCCCTGTTGACTCGAGGCCGTTATTACAGGCTATAAGGAATGGCAATCGCACACAGCGCTCAACGATGCCGCTACACAAATATGCAAATATCAAACAGCAAATAATCTAATTTAGCAAAAATCCACAAATGAAGAGGTTTTCCTGTATATGTTTATTTTGTAATGAGTATCAATAATTAATAGGATGTTTTTTGCTGCTTATATTTGCTGCTTTTAAACTATTTGTATTTAGTGTTCATTTGCATAGTTTGTTAATCGCTTAGAAAAAATAAAATCCTGGAATACAGTACAGTGGCGACATGCATTGGCAGTGTCTGCTCACTACACCACAGAGGCAATACGTGAAGCCAGTGTTGATAAACGTTCCAAGGACACGTACAGCCCAAGCAAACAACAATAACAAAGACCTCCGACCCACATGACAAGTGAAACTCATAAGAACACACCATTGACTACCAAACTCCCTACAATGGTACAATATGCCACGGGGCTGCCCTGACACCAGCCTTCATCACTCTCCAATCCTCACACAGCCTGCAACCCTGAGACTCTTACTTGGGCAGGGTGCAGATGGGTGGTTTCGACTTAATGATGCCAGAGTTGGTCAGCTCCCTCTCCAGGTCCCCGCCTGCCAGCGTCCACAGGTAGTACACTTCGTCCAGAGTCCTCTCTGCCAGACGGTCATCATCATCATCGTCCTCTTGCTCCTCTAGAGTAGAAATACAAAGATCCCCCATCAACACTATAGCCTTAACATACTGTTGGGGGAAGTGCTGTTAGCAAGCACCTATAAAGGCCAGTACGGCACATGAGGGGATGCGCGTGACCAGCACCACGCCCAGCCGCCTTTGTCTCCCCAGTGGCGATGTTTATACACCGCACCAGGTACTCATTTGAGTCTGAATCGACCTAGGGGAGGTTCAGGACTGATTCAGATAATCATCACTGGTGTTCGCCATGAGCAGGAATAGAACTCGGGTCACTGGGTTTGTAGCTGACCAACAGAGCATGGTGACGTGTCGTCGCCGTCATCAGCTAAAAGAAGTTGCAATGGGTGTGGAACGTGTGCATGACAGAGGAGGGCAGGTTGGTGAGACAGGCACTCGAGTGGCACATGGGTTCGCGACCAAAAGGAAGATCTCATGCCAGGTGGTAGAACACTGGAAGAGCACACCTTGGAGGTTGAATGTTAACTTTCTAACAACATCTACAGGCTCTTGCAGAATGAAGTGCTGGTAGAAATGGGATAATTGGCTATGATGTCTAATTCTTTTCAATCGAAACAGCCCAGTGCACTATATTTCAACACCGCTACAGTCCCTCCCAAAGCTCGTAATCTCCGCAGTGCCGAACACGCCCACAGGACGAAATGCGCCAGCTGGCTGTACTTCATGCCTAACAGCACGAGGATGTCACATGGTAGCCCAGCTTCACCAGGTGCACACTCACCAAGTGGAGACAGCAGGAGGTGTTCGCTGCGCAAGCCGGGGGAGAAGAGGGTGACAGGAGGCCTTGGCGACGGCTCCATTAATGACGCCACCTCGGAGAAGACGGCGCTCGACAAGAGCTCAGCCGCTGTCGGCCTGTCCAGGCACAGCCAGACGCAACGGGGGCTCGGTCAGCACAGCTACAGCATGTGATGCACAACCCCACATTGGAATCAAAGATGACTCGCTCTATGAAATGATGGTTTTCACAGCTCGATGTACGAGAAATGTTCTTAAAAGCTGCTCTTTCAGGATAGCCTCTCATGTTGGAGGATGCCTCTAACATGAGAGGCAAAAAGAGCAGCACTCGCCATGGCTATTCCAAAAGAGCAACTTTAAAGAGCACTGGTTCGCTACATCTCATCTAATTCTCTTCACCCTCAAATCCAAGCAGGATTCCTCCCGTTCTACTTAAACTGCCCTCCTCACTGTACAGAATCATAGAGAAAACTCTGCCCATTCTGGCCTCTCCTCAATCCTTATTCTCATTGATCTTTCCTCAGCCTGCGATACAGCTGATCACCTCATGCTCCTCACCACCCTCTCCAGTCTCGGCATCTCCTGCACACCCCTGTCCTGGCTCCAGTCTCATCACTCGACATGCACTTCCTGTTTCTTTCAACCACTCCACCTCCCCTCCCTCCCCCATCACTCACTGCTGGGTGTCCCCCAAGGGTCTCTGTCCTAGGTTATTTGCTATTCTCCCTTTTCATCTCACTTCTGTAAGTTGTCGTTTCTTCATCTAACTTTCCCCATCACTTCTTTGACACCCAGATTGTCATTTCCTTTTCCTCCATGCCCTTGTCTGCCCTTGCCTCTTGCATTTCCGACTGCTTCGTCACAGTCTAATCCTGGAAGTCACACCACTACCTCTCCATGAATCTTACCAAAACAGAAATCCCTTCTCCCTGCTCCCCTCCACCCTGCCCCTACCATCTCATTCCCTCCCATCTGCCTCACTCCTGTCTCCTCTGCTCGCAATCTTGGGGCCATCCTTGACCTCTCCCTCTCCAACCACATCTCTGCCACTACCGCACTTGCCGCTTTCACCTATTCAACATTCGCAAAATCCGTCCCCTCAACGCTTTCTTTGCTGCTAAACCCCTGGTTCGCTCCCCCGTTTTCACTCAGCTCGACTACTGCAACTCAAGGCCTTCCTGCCCACGCCTTCACTCCTCTCCAACAGCAGATATAACATGCCTCGGCTCAGATAATTTTTAACCTTCCCCACAATTCCCACACTTTTGCCCTACTTTCCCAACTCCACTGGCTGTCTACTATCACTGTGTCTGTTTAAGATTTCAACTCGTCGAAACATCCCTCCATGATCTTGCCCTACCCAATTTAGTTTCTCTGATTTCTTCCTACGATTCCATCCCGCCCTCTTCGATCCCTCTCTCTCTCTGTGCCTCCCTCGCCCTGCGCCACAGTCTCGCCCTCTCGTCCTTTCTCCCTTCTTGCTGCCCTTCACAGGAACCAACTCCCCCTGCACATTAAACGATCATCTTCACTATAACCTGCTTCCGCTCCACCTTAAAACAACCCCCATCTCTTCGCCCATCCTACTTCTACTCCCTGCCCCCGCCACGACCAGCCCTACCCCTATCACACTTCTATCACAACCCCTATCACTACCCCTGCTGTTACTCCATGCCCCAGTACCCAAGCTATGCCCAGCCCTACCCCAACTACTTCCTAACCTCTCCCCACTGCTCTTCCAACTATCACCATAACTCCACCACTATTTTGTTTAAGAACCACACTCTTTACCTCAACCCGCTTTTCAAAGGTACCATTTTTATAATTGCTGTAAAGCACCTTGGATAAAGGCGCTATATAAATGTGGATAAGATCATATTCTTGGTTCTTTCGGTAAAGTCACGTTGAAGGGAAACAATAAAATATATATTAAACAATAAAATTATCACGACGTTTCGACTGTAACACAAACAGTCATCATCAGGTGTGAAAAAAAACAAAGGCAAGAAACATTTGAAAGAAGTGCCGGTTTGTATTTATTTATTTATTTATTTTAAAACGTTGTTTGCATTTATTTCTTTTTAAGCGTTGGCAACCTGGATAGCGATTTGACAATTTGTTTAGAAGGACGAGTCCATATATGTTCGGAAAAGAGGAGGGGGGAGACGAAAATTTAATGTATGCTGTCTGAAAGCCACCGTAAGCGTGAACAATCAATTAAGACCCGAAATGGTTTATCAAATCCTTCCAATGATTGCTAAGCCAGAATCCATCTTCTCGGTTAAAATTGTCTCTGTGTTTGTATATGTGGATAGCCTCATGAACGAATCTCTCATGGTAGCCCGATGGCTTGCAAAGAACCTCTGTCTTTGAGGAGTCAATGTCATGTGAACCCACTGAATTATAACAGTGATCTGCCACGGCCGAGGTGTTGGTCCTACCGTGTTTAAGGCCTGCTTTGTGTTCACGAATGCGGTCCGAGACATGTCGTTTGGTTTCTCCAATGTAACTACTACCATTATATAAGATCATTATAAAAAAAAAAAACCTCTAATGGCATGGCGAGTGAAGAATGGTGTCCCAGAGGGGCCCAAATTTGTTTCACTGTAGAACATTGACTGTGGTATGGGGAGATTCACCGGCACCAAGGAATATGGAACTCTCATCAATGGGGATGAGAACGGACCTTTGCTCAGTTCACTATACATAACATCACATGCGGTTTTAGCCATCACTGGTTGGACGCAAAAAACAATTGTGCACCCCAGCTGAATAAATATCTACAAAGGAACAGCCAGATTGAGATGGCATGAAGGAAGACAGGTGAGTCGGGAAAGGAGATTCGCACGGACCAAAGTTATTCACAGTGACAGAAGATGCTTTTCAAAAAAATAACCATATACCCACGGGAATAATTGTGAGTTTTGTGTTTAAATACCTTATTCTCGGGGAAAACACAAGGCATTTTCCCAGCAAACTTCGCAGATCTTCGGGAAGATCCTGGAACATGGCACACATCAATACTGTATTGCCAACAGGCAGATCCGAGGACCTGCAGACATTCTCAGATGAACCACAGTTTCTCCATGCATCCTCTTCCAGGTGCTCTGTAAGGACCTTTGTGTGGCAACGCATCTCAGTTCTGCACGTCCCTGTCCCAACGTTGTCTGGGTGTATCACCACAAATGTGAATTAGTAACGCCTGTGAGTAATGAGATGTGAACCATTTGACAGCAATGGACAGCAGGGTGGCGACGCAGTGGTATCACTTGTGCTCACAGCAAGAAGAGGTCTATGTTCGACTCCCGACTCGGGTGCATTTCTGTGTGGAGTTTGTAGGATCTCCTCCTGTTCTGCGTGAGTTTCCTCCGGGTTATCTGGTTTCCTCCAATAGCTAAAGAAAAACATTCAGTGTATGATGTTGGCTAAAAATGCCAATTCTTAAAAATTACACAGCAGCAACATCACCCTCTTCTGCAAAAAAAATCTTGGCAGGACACTCCTGGAAAAGAGTCTTGAGACTCGGGTTTTTCCTGGGTAAACGAGCGTAACGACAATTATAAAATAACTCCATGTGCTAGTCTTCTTTCGGAATAAAGCCATGTTTTTGCACTGGCTGGGGTATGGCCATGCACGCGTGTCACGTGGGTAATGCGGGTCATGAGCATTCACTATGTCACACTGGTGCTTCTCCAGCGGTGGCGGCTGTAGGACTCGGTCAGCAAGCAGAGGGCCAAGGAGGGCACTGCCTAACATCGTAACCCACTGCGAGCGAGCGGGATGAACCATTCAGAGCAGACTGATGGCGAGGGGCACCGTGACTGCGGTGAGAAGGCCCAGAAGAGAGTGGCCATGGCACGGTACGGTGTGATCAGCAGAACTGACCGCAATGACCGAACTGGAACGCAAGTGCGTCCCCCATCCTCCCTGGGTTGAGGCACACAAAAGGGGACATTTGTTTTTGTGATGACTCTTTACCCAAGAAAGTCTCACCACGTCCCAAGACTATTTCAGGAGGGGGCAATGTTGTTAAATGAGCCATTATCAGGTGATTTTTCAGCAACGGAAAGTTTTGGCCAATACTATTTACAGCAAAAGCTCTAGTGATAGGTTTTACCCTTTTAACTGGAACAAAAAACTGACACCTTTATTCAAGGCATCATGTCTGCAATAACCACAACACAAGCAGTCAAAATGCAAACAAAAAGACAACTCTCATAATAATATGCACTGTCCTTGAATTTGATTGGTCCACACCCGAGACGGCTTTCTTTAGAGCCTAGTCTCCACTGGTGTTGAGTTGTATGCCTTTTGGCGTCTTCTGGTCCAACACCAGTGGAGACTAGGCTCTAAAGAAAGCCGTCTCGGGTGTGGACCAATCAAATTCAAGGACAGTGCATATTATTATCAGAGTTGTCTTTTTGTTTGCATTTTGACTGCTTGTGTTGTGGTTATTACAGACATGATGCCTTGAATAAAGGTGTCAGTTTTTTTTGTGCCAGTTAAAAGGGTAAAACCTATTACTATATCTTGTTACTGGCAAAGGTCTCATAAAGCAAAAGCTCTGTTATCTGTAATCCATGGGGAATGGAGGGTGCCAGTTAATCAAATATACCAGTTATCTGAGAGTTATACTTATGGTTCACCAAATTTTCCAAGTACATTAAACTTTTCAATAACTAAACTAAGCCTACATTTTAACTATGACATACTAAATTGAGTATTATTTTACTGAGGTTAGTGATAAAGTCAGGAATACCGCAATACATTGTCACAATGGCTGATGTTTACAATTCGGGAAATTGAGCCCACTAGCGCCACCACTAGGCAGCATTCTGAAGCTTCCGTAAACAAAAACTCATGATAAGCGCACGGCAAGATGCTGGATGGCTGTCGGAATGTTTCCGGATAAGTGAAGGAAGATTTGTATTGCCGTCTATGACAGATGCCGGTTAATCAAGCATTCAGGATGGTAAGGTGCTGGATAACAGAGCTTTTGCTGTATACTGAAAATGTTTAGCTATGGGAGGAAACTGGAGAACCTGGAGGAAATCCATGCAGAAGAGGGGGAGAACAAACTCCACAAAGGCGCCCGAGTCAGGAATCGAAGCCTTTGAGCTATGAGGCATAATCTCTCTGCAGGCCCCCATTCAATCGTCAGCATTCTCATCCTCTTGCTGTAAGTCCTGCATGTGACTGTATACACAAACAGATTGAAAACTCAAACATTTTAAAATGATTTTCCAGATTTAAAGCTAATTTATTTAGGACTGCTTTTTGTGTTTAGTTTGCTGTCCTTCCCCCAGACCTCCAACTTGCATGGTTGGCTACTTACTGTGCAGAAGAAGTTCAACATACATACATAGAGGCATACTTCTTATAGCGCTGCCTCTTTTGGCACTGTTTCCTTATCATGCCCTTTGTCCTGGAGGAAAGTTCCTGCACGAGATTCCTGCGCGGAAAATTCCCACGCAAGAATCCGCAACACGTGACGCTCCATCTTTTCTCCGAGCCACGTGCCCAACCAGTGAAAGCGGTGAGCGCTGCCGTTGAGCCAATCAGCACCCACCTCCGCCCGCCAGCCTTGAATGCTTCCCGCGGAACGTGCATTTACGCAAGCTCCGACCTCAATGCACCGGTACCGGTGAGCGTGTAACTTATAGTATATTTATGTCATTATCATTAAAAGGTATAATTTTCATTTTATAAAATTATTTAATTTGAGTATAGTATCGTTAATAAGGCTATTACCGATGCCCTAATGAAGGCCTCATATATCATTAATAGGTAAACAAAAGCACTGTCGGTAAGGCATGTCCACTGGAACCATTCCTATAGCGATGTTTCGTATAGTGCTTTCGTATAGAATGCATCCAGAGTGCAATAAGAGGTATGCCTGTCTTAACGAATTCCTCACACAACTTTCTCTACTTTACTTGTACTCATATCAAACAGTGCAGGGCATTGACCGTGCTTGATATACGAGGTTATCTGTATGTACTGCTTGCAAGTCGAGCAAGAAGAGTGCCTAGGCCTTGTACCTCAGCTGAGTGAGAGCCGCCGTGAGCGCGCAGCATCGCAGCCACCACATCATGCTCAGAGCCTGCAGGCGTCACACACACAGGCGTCACACACACAAGCGTCACACACACAGTTATATACAGATACAAAGACATGCCCAATGCAGGCTCAGACAGCAAGCAATGAACACATCCCTCTCATGTTGTGTTTGAATTGATGGGATGGAGCATGGTATGACCCTTCATATTGTAAATTCCACTTTAAGACGTGTGACAAAATGTATGTAGAATACAACTGTAAGAGATATATTATGTTGCTGGGTGGTAAAAAAATGGGTAGGGTGATTAAACTCTTTCAATAATCTTAAAACCTGCTGCTGTGCGTGTGAGGTTGCTCTTGATCCACCCACAGTTCTATCAACCGACCATTTCTCAAACATTAATTCTGGTCGTGACAACATCTGGGAAAGGGTTCCTCTTACTTTAATAATGTCCGAGGTGCAACCTCTTGTGAGTCAAACAAAACCATAGAGTCAAACAAAGACCCCCGTGTAGCCTTAACAGATTGTTGGAGCAAGTGCTGTTAGCGAGCAACTATGAAGGCCGGCACGGCACACGAGGGGGTGGGTCACCAGCACCACACCCGGCCGCTTTTGTCTCCTTAGTAGTAATGTTTACACACTGCACAAGGTATTCATTTGAGGCTGAGTCGATCTAGGGGAGGCCCAGGGCCAGTTCAGATAATCGTCACTTGTGTTCGTGGCTATTAGCAGGAATCGAACTCGGGTCGCTGGGTTCACAGCACGCTAACCACTACCCTACCGCTCCCCCGATAGAGTCAATAATAACCGATTAGACACAGCTATGCTGACTGAGGATGCCCGATCCCACCGTTCTCACTCGGCGACACAGCAAGCGACCGACCATCACGATGAGTCTCCCCAAACAACCAACAGCCATTCTCACGTTCCAGTAGTAAGGAAAACCTTTAAGAATAACCACCTAGTTTTACAATCGCCTTCATCTTCTCCGCGATGCTCGCTCTGGGCCACAGTTTTTCACCCTGTAACACAAAGCCAGTCATAACCGTCAGTGACAACTGGATACATAGGCTTGGTATGAATCTTTTAAATTTTGTGGTTCATCCAAGTTCCCACTTATATTCACAGAAGTGACGCTTGTTTGTGTCACGTGCGTCTATATGCATATGAACACGGCTGACAGTCCAGCAGACACCGACCGAACGCATAGCTCATTAGGCTTTACCTGGTAAAATAAAAGTTTTTATTTTATTTAGTTTTTTAGTTATTTGTTTACCTTTCCTATAAATTTCAATCCTAGAATGTTTTTGGATTGTTTATTATTGTAAATTTCTAACTCGCCCCTACTGGACATCTGCGAAAAAGAGCTTCATAAAGTGAGGGAAAAAAGTATTTCATCCCCTGCTGATTTTGTACGTTTGCCCACTGACAAAGTAATGATCAGTCTTTAATTTTAATGGTAGGTTTATTTGAAGAGTCAGAGACAGAATAAGAACAAAAAAATCCAGAAAAACACATGTCAAAAATGTTATAAATTGATTTGCATTTTAATGAGGGAAATAAGTATTTGACCCCTCTGCAAAACATGACTTAGTACTTGGTGGCAAAACCCTTTTTGGCAAACTTCAGACGGGCATGTATATGTGCTTTCTTGAGCAGGGGGACCTTGCGGACGCTGCAGGATTTCAGTCCTTCACGGCATAGTGTGTTACCAATTGTTTTCTTGGTGACTATGGCCCCAGCTGCCTTGAGATCATTGACAAGATCCTCCCGTGTAGTTCTGGGCTGATTCCTCACCATTCCTCATGATCATTGCAACTCCACGAGGTGAGATCTATCATGGAGCCCCAGGCCGAGGAAGATTGACAGTTCTTTTGTGTTTCTTCCATTTGCGAATAATCGCACCAACTGTTGTCACCTTCTCACCAAGCTGCTTGGCAATGGTCTTGTAGCCCATTCCAGCCTTGTGTAGGTCTACAATCTTGTCCATGACATCCTTGGAGAGTTCTTTGGTCTTGGCCATGGTGGAGAGTTTGGAATCTGATTGATTGATTGCTTCTGTGGACAGGTGCCTTTTATACAGGTAACAAGCTGAGATTAGGAGCACTGCCTTTAAGAGTGTGCTCCTAATCTCAGCTCGTTACCTGTATAAAAGACACCTGGGAGCCAAAAATCTTTCTGATTGAGAGGGGGTCAAATACTTATTTCCTTCATTAAAATGCAAATCAAATTATAACATTTTTGACATGCATTTTTCTGGATTTTTTGTTGTTGTTATTCTGTCTCTCACTGTTCAAATAAACCTACCATTACAATTATAGACTGATCATTTCTTTATCAGTGGGCAAACGCACAAAATCAGCAGGGGATCAAATATTTTTTTCCCTCACTGTAGCTCATCGGATCTCTCCAGGATAAATAAAGATTCTGATTCTGATCAATACAATCAAAGCAAGGCGAACACCACCCAGGCCATAAGACCGCACTCGGCCAATTTACTGCACAGGAGACGCCACGCAGAGTGACACTGCTGACCTGTGGTGCTCACACATTTCACTTTTTTTTTACCAAAATATTTAGTTGCATGTTCATACACCGATCCATATACATATCAATTGTTTCTTTCTTGTAAATACAACTTGTATAGATTGTGTCAAGTTAGGATTACCCAGGCAAAATTGACGTAATTAATTAAAATCAAGATATGTGTAATGTAAATCTGATATCACGGTTGGTTGTCACTGCACTCTACACCCAGTGAGCTAGTGTGTGTGTGTGTGAGCTCACCAGCTGAACAACAGAAACAACACTTACTACCCAGTGAGGTGATGTGTGTATGGGCTCACCAGCTGCACAGAAGTAACACTCACCACCCGGTAAGCTGGTGTGTGTGTGAGCTCACCAGCTGCACAACAGCAATACTCACCATCTGGTAAGCTGGCGCGTGTGTGTGAGCTCACCAGCTGCACAGCAGCAACACTCACCACCCGGTAAGCTGGTGTGTGTGTGAGCTCATCAGCTGCACAACAGCAATACTCACCACCTGGTGAGCTGGTGTGTGTGTGAGCTCACCAGCTGCACAACAGCAATACTCACCACCTGGTGAGCTGGCACGTGTGTGTGTGAGCTCTGCACAGAAGTAACACTCACCACCCGGTAAGCTGGTGTGTGTGTGAGCTCACCAGCTGCACAGCAGAAATACTCACCACCTGGTAAGCTGGCGCGTGTGTGTGAGCTCACCAGCTGCACAACAGCAATACTAACCACCTGGTGAGCTGGCACTTGTGTGTGCGAGCTCTGCACAGAAGTAACACTCATCACCCTGTAAGCTGGTGTGTGTGTGAGCTCACCAGCTGCACAACAGCAATACTCACCACCTGGTGAGCTGGTGTGTGTGTGAGCTCACCAGCTGCACAACAGCAATACTCACCACCTGGTGAGCTGGTGTGTGTGTGAGCTCACCAGCTGCACAACAGCAATACTCACCACCTGGTGAGCTGGCACGTGTGTGTGTGAGCTCTGCACAGAAGTAACACTCACCACCCGGTAAGCTGGTGTGTGTGTGTGTGTGAGCTCACCAGCTGCACAACAGCAATACTCACCACCTGGTGAGCTGGTGTGTGTGTGAGCTCACCAGCTGCACAACAGCAATACTCACCACCTGGTGAGCTGGCACGTGTGTGTGTGAGCTCTGCACAGAAGTAACACTCACCACCCGGTAAGCTGGTGTGTGTGTGTGAGCTCACCAGCTGCACAACAGCAATACTCACCACCCGGTAAGCTGGTGTGTGTGTGTGTGAGCTCACCAGCTGGACAGCAGCAACACTCACCAGCCACAGCTGTAGCAGGATGATGCCCAGGGACCACACGTCACTCTTGGGACCGATCGGAGCTCGTTTCTCACCGTGCCTCGCGGGGCCTTGAGCCACCACCTCCGGGGCCATGTATGACGGCTCACTGCATCCATCACCATAAACACACACACAAAGATCCCCCGTATAGCCTTAATAGATTGTTGGGACTATAAACACGCACACAAATACCAATGCCTGCCATTCGCCACTAAGTGACGGTGACGTCACTACAGCAACTTTGCCAGGCCAGGTGCACTTTGAGGCCATGTGTCTAAGGCTCGCTAACAGGAGGTCACGGGACAAACCCAGGTACCATGGGTTGGCTGACTGAGATGACTGGCCGATGTACCGGCTGTACTCCCTACTGTACCAGCTTGCTACATTTTAGCTGCCCGGTGCTCCGCTCGTTGGTGTGAGCGTCACTCCTCTGCTTTCCATTGTTGTTGGAGGAAGAATGCCTTCAACTTCCCAGGAGCGTCCTTCACGTGCTTCCTCCACAGAGGCCTATCTTGACACTGCTGGTACCAATCATCGGCCAGGCTGATCAGCTCCACATCCTTTTGTACCAAATCAGCCCATCTCTTCTCTGGCTCATACCATACATGTTTAGACCCCTCTATCCAGCCAAACAGAAGCTGCCGAGTATGCGGTGGCTGGGCATGTGAGCTACATGATCCAGCCAATGCATTCTCGCCTGCCGGAAGAGCTCACCGATGGTAGTGTGACCAGATCTTTCAAGGTTCTGTGAGCTCCTTACACAATCCAGTCTGGTTAAATGTTTCAAACTGGAGCTGATGTTCCTTTAAACATGCTCAATGTTTTGGCAAGCAAAGAGAGAAGAGGATCTTCATGTGGTGTGATAGGTCCAGTAGTTTCTAAGTAGCATTATGGAGTGAGACCTCTGCTGCCAAACCGGAGCTGGTCATAAGCACACTGCACAAGGATGGAAACTTCTCTACTCTCTCCACAAATACTCCCCCCTTCACTCTCCATGAGTGGAGTATTTGATGACATAAAATACCCAGGCAGGTACTTTGCTTTTGTGGGGCTGATGGTAAGGCCCTATCTCTTAGTGGCACACAACAAGTTGAGCAGTAGCAAACCAAATTCCTTCTCAGAGTGAGCAGAAATTAACAGATCATGAGTATACATGGCATGGATGACCAAGAGAGAGCCATCCCGTGTACTCGGTGGAAATTGCACGGAGTACATATAGTCAATGACCCGCCCCTACTGGACATCTGTGATACATGTTGATTTCCACAGCACACACACACAGGCAGGGTGCTGTGGCAGGTGGCTATAATCCAGCGCTTTAGAGACTATTGATGGATCACAGAGGGCATGAGACTAAAGGCGGAGCGGCAGCCAAAGGAAGGAAAACACCTAAAATATGTCGAACGACACAGATGGAGTGATCGAGTCAATTCGTGTGCAGGTGCGAGATGGACTGTTGTATTGCAAGACTGTGAGGGATGTTGATGGGTTGGGGAGGCCTTTGTGCAGCATTGGAAGATATCTTGGCTGATGACGAATTAACAATTAAACGGATTCCCTCAGTGCGATGGGGATCTGCGTGTCGGAGAGAGGTGGCACTGGTGCGGCTCCAGCTGGCGCCGCCCCGTCGCCCGTAGGGTACACGCGGCAGTGTGAGCTCACCCGATGGGAAAATCCACAGCTGTGCCACCGTTGGTCATGTAGTAAATCCCAAACTTGGCCAGCTTCACGTCTCCCTGTACACAGCGGGCACTGCGATTAACAAAAAACTCGTAATTATTTACATTATTTACATATGGCAGGAGCAAACATTGATGACCGTACTGTACTGATGTATCCTAATGACTACAAAAAACTTGTCTCTGCTGCCCATCGGGATGGCCACATGTTCTCAACTCTTTTGAGTCAGTGGTCTAACAAGATGGCCACACGTTGGGGCCTGGTGGTTGGGATAAGGCGGACATCTTCAGTACACGCAACGCACATCTTTGTGTGCTGGCTTGCGCACATTTTTCTGTTGAGGGGTTTTCTCATCATTTAGAGATTATAATTATTTCTCAAGTTTTTCTGCTGCAACAGCCACACCATCTGAATAAGAGAACTTGCGTCTGTCATGCATAACGGGAAAGGATGTACAAGATGAGCTGCTTTTCGTTTGCGGTTTCTCTCCCAGGACGATAACTCCTAGACTGGGCATGAGGCCACGTTGCAGGCTCCATAATGCCAGAAGTCTGGGACTTTATTGCAGAAATGCCAACGCTTTAAAACGCTAACAATCATCATTCTTTGATTCTTCAAAAACAAAGATCATGTGCCTGGGTTCCAAAAACCACAGCCGACAGACATAGAACACGTACCACTGAGACCAAGCCATCGTGATATAGCTCACGAACGTCCGCCTGTCGTTCCCTCCAAATCGACGGTGTTACGACGCGACGAGGGAGAAGGCCATTGCGAACCTCATAGCCCTGAGAGCACGCTCTGACGTTGCTGCACTTAAAGAGTTTTAGAGGCCTCCATCGGAGGAGAGGAGCCCGACCTGCATGGTGAGGAGGATGTTGTGTGGAGATATCGCGGCGTGGTCGATGCCTCGGCCATTGAGGTTCTCAAGGCCTTCCAGCACTTGGTAGGCAATCTGCATCAGCTTCTGCGTGCTGAGGGAACGCCACACGCACGCGCACATAACAAAGACAAACAAAGTTCCCCCGGATAGCCTTTAACAGACTGCTGGGGCAAGTGCTGTTTGCAAGCACCTACAAAGGCCGGTACCACGCCCGTCTCTTATTCTAGCTCCTACGGAGGGCTTCTCGGCGCGTCATGCCTCGCCCGTCGCCCCCACTGATGTCCTCCTCTTCCCCCCCTCCCCCCCCCCCCCCAATGTGTGCAGATACTACCCATATCTGAGAGAGGGGGTCCACTTTCTATAACTTTTCGATTCAGGCCTTGTGAAAGGCTATTATCATTTAGTTGACGGACAAACAGAACGCCGGGCTTTTATAGTATCACAATCGGACGCCACCTATTGAGGTACAACTGAGGGATATACCTGTTATATTCGATGTATGGCCAGCGTCCCTTCGATATTCTTATCTACGTAGGGCTTGTGAGACAGATTTGGCTGCAACTAACGATGCTAAAAAGGCTAATGAAAGAATAAGGGCCATATTTATATAATGGCACCCTATTTTAAAGTTGGCGATCGTGTTTGGTTAAATAGTAGGGACCTCGACGCAATTACATAAGTCTTGGCCGGGCCGACTGAGTGCTTCGTGCACATTGCATGCAAGTTCAATCAGGTCGCCGACGTTGGCAAGTGCAGGCAACTCTCCTAAGTCTTATGTTCATCATTCCAACCTCATCCCCTTTATTTTCACCTGTTCATTCAAATGCTTGGCTTATGCTGGAGTCTGAGATTTCTCAGGCTGCACAAGTGCCTGAAGGATCGTCTGTCTTATTTGACAATATACTTTCTACAGAAATCTCTGTGAACATGACATCAATAGTTAGCGCTTGTTATCGTGGCCTCTTTGTAACAAAGCGCCGTCAACACAACATACACGCTGTGGTTGCCCGGCTTGGGGGTGACCATTTGGTGGTCATCCGTGTCTTGTATTCATTCGTTACCATTGTACGATTCACTTCTATTAAACTAATCTGCGAATCATATAGATCGTTTAACGTTGTATGCTTCACATCTGTTAAACTAACGTGAGTCAATTATACAGCCCAGCCTGACAATTGCTGAGAAACACAGTTTTAAACTAGTGTGTTTCAATATTTTAAACTGTTTATATTTGTGAAATATTAAAAGGACATCTTTCTTTTTAGAGGGGAGGCGATAATATAAGAATGCTAAAAGCAATCCTTGTCAGGAAATAAAATATTTAACAACAGTTCAACCAATAATAATTATGACGTAAGTGAAAAACAGATGTAACAATTATCGTGGACCTATTATCGCACAATATATACCGTGGTATCTCAACCCATAGTGGATTTTCCTGCCAAGTCACTTCAGTAAACCACTGCAGTGACATCACCAAGGCGATCCTCAGCGTGATTCTAACGTATATTATACGGCGACTCACAATCACGTGGTGGCCACGAAAATAACTCAACGATGCTGGTAAAGTCCAATGTTTTAGTTGCTTTACGGAAACGTTCTTTGACATCAACATTAACCATTCCAAAGGAAGTTGAATGGGATGTATGTCGAATGGGACGTATGTAGGTGTTTTGAAAAGGCCAAAGCGTGCGACCCCATTGGAAGCCTCACCTGAGCCTCACACCTTCACTCAGGATTCTTTCCACACTGTCTTCATGATGCTCCAACACAACCATCAGGCGTTCTGGAAACAAGAGGCAGCACATGGGCTCAGCTCCATATGAAGTTTCACTATTAAATGCGAGACCTTTTCAGCACATTTTAGTTGCCTTAAAAATACCACTTATATTTCATAAAAGACAAAGAAAAATAAACAAAGATTCCGAGAGGAGCCTGTAACAGCCTGTTGAGGCTAGCGCTGTTAGTGAGCATCTATCAAGGCCGGCACAGTACACAAGAGGGCAGTCATCCATTTGACCGTTCAACTCCAAAATGGTCAATGCATCTACTTCACCGAAGGAAATGCCCAACGACAGGCCCTGGCTCCACAAGATACCACCCTGATGGTGTTCTTTGTTTTGTGCCAAAGTTACCCATTTGCTGCCAACCTGCTCTAAAAGTTCCAATGTGTGTGTGTAAGTTGATGTCTGTGTGTGTAAGTCCATGTGTGTGTGTGTTAGTCAATGTGTGTGTAAGTCCATATGTGTGTGCGTGTAGGTCGATGTGTGTGCGAGTCTATGTATGTGTGTGAGTCGATGTGTGTGTGTGGCTCGATGTGTTTGTGTGCGTGGGTCGATGTCTGTGTGTGTGTAAGTCGATGTGTGTGTGTGTGTCTTTTTGGCCCGGGCAACGCCGGGTACTTCCCGCTAGTATTTAGTATTTGGGGCTATCACTGTTAGCGAGCATCTATCAAGGCTGGCACAGTACACAAGGGAGCGGGTGGCCAGCACCAAGCTCAGCTGCATTAGTCTCCCAGGTACTAATTTAAGGCCGAGTCAACCCAGGAGATGCCCAGGACCAGTTCAGATATTAATTACTGGTCTTGGCCCGTAAGCATAAATCGACCTTGAGTCGCCTGGTTTGTAGTGCAGCGCACTAACTGCTCCACTCGTTGTTTCATCAGGGCACACATTCACACAGGGGAAGAAACCTTTATCCCTGTGATCAACCCGAGACCCTTATTCTGGGTTGTGCTACAATGTGGTGGTGATGATGTTGTAATGTGGTTGTCAATGGGAACGTGCTTTCCTTTTTTCTATATACAGACTTGACGTTAATGTGAACATCTGACGAGCAGAATCACACGTGTTAACACACCACATACCGTGCTTGCCCCGGGCAATGTCCACATACTGACAGAGTCGGGGATGCGTGATCGTCTTCAACACTTGGAAGCGACCCAGAATCTTGATGGAGTTGGGGGTGAGAGGCAGCCCGTTGCTCCCACACACGTCGTTGGGAAGGGGTGAAGCGAAGAAGGTGGAGGCCCCAAGCTGAGCAGTCCCCAGGGGAAACATCTCACCAGCGGCAGACCCTCGCTGACATCGGCCTGAACAAGACATCAGGTGGTGGGGGCGCAATGTCACCCATTCTCGCCAACCTCATGGCACACAAAACAAGGGTTCACATCAACAGTAGAAGCTGCAACAAGGCAATGGGCCGCCCTGCAGGATGGTTTCATGATAACGGTGATAACGACAAATCCGTCTTTTGTTATCATAATAAACGTAACAAACCGAGTACACATTTTAACGATGAACAGTTTACTGTTTTCCTAATAATGCAATGTAACTTGTGGATACAAAACAAGGACCTTCAAAGTCAAGTGTTCATATCAATTGGTGTCAAGACCACGACAGGTGGCGATGGAGTCACCAAGACTTTGCCATTACAGAACCAACTTTCTCTCCACACTCTCAAGCGGAAGCGGCGGTGTGACAACAACCTTGGCCCGCTTACTGATCCCACCAAGCACAGAGTGGCCCATATGGGAGCCCACTTGTGTTGCGAAGTAGACCTTCTGTTGATATTTACTGACGATTTTGCGGGTTTTTTTTAATAACACTGGTGGAGAAATTGCTGTAACAACCACATTAACCAGGCCTTCTAATCGCACATTCAACAAAACACTCGCGCTGCTAAATAAACCACATTCAGTGACAAGCCACACGTTGATAAATGTACATTGTGAGAGGAAAATCACAATCATTACCAACCTGTCGGGTCCTCAATCTCTCTCTCTGGGTCCCCACTCTCTCTCGTGTTCATTCACCCATTCACTCGGTCAACCACCCGCTAGCTCACTCATCAATACGCTCACTCACACACTCGCTCACCCTTTAACTCATTGACCCTCACTCACCCACCCACCCTCACCGCTCACCCTCATCCTTACCCACCCTCACACTCACCCTCTCACCCTCCCCCACCCTCCCTCACCCTTACCCACACCCACCCACATCCACACCCACCCTCACACACACCCTCACCCACCCACCCTCACTCACACTCCCCCACCCTCACACACACCCTCACACTCCCCCACCCTGACCCACCCTCACCTTCACCCTCACCACACTCACCCTCACCCTCCCTCACCTTCACCCTCACCCTCCCTCACCTTCACCCTCACACCCACCCTCACACTCCCCCACCCTCACCCACCCTCACACACACCCTCACCGCACTCACCCTCACTCACCCACCCTCACCCTCACCTTCACCCTCACCACACTCACCCTCACCCTCCCTCACCCTCACCACCCTCACCACACTCACCTTCACCCTCCCTCACCCTCACCACACTCACCTTCACCCTCACCCTCCCTCACCTTCACCCTCAACACACTCACCCTCACTCACCCTCACCACACTCACCTTCACCCTCCCTCACCCTCACTCACCGTTTCGCCTCACTCCAGCCGCCTCGCAATCCCCACAGGATCGCGCTCCCGGGCGCCGCGCACCCATTGGCCAGGGCCGTCACGCGCACGAGCAATGCCGCGCTCCCATTGGTCGCCGCGTGCCGCCGTTGCCTTCCCCCCCCCCCCCACGTGCCGGTGTCACGTGGATTCCGGGAGCGCGTATCACGTGACCTGGGGGGGGGGGGCGGGGGGAAGCGGGAGCTGCGGGGGGACGGGGGGGGGACTGGTTGACGGGGGGGGGGGCTGGGGGGGTTGACAGGAGGGGGGCTGGGGGGGTTGACGGGGGTTGACGGGGGGTTGACGGGGGGGGGCTGGGGGGGTTGACGGGAGGGGGCTGGGGGGGTTGACGGGAGGGGGGCTGGGGGGGTTGACGGGGGGGGCTGGGGGGGTTGACGGGGGGGCTGGGGGGTTGACGGGGGGGGCTGGGGGGTTGACGGGGGGGGCTGGGGGGTTGACGGGGAGGGGGCTGGGGGGTTGACGGGGGGAGGCTGGGGGGTTGACGGGGGGGAAACTGGGGGGGTTGACGGAGGGGGGGCTGGGGGGTTGACGGGGGGGCTGGGGGGTTGACGGGGGGGGGCTGGGGGGTTGACGGGGGGGGCTGGGGGGGTTGACGGGGGGGGGGGCTGGGGGGGTTGACGGGGGGGGGGCTGGGGGGGTTGACGGGGGGGGACTGGGGGGGTTGACGGGGGGGGCTGGGGGGTTGACGGGGGGGGCTGGGGGGGTTGACGGGGGGGGGGGGCTGGGGGGGTTGACAGGAGGGGGGCTGGGGGGGTTGACGGGGGTTGACGGGGGGGGGCTGGGGGGGTTGACGGGAGGGGGCTGGGGGGGTTGACGGGAGGGGGGCTGGGGGGGTTGACGGGGGGGGCTGGGAGGTTGACGGGGGGGCTGGGGGGGTTGACGGGGGGGCTGGGGGGTTGACGGGGGGGGGGGCTGGGGGGTTGACGGGGGGGGGCTGGGGGGTTGACGGGGAGGGGGCTGGGGGTTGACGGGGGGAGGCTGGGGGGTTGACGGGGGGGAAACTGGGGGGGTTGACGGAGGGGGGGCTGGGGGGTTGACGGGGGGGCTGGGGGGTTGACGGGGGGGGGCTGGGGGGTTGACGGGGGGGGCTGGGGGGGTTGACGGGGGGGGGCTGGGGGGGTTGACGGGGGGGCTGGGGGGGTTGACGGGGGGGGACTGGGGGGGTTGACGGGGGGGGCTGGGGGGTTGACGGGGGGGGCTGGGGGGGTTGACGGGGGGGGGGCTGGGGGGGTTGACGGGAGGGGGGCTGGGGGGGTTGACGGGGGGGGGGCTGGGGGGTTGACGGGGGGGGGACGGGGGGAGCGGAGGGTGGCGGGGGACAGGGATGGTGGTGGAGGGATGGGGGTGGGGTATGAATGATCAACTTTTTTAGCTAAATGCATTAAATGTCGACGCAGGTGTTGCATAAATACCTTAAAAACGCAGCAACGTTCAAACATGTTATTATTTTCAGTGCGATGATAATGAAACAAATTTAGAAAATTTGCGGATTTACAGCATATATTTTAAAAAACCCCATTGCAATGACTGGTAAAGTCAGGGAAGGAGGTGGGAGTGGTGTGCTTGTGTGTGAGGGGGTCCCCTCGGCCGTCATTGTTGGGGGTTTCTCCCTGTAGAGGGAGGGGGTCCCCACGGGTGACGAGAACCCCTTTGGGGAGGGGGTCCCCACGGGTGACGAGAACCCCTTTGGGGAGGGGGTCCCCACGGGTGACGAGAACCCCTTTGGGGAGGGGTTCTCCCTGCCCCCAAGCAAGGTGGCCGCCGGCTCCGCACGCCGTGACCCCGGCGGTGGGGCAGGGGGGATCACTTCCGGGGGATCACTTCCGGCGCTCACCTCCGACGTCGCGCGGAGGCCGCGTGAGGGCGGCTCGCAGCTCGTCCCCTCACCTCCTCACCCCCTCGTCTCCTCACCCCCTCGTCTCCTCGTCTCCTCACCCCTGACCCCTTCGTCTCCTCACCACCGACTGCTCCGCCTCGACTCTTCGTTCTGCGCCCCCGGCCTCGCGGCTCTGCCATGGCGACGTGCAGGTGACGCGGCGGGAGCGGGCGACTCGTGGGGGGAGACATGGGGGGGGGGGAGAGAGACATGGGGGGGGGAGACATGGGGGGGGGGAGACATGGGGGGGGAGACATGGGGGGGGGAGAGAGACATGGGGGGGGAGAGAGACATGGGGGGGGGAAAGAGACATGGGGGGGGGGACATGGGGGGGGGAGAGAGACATGGGGGGGGGAGAGAGACATGGGGGGGGGGACATGGGGGGGGGAGAGAGACATGGGGGGGGGAGAGAGACATGGGGGGGGGGGGAGACATGGGGGGGAGACATGGGGGGGGAGACATGGGGGGGGAGACATGGGGGGGGGGAGAGAGACATGGGGGGCGGCAGACATGGGGGGGGGAGAGAGACATGGGGGGGGGAGAGAGACATGGGGGGGGAGAGAGACATGGGGGGGGGGACATGGGGGGGGGGAGAGAGACATGGGGGGGGGGAGACATGGGGGGGAGACATGGGGGGGGGGAGAGAGACATGGGGGGGGAGAGAGACATGGGGGGGGGAGAGAGACATGGGGGGGGGGACATGGGGGGGGGGAGAGAGACATGGGGGGGGGGGAGAGAGACATGGGGGGGGGGGGAGACATGGGGGGGAGACATGGGGGGGGAGACATGGGGGGGGAGACATGGGGGGGGGGGAGAGAGACATGGGGGGCGGCAGACATGGGGGGGGGGGGGGAGAGAGACATGGGGGGGGGAGAGAGACATGGGGGGGGGGGAGAGAGACATGGGGGGGGGGACATGGGGGGGGGGAGAGAGACATGGGGGGGGGGGAGACATGGGGGGGAGACATGGGGGGGGGAGAGAGACATGGGGGGGGAGAGAGAATGGGGGGGGGGAGAGAGGACATGGGGGGGGGACATGGGGGGGAGAGAGACATGGGGGGGGGGAGAGAGGACATGGGGGGGGGGGGAGACATGGGGGGGGGAGACATGGGGGGGGAGACATGGGGGGGAGACATGGGGGGGGCGGGGAGAGAGGACATGGGGGGCGGCAGACATGGGGGGGGGGAGAAGAGACATGGGGGGGGGAGAGAGACATGGGGGGGGAGAGAGACATGGGGGGGGGAGAGAGACATGGGGGGGGGAGAGAGACATGGGGGGGGGGACATGGGGGGGGGGAGAGAGACATGGGGGGGGAGAGAGACATGGGGGGGGGGGAGACATGGGGGGGGAGACATGGGGGGGGAGACATGGGGGGGGAGACATTGGGGGGGGGGGAGAGAGGACATGGGGGGCGGCAGACATGGGGGGGGGAGAGAGACATGGGGGGGGGAGAGAGACATGGGGGGGGGAGAGAGACATGGGGGGGGGGACATGGGGGGGGGGAGAGAGACATGGGGGGGGGGAGACATGGGGGGGGAGACATGGGGGGGGGAGAGAGGACATGGGGGGGGAGAGAGACATGGGGGGGGGAGAGAGACATGGGGGGGGGGACATGGGGGGGGGAGAGAGACATGGGGGGGGGAGAGAGACATGGGGGGGGGGGGAGACATGGGGGGGGAGACATGGGGGGGGAGACATGGGGGGGGAGACATGGGGGGGGGGGAGAGAGACATGGGGGGCGGCAGACATGGGGGGGGAGAGAGACATGGGGGGGGGAGAGAGACATGGGGGGGGGGAGAGAGACATGGGGGGGGGGGACATGGGGGGGGGGAGAGAGACATGGGGGGGGGAGAGAGACATGGGGGGGGGGAGAGAGACATGGGGGGGGGGGGAGACATGGGGGGGGAGACATGGGGGGGGAGACATGGGGGGGGGGGGAGAGAGACATGGGGGGCGGCAGACATGGGGGGGGGAGAGAGACATGGGGGGGGGAGAGAGACATGGGGGGGGGAGACATGGGGGGGGAGACATGGGGGGGGGAGAGAGACATGGGGGGGAGAGAGACATGGGGGGGGAGAGAGACATGGGGGGGGGGACATGGGGGGGGGAGAGAGACATGGGGGGGGGAGAGAGACATGGGGGGGGGGGGGAGACATGGGGGGGGAGACATGGGGGGGGAGACATGGGGGGGGGGGAGAGAGACATGGGGGGCGGCAGACATGGGGGGGGGAGAGAGACATGGGGGGGGGAGAGAGACATGGGGGGGGGAGAGAGACATGGGGGGGGGACATGGGGGGGGGGAGAGAGACATGGGGGGGGGAGAGAGACATGGGGGGGGGAGAGAGACATGGGGGGGGGAGAGGACATGGGGGGGGGGGGAGACATGGGGGGGAGACATGGGGGGGGAGACATGGGGGGGGGGAGAGAGACATGGGGGGCGGCAGACATGGGGGGGGGAGAGAGACATGGGGGGGGGAGAGAGACATGGGGGGGGGGAGACATGGGGGGGGAGACATGGGGGGGGAGAGAGACATGGGGGGGGAGAGAGACATGGGGGGGGGAGAGAGACATGGGGGGGGGGACATGGGGGGGGGAGAGAGACATGGGGGGGGGAGAGAGACATGGGGGGGGGGGGAGACATGGGGGGGGAGACATGGGGGGGGAGACATGGGGGGGGAGACATGGGGGGGGGGGAGAGAGACATGGGGGGCGGCAGACATGGGGGGGGGAGAGAGACATGGGGGGGGGAGAGAGACATGGGGGGGGGAGAGAGACATGGGGGGGGGGACATGGGGGGGGGGAGAGAGACATGGGGGGGGGAGAGAGACATGGGGGGGGGAGAGAGACATGGGGGGGGGGGGAGACATGGGGGGGGAGACATGGGGGGGGAGACATGGGGGGGAGACATGGGGGGGGGGAGAGAGACATGGGGGGCGGCAGACATGGGGGGGGGAGAGAGACATGGGGGGGGGAGAGAGACATGGGGGGGGGGAGACATGGGGGGGGAGACATGGGGGGGGGGAGACATGGGGGGGGGAGACATGGGGGGGGGTGGAGACATGGGGGGACACGAGGACACGGAGGGATACGGGGGAAACAGAGACACGGGTGAGGGGGGGGGCACGGGGGAGACACGGATGACGCGAAGATTCGGTGTGACACAGGGGACATGGAGACGAGACACGGGGGACATGTAGACAGTGATAGTGAGACGCGGAGAAAGGAGGACGATTGAGAAGTGTTGAGGCCTGTGTACACGGAGACAATCGAATACTGAACTACAACGAGACAGACACTGAGGCGTCGACCGCCCGAGACACCGATCCGGTCCCTGAGGCACGGCGAGTTGAGTCCTTGAGGTCCTGGGGTGTTCGTTCGGTCCTGAGCTCTTGAACTGGCCCCAGTCGCAGCAACACGTGGAGGTGGTGGTGGTGGAGGTGGTGGTGGAGGTTGTGGTGGAGGTGGTGGTGGTGGAGGTGGTGGAGGTGGTGGTGGTGGAGGTGGTGGAGGTGGTGGTGGAGGTGGTGGTGGTGGAGGTGGTGGTTGTGGAGGTGGTGGAGGTGGTGGTGGTGGAGGTGGTGGTGGTGGTGGAGGTGGTGGTGGTGGATGTGGTGGTGGAGGTTGTGGTGGTGGAGGTGGAGGTTGTGGTGGTGGTGGAGGTTGTGACTCCGACCCTCGGCACTGCTGCTCCTGCCGACCCTACAGCTGTTGCTGTACAGTGCAGATTGTTCAGGCAAGGAACAACATATTTCTTTTTTTAAATCGTTGCTGGGCACAGGCCAAAATGCCCCCAAACTTCGAGCGGCGAGCAACAGGCAAGCGTAATAAACGCCACAGATTAGAGGCAAAACACGATCGGTTTCTTTTATTGAGCAAGGTCATTGTAAAGGACTCGGGGAAAATGAAACGGCGGGAGCGAATTCGCGAGTGAAGCGGCGGTGCAAGGGGGAGAAGGAGAGCGATGGGCGGCGAGGCGAGCCGCGGCGTGGGCTGGTTGCTGAATGAGAACAAACCCCGTCTGTGGTGGACCGAGGGATGATCAAAATGAGTGGAGGAGTCGAGGATTGAAGCTCACGGGAGCAGATGGCCGTGCCACGGTAACGATAGCAGAGTGATACAGAGATGCCCCGGCTGCGACTGAGTAGTGAACGCAGTGAGCGAGTGAATGGACGAGGACCCGATCTCCAATTATAGACGAACTGATTCACTCTGAATGATATCCGAGGCAAGTGGTGGACTGGGGAGCTCCACCCCAGATACCACAGCAGCAGGAATCCAACCTCGGCAGATTGTGTAGAGCAGCAGCGGTGATGATTATTCGGAGCTAAATTGTATTTGGCACGGAGCAGAAAGCCAATCTTTTCCGACGCCTTCTCAGCCCGATTAGTAACGCAGCCGTTCCGTGACAGGTCGGATGAGATTGTTGTGCCAATCAGATTAATGTGGTTACTTGAGATGACATTTCGCTGCTACGTGGGTGGGTGTCACTTATTAACGCTGCCTGCCCGGCGTTTGTATTAAGTTACTCCCGCTACAGGTGATGGGATTTCGTGGCAGCGAGGAGACATTGGGATGGTTTGGAAGATTTAACCTCAAACCAGAAACCTTCACTGAGTCTGAAGACATTATCATGCCTTCGATTGTTGGTCAACCTCTTGAGAGTTTTTCAGAGTTCCTGGAGGAAACCCGTGCATAACAAGGGAGATCAAATGTGTACAGGTCAGAAAGCTACTTTCTGCACTGTCTCCTACATGACACCCCAGTGCCCTGCAACTGGGGTGTTACGGACTCTGGGTTGCATCACTGGGAGGCACCGTCTCACCAGTGGACTTCGCGGCAAGGACACAACTTATGGACGGTCCTGTAATTTGCAGCTTATGATGGTTGTGAAAAGTCTACACTTCAATTACATCGCCCCCGTTACAGCTACAAATCAGCGTTTTAACAACTGCACTCACACGGGCATGGTAAGATAACTGCAGGCTCATTCCAAGAGTGCATATTTGAGCCGACATTCAACAATAACCTTTTACATTTGGCGAGTTTTTTTCAGCACTTGGCAACTCATCGCACAGATCGACGTCATCCCTCTGTGAATGCTTGAAAAATACATCAAGACGCGCTGGTACAGCTGCGGATATCCGTGGATCTCCACAGATCCACAGCAGGGGTGGAGGATAGAACGGAGGTTGGATGAGAACATCCTACCATCGCTCCTGGGAACTTGGTGGAAGTTCTGGAGCGTGCGTTTTAAGCCAAATTCCTGGTATATACCGTGGGGACCACATACTGTAAAGGCACTGTAGTGATCTTCGAAAATACCAGACGTACATCATGCACTGTAAATCTTAGCTGTGTCTAAGAACTTTGCGCAGGTTTACGTACAAATGGTGGCCGGTAGGTGGACCACAAATCGCATTGTAATTTCGACTGGGATAATGATTTGTATTTGATGTAACAACACTTTTTTTACGCCAGCGCTTATCTGAGCACCTTTACATCAAAATGTCATCTCAACCAATTTGAAAGGGCATCTCCCAACGGCAGCTGTCCCTGTGGGCACAATGGCAACTGACCTGCAAATGAGCATATGTCTGCTAAATAAAGTATTAAAGCTTTCGTGACTGCATAAAATTACTCATTGTTTTTTTCGGTAAAGTCACGTAGGTAGAAATACAATAAAATTATATTAAAACAAAAAACAATCACGACGTTTCGATCACAACGCAAGCGATCTTCATCAGGTGTCAAGAACAAATCACGGAGGTAAATACAACAAAAAGATGAGAGACGAGAATTCAACAAACCTGAAAAAACATGTGAAGCACATCCAGTCAGGCCAACAACACAGACACTTCCTGGCGGAAGTGTCTAGGAAGTGTCTAACTGTGTTGTCGGCCTGACTGGATGTGCTTCACAATGTTTTTTCAGGTTTGTTGAATTCTCATCTCTCATCTTTTTGTTGTATTTGCCTCCGTGATTTGTTCTTGACACCTGATGAAGATCGCTTGCGTTGTGATCGAAACGTGATTGTTTTTTGTTTTAATATAATTTTATTGTATTTCTACATACGTGACTTTACCGAAAAAACCAATGAGTCATGTCTGCTAGTAGGTGGGGGGGGGAAGGGGGGTGATTGCCTTGTGTAATCCCAATTGAGTAACCTACGGGTAGCTTTTTTTACTTGGAAAATGTGGACCCCTGACACTGGCACGCAATGGCCTTCTCGTTTAAAATGTCAGGGAATTTTTTTTTACGTCCCACTGTGCAAGCGGACACGGTATTAACCAGGGTGGCCGCCAGTGTCGAACCGTGAACTCGCGCACTAAGCGGTGAACCTGCTACCACTGGGCCATGTCCGCTGACCGTATCTGTCGCTTGCTATCGCTAAGAAATAGACTGTGCGCCTTTTGCTTAGCGATGTAAACCCCAGGCCACGTCTCATTTGAGTTACGTAAACAAGCCGCAGAGGGTGGGCTTGTGCAATGCTGCTGCTTTTGTGGTCTCGCGCGAAGCCCTGTGCGTGCGGTTCCTTCTCCGCAGGCTGCCGGGCACCGGCATCGCTTAGGCGCTGCTGAAGAGCCGCCAGCAGAGACCCGGTACCGGCCTCATTGGTGTGAGTACGCATAGGCGAGATGCACGTGCGGAGTCGTCGCTGCTGCCGTGGTTACCGTGACCGTCGCTCATGGCTCCCTCCAGCCATGTTCAGGACTACTCGGCCTACCGGACTGACTGTTCCGTCTCACCCGTACCGTTCCACCACCGCACAGCAGGTCCCCACAGCACGCTCATTATTCACTCACCACCAACTCAGTCACTCCTGGATAGCCCATACAGTGCTGGATGCGCAAGTGCTGTTATTAGTGAATGAGCAACAGCGACTATGAAGACCAGGACTGTGGCACACGAGGGGGTGGGTGGCCAGGAAGACCACGCCTGGCCGCCTTTGTCTCCCCCTGTGCCACACTCACCCACCCACTCACCACACTGCAAGTCACAACAATTTGTGCTTCTTTCCTCGCACTGCTCCACTTCGGAATTCCCACCACCGTCTCTTTCCGAAGCTCTTATAACCTTGCTCAACTTAAACTCGTGTTAGACTCTCATCGACTACATGTTTGAAAGTGCTGTTTGCTGCTGGATGCTTGACGTAACGGGTGTTTGTTTAAAAAGTAAATGTCGGTCTTTAGCGTTAGTTGCGGTCATTCACATTGTATAGTCACGTTATACAGTCACATTGTACAGTCACATTGTACAGTCACATTGTATAGTCACATTGTATAGTCACATTATACAGTCACATTATACAGTCACATTGTACAATCACATACAGTCACACTGTATAGTCACATTGTATAGTCACATTGTACAGTCACATTATACAGCCACACTGTATAGTCACATTGTACAGTCACACTGTATAGTCACATTGTATAGTCACATTGTATAGTCACATTGTATAGTCACATTGTACAGTCACATTGTACAGTCACATTGTATAGTCACATTGTACAGTCACATTATATAGTCACATTGTACAGTCACATTGTATAGTCACATTGTACAGTCACATTGTACGGTCACATTGTATAGTCACATTGTATAGTCACATTGTATAGTCACATTGTACACTCACATTGTACAGTCACATTGTACAGTCACATTGTACAATCACATACAGTCACATTGTATAGTCACATTGTATAGTCACATTGTATAGTCACATTGTATAGTCACATTGTACAGTCACATTGTATAGTCACATTGTACAGTCACATTGTACAGTCACATTGTATAGTCACATTATACAGTCACATTATATAGTCACATTGTACAGTCACATTGTACAGTCACATTGTATGGTCACATTGTATGGTCACATTGTATAGTCACATTGTACAGTCACATTGTACAGTCACATTGTACAGTCACATTGTACAGTCACATTGTATAGTCACATTGTATAGTCACATACAGTCACATTGTATAGTCACATTGTACAGTCACATTGTATAGTCACATTGTACAGTCACATTATACAGTCACATTGTACAGTCACATTGTACAGTCACATTGTACAGTCACATTGTATAGTCACATTGTACAGTCACATTGTACAGTCACGTACAGTCACATTATACAGTCACATTGTATAGTCACATTATACAGTCACATTGTATAGTCACATTGTACAGTCACGTACAGTCACATACAGTCACATTGTACAGTCACATTATACAGTCACATTGTACAGTCACGAGCAGCACCTGCTGCAGGCTGCTCATAGACTTCGTTGCTTGTGCACCACGCAACCTCTAAACTTTGTGACGATTGCAACTGTGACGTCACACAACACGTTTTTTTATAAAACCCGCTGCCGACTGTGACTATAATTATGTGGTGTGGATTGTAAATTACCTGAATGTGCCCTAAGCAGGGTTTGTTTTACCTGGTTTGTGCGAAGACGAGAGACTATGCTTCAGCACCAGATGCTGCAGACATTGACTGTGATGAAGGCAGAAGAAGACCGTACAGCAATGGACATTTGAATATCTGTCTGTGCAGAGCGTCGTTTGTTTACCCAGAGTTTATTTGATTTCTGGGTACTCTGGTGTCCTCCCTCGAGACGCATTCATGAATAGAATTGGCCAGAAATGTCAATGCAAGGACCCTTCCAAGAAAGTCTTGAGACTCCATGTGGCTATCCTGGATGTATGAAAAAAACAAGTTCGATTTATAATTTATTTCTTGAACAATATCAGTTGTATACAAATGCTTTATCAAATGCTGTGTTTGTAAAAAAAAACAATCTGCAACCTTTTGGGAAGAAGGACTTCTAATCTGGGTGCCAATATTAACGTTGGCTTCGGGGAGTTGACCGACGACGTACGCTTGAGCGGAGTGTATTTGTATTTTAATAAGGAGGACGGGTTTGTGAGAATACTTGGGTGACGGCTGTCAGCACGTTTGCGAATTGCGCCCCCTGCAGGTGGTGGGGGCGGACGTGCGTTTGAGACGCGGAGATGGAGCGGCAGGCGACGTGGCTCCCCTGACAGCATGAGACACTTGGTGGAGCCCGAGGTGAGGGAAGCGGGGAAGGGCCGGGCCGTCCTTCCTCACCCCGAGTTCCCTCACCACTCGGCGCGCGCCGACTCGAGCAAGTACTACGTCGCGGGCTACGCCGCGGCCTTCCTCAACATCATCGTCACCTTCCCCGTCAACAAGCTCATGTTCCGCCAGCAGCTGCACGGCTCGCTGGCGCGCGACGCCCTGCGGCAGCTGCGCGCGGAAGGCGTCCGCCGCCTCTACCGCGGCCTGCTCCCGCCGCTCGCGCAGAAGACCACGACGCTGGCGCTCATGTTCGGCCTCTACGAAGACTTCTCGGCGGCGCTCCTCGGCTCGCGCCCGAGCGGCGTGCCCGAGGCGCTGCCGCGGGCCCTGGCCGCCGTGCTGGCCGGCTCGGCCGAGGCGGCGCTGGCGCCGTTCGAGCGCGTGCAGACGCTGCTGCAGGACGCGCGCCACCAGGCGACGTTCCGCAACACGGCGCACGCGTTCCGCGCGCTGCGGGCCCACGGCGTTCGCGAGTATTACCGCGGACTCGTGCCCATCCTGCTCCGCAACGGTCCCAGCAACGCCATCTTCTTCGGCCTGCGCGGCCCCATCAAGGAGGCCCTGCCGCGGGCCCGCACGCCCGCCTCGCATGTCGCCAACGACTTTGCGTGCGGCGGTTTTCTGGGCGCGCTGCTCAGCACGCTCTTCTACCCGCTCAACGTCGTGAAGGTGCGCATGCAGTCGCGCGTCGGCGGAGACTTCCTGGGCTTCGCGCAGGCCCTGGCCATCGTGTGGCAGGAGCGTGACCGCAGGGTGTCGCGCCTGTTCCGCGGCGTGCACGTCAACTACCAGCGCTCCATCCTCTCCTGGGGAATCATCAACGCCACCTACGAGTTGGTGCTTAGGTTTCTGTAGCTGATCGTCGTCCACCCCAACTTGGCCTGAACCGTTCGGCGTCGGGCGATTTTTTCCCCCCTCCTCCCACGGCTGGGAGGTTGCGTGTTGGCTATACCCCCCCCCCCCCTCATTGGGGGTGTTTTGAAGGCAGGGGGCACAACAAGCGCTCAATCAACCGGATGGTCTGTCCTACTTACCCGGTCTACCAACATCACATGTCGCTAAAATGTAAAGAATTGTACTGTACTGGAGTACTTGCAAAGGGAAGCCTGACGTTAAGTGCACAGCCGTTTTGTCAACCCGCTACCGGATGAGGGACTCCACACACCGTGCGGGCTCTGGCGGTTATTTGACCATACTTCACCTTGCTGGTAAGCGGCGCGGGTTGGTGAAGGCGGAGGGAAAAGATGGGTGGAGCATAGTACAGTACAAAAATGGTATTTGCCGTGGACCTCGTTCCCGCTGTTCTGTTGGAGCAAAATGTTTAAACATTTCACGACGTCGTGAAGACAAGAATAAATGCCTTAACACAAACAATTGAGGGATGTTCAGGGAGGCTCGCATTTCTAAAAGGATTTTGCCAACGCGATTATATTTTATACTTCCAGCATTTGGAATCCTCACAGCTCTGTTTAAAATGTGGTCAGCTGAGTTAACTTTTTGTAAATTCAGAACCGCCCCACCGGTTCATCTGGTGAATTTGCACCAGCAGACAGCTGCAGCCCGACGGGCAGGCGAATGTCCATTCGCAGGCCAGGGTACCGAGTTGTCACCTTATGCCCACTGAGAAGAGCAGCCACTGGTGGGTCCCCTATCAAAAAACAATCCCTCTTGTTCTTATTGTCGAGGCCACTACGAACAGTGCCTCGATGTTGTCGTGTCACGTGACCGTGTTGGTGGTGCCAGTTTACATTTCTTTGTGTTGACACTTGCCTCAGTTTCGTGGCTTTTGCTGTTAGCGCAGGACTCCTTCCTGCTCACGGCAGTCGTGAACATGGCTGTGACCCTCTTTTGCAAAATGTTCTCGTCGCTCAACGTGTTTTTTTTTTAATGATCCATTGAGATACAGCTGTCGCCTCTTTTTGCCAAATTCTTCAGTCACACGCTGCCAAGAGTAACGACGCCGTTGTGCGGCTGTTGTGACGTGCGGGTACGACGTTACGGAGCGGTGTCTTGTACGCACGTGCTTGTCGTACGAAATGCTCTGCAGCATCGCTCCGGTGAATTCCCGTTGAATACTTCACCTCTGTAAGAGGTTTACTTGGGAATGGACCCTGCCGTTTGTGGCGTCAACCTACTTCACGGCACGTTCTTCTGCGAACACGCGCCGCCATTGTCGGTTGTCCTGAAACGTAAAACGTCTGGACTCAATGTTGTTTTTTGTCAATCATAAATATGCATTCGGTCAACACCAAGTGGCACGTGTTTTGTGTGTTGACGCACCGACTTACGAGCGCGCTGGTCTTGCTGCCGCGGCGGTCCCCGCGCTCTTTCCGCGCGCGCTGCTTGGACGTGTGCTTGCTGGGTTTGCCAGGTGGATATGAAATGTCGCTCGAGGTATCGAGTGCTTTTGTCGATGGTGGTTGTGTTGTGCGTCGTTATTAAAATTCACACTCGCTGACAAAATGACTTGTGTACGTCGGTAGCTCTGTGGTAGGTCACTTCGTGCTGACCTCGTTGGAAGGCTCGAGGCCGGTCACACACACTCATACATCGGGGCTATGCTGTTACCTTCGCAAAGCTGTCACCGGGACGGTAACCCAGTCACAGCGGTCACGTGTTTGCTGCTTGTTGCAGAGGTTCACATTTCGATTCTGGCGACCGTGCTGATTAACTTTACTACGCGCCGTCTCCTTCGCAGAGACCGTTAAAGATCCCAGACGTCATTTTCAAGAGTAGGCCATCGTGTGCTGGCATCGGGGTCCAAATTAGAAAAAATTATCTAATTGCGATTATGCGTAGCAATCCTAGTCCCCTACTGGCAGACTAATGCCGGTTTGCATGCCACGTGTCGTCACCTTTTGCCCACACGGACGGCTGCCCATGAAAATGTGCTGTGCTCCAAGATGCCCCGGCGCATTTGGCCATTGTCAGAAACAACAAATAGTTCTCATTTCATTCTAGTTTTCGTGACTGCAATGATCCATACTCTTTGGTTATTTAGGTAAAGTCACATAGATAAAAAATAAAGTGAATCAAATCACGGCGTTTCGGAGGCAACAAGCTTCCGTCATCAGGTGTAACTAGCGCAGCAAAATTACTGTAGAGAAACAATGAGTAAAGTTCTCATTTCAGTTTGCGGTCAATGTTTACCCTACGAGACTCCCCACGTGAGCCAATCCCTGCACCCACCCACACGTGCTCCACATCCCCTCGTGCCCGTATCGTTCCTACACCCTCCACCTACCCTCCCCCTGCACTACACCTCAACTGCTCCTTGCCCTGTGCTCTACAGCCAATCACGATGTTGCCAATGGGTTTATATTAACCACAGATTGCTTATCCACGGCAATTGATGCAGTAATCGAGTCTACTTAATCTACCCTGTTAATGATTTGTTCTCTGGCATTTCCATTAGTTTAACTCTTCTCAAGTCCCCAAAAGCAAAAACAGGACAACTCGAGTCCGTCAGCCCTCCTCAGTGGCCACGGCTCTGCCGGCGCGCGACGTCACGCGGAACGGGCAGAGCAGCAGTCACGCAAGTCATGTACAATCTGCTTTATTTTTAAAAATACAAACGTTCTATACCACTGTAAAGAATAAAAAAGCATCTTAATTTAAAAATACAAAACTTTTATGTTGTTAGTAAACCGGCGCTTAACGCATCCCATTAACATATGGTCACTTCCGTGTCCAGCACTCCTGTAAATGTAAAACTAGAGCCAACAATGGAATTTCCAGAATCCAACAATTTTCACTTTGGGTGGCTCTGGTTTTAACGCTACAAGAGCTATGAGAACCCACAACTCTCAAAAGCCTTGAAAAGGTAACTATATAGATTGTAGAATGTTAGAATACCTGTATAGCTCTCAATATATGGCAATTCTAATTTAGTTAGTTTAACACGTAGGATTTCATAACCAATATGCATAAGGCGTTTTTGGGTTAGATCATGTAAATGTGTCGTTAAACCCGCCACAAATCCGGCTGTCGCCTAATGAGGCTGGTTGTAATTACCGGCAAAACGTCGTAATCTTATTGTAAATGTTGTGGGTTTACTCTCCAACACACAGGTGTGCTGCACTAGTAACCAATTGGCATGTTTTGTTTAAGTGACAAGCCTTACTAATTGACTGTGTCAGGTGATGGCTGGTTGAACAACACGTGTCTTTACGCAATCTAACCCAAAAAAAACCTCATGCATCTAAATTAGTTGCTGAATAAAAGGACTGTGTCACATGACCGTGAATCAGACTGTGTACACGTCATTGGCTTAATTCCTACAGCCATGTGGTGAATGCCTCCACACCCAAGCTCATGGATAATAGCTCAGGTAGCTCATGTCATCTTTTTAACACCTTTCTCCAACACAGGGTGATGCACTGCTTTCTCTGAGAGTACCGAATAGACATGGTTTAGTCTCAGTCATAAATGTGGTCATCCCAGTCGTGGTTACGACCCCAGCTTCGCAGCGTAAAGCTCGATCGTAGCGAATGCCGAATATACGCAAGCGACCGTGCTAATCGGAGGTAGACATCCGTATCTGCCCGGCCCTGGCACGGCGCTATTTATCTTTCTCGTCGGACCACTGCCGCCGCGTCGAGCGCCGGCGAGCGGACATCGTGGCGCCGTCTTCCTCCGTCTCCGCCTCCAGTAACTTCTTCTCGAGCGCGGCGGCGCCGCGCCCCGAGGCGGCGCCGCGCCCCGAGGCCAGCGCGTCGCGGCCTCCCCCCCGCGCTCCCGCCAGCAGCGCGGCTCCCGCCAGCAGCGCGGCTCCCGCCGCCAGCGCGGCTCCCGCCAGCAGCGCGGCTCCCGCCAGCAGCGCGACTCCCGCTGCCAGTGTGGCCCAGATGCCCTCGGAGCTCCGAGAGCAGCTGCTGCTGAACGTCGAGCTGGGCTTCGCCCCACACCAAGGCGTGGTGTCCTGGCAGCACACAAATATCACGATCCCCCACATACAACTTATAAGACTGTTGGGGCAAGCGTTGTTATCCAACCACACCCGGCCACCTTTGTCTCCCCCAGTGCTGATGTTTACAATCGGCACCATGTACTCATTTAAGACCGAGTTTAACTTGGGGAATCACCTTTACTTGGACTGGAACAATCCGATGAGCTATTAAGCGCTCTTTCACAGAAGTCCACGGTGGGCGGGTCAGCAAGTTACAACAGAATCAAACTCGGGTCACCAAGATTGTCGCAGGGCAGTGCCTTAACCACTGCACTACCGCTCCCCAATGCAACACACGCACACACCACGCTGGTCCTCCCCTAGTCGACTTAGGGGAGACCCGGGACCGGTTTAGATTAATAATCATTGGTGTTGGCCATGAACAGGAATCGAACTTGGATCGCCGGGTTCGTAGCACAGCGTACTAACCACTGCGCCGTACACACACACACCTGTGTGCCCGCACACGTGCCTGCCCGCACACTTGTCTCCGAGGTGGCATCACCACGGCTCACACTGCAGTTGGGATGTGGCCTTTGTAAAATGTAATTAGGCCACACATTCATTGGAGGCAACCTTTGTAAACGAAGGCTCTCTACTGACAAATTATTATTCTGCTTATTTACCCAGGAAAACCACACCGAGTCTCAGGACTTGTTAAGGAGGGTCCTGCCAAGCTTTCACAGTCAGGGGGCCATGTGTGCATTCCCAGTTGAGTAATTAGCAGGTAACCTATTATTTAGCATCAAGGTGTGTGGCCGATCCCAGTTACGTGTGATTTTTGTTTTAAGAAATGATCTTATAGACCCTGGCTGAAGCCGAGTGGTGGGATTCTGCCAACAAATATTTCTCTGCCCGTAAATACGTTTGTGCATATCACAAATCGTCAGCTTACGAATGACGGTGTCTGCGATCGTGGCCAAGCACTGCACTTTTTCTGAACTTTAGCAGAACTTCAAACGCCCAAAACTGAGCGAAAATTTCTGCTGGTGACGGTGGTGGGTACCGGCCTCCTCACCCGCCACTCACCCGCCACTCACCCGCCACTCACCCGCCACTCACCCGCCACTCACCCACTACTCACCCATGCCTGAGGCGAGAAGCTCCCCCGTTGGGTTGAAGTGATTCACCTGCACAGAACCAGGCATACACATTACAGCATCACGTACAACAACAACCTTCATTCGCCACTAAGTGGCGGTGACGTCACCACGACACTTGTGCCAGGCTATGTGCACTTTAAGGCCACGTGAAATGTCAAATACCTGCTGGCAGGAGGTCACAGACCCAAGTGCCATGGGTTGACTGAGATGCCTGCCCGATGCACCACCTGTGCCCCCTACTGTGCCAACGTGCTATGTTTTAGCTGCCCGGCGCTCCGCTCGTTGCGAGCGTTGCTCTTCTGCCCTTCATTGTTGCTGGAGGGTGACTGCCTCCAACTGCCCAGTAGCGTCCTTCACGAGCCTCCTGCACAGAGGCCGATCTTGACACCGCTGGTACCAGTTATTGGTAAGTCCACTGAGCTCCATATCCTCGGACACCACAATTCCATCTCTTCTCTAGCCTGTGCCGTGTCCACAGAGCCCCCTCTGGGCATGCGGGATACTTCACCCAGCCATTGTAGCCTTGCCTGCCTTAGGAGCTCACCGATGGGACTGTCCAGATCTTTCAAAGATTTGCGAGCTCTTCACACAATCCAGCCTGGTTAGACCCAGGATGGATCGTAGGCAGGCCAGCCTGAATGTTTCAAACCGATGAAGATGTTCCATTAGGGGGTTCACATTTTTCAAGCGTAGAGAAGGACATGGCCGTGGCCAATAAAACCCAAAGCTTCGTGTGGAGCGACAGATCAGGTCGCTTCTTCACAGCGTTACGCAGCCAATGAAAATATGCCGGTCGACTGTTTTGAAGTGAGACCTCTGCTATCAAACCAGAGCTGGTCATAAGCACACTGCTCAGGTATGGAATCCTTTCCACTCTCTCCACAACTACCCCACCAATGGGGAGTTGAGGGGGTGGAGTGTTTGATGACACAGGTGCTTTGTTTTGGAGGGGCTGATGGTAAGGCCCCACTTCTTAGTGGCACACTGCAGCTTCAGCAGCAGCAGCACCTCCAACTCCTTCTCTGAGTGAGCAGCAATCACCAGATCATCAGCATACGTAACATGTTTGACCAATAGGGAGCCATCCCTTGACCGCTCCCGAGCATTGATCAGCCTCCCGTTAAATCTGTACTAGATGGACATTCCTCCGGTACAGCCATGGAAAGCTTCTCGAACCACGTGGTCCAAAATTATGCTCAATAATGCGGGAGCCAGAGGACGCCGCCCGCGCACCGCGAGGCTGCTCCCCATCGGACGTCGCAGTCGCCCAGCCCCTCCGAGGAATTGTGCACCACGGGTGGATTCCGCGTGCGGAAGGCACGTGCCGAGTTTGCCTGCGGGAACCGGGGCCCCGACACGACGCTCGGACGGCCGACGACGGGGAACACCCATGGCATGGTCATGGTGGCACTCGCTGTGGCAGGGGACGCCTGGCTTGCCACGATGACGCGCTCGGGAAAGTTGTCAAAAAGCCTGCGTGTTAAACCCACGCGTAAATGGTCGTTGTGATTATTATTACCCTCGTCGTGGTCGTACGTTGCTCTGTACGGCACCTTACTGTGTACGCGCGCGCGCACGCACTCGTGTACTCACGCTCGCAATGCCGGGGGCGAGGGGATCCTCGAGCCGGCACAGCAGCGCCCCGCTGTCGGTGTCGAACAGGTCGATGGAGCGGCTCTCCTCGACGGACGTCCCCGGCTGAGCCAGATCCGGGTATCGGCCAATCACGGCCAGGTCGTACCTCGGGTGCCACGTCGCCTGCACGCCGCGCCGCACCGTACCGTTACACCGGCAGCCGCTCCGGCAGCCGCGCCATCGCTCCGGTGTCGTGTGTGCCCGTGTCACCGACTCGGAGAGGCGAGGAGGAGCTACAGACGAGCACGTGGTGTTCTGGCACTACCAACAACTGCCCAACCTCTGCGGTCCTCTATATATTAAGATGTTTTCAGTCAATTTGTGTTCATACGCGAGGGGGAAAACCGGAGCACCCGGAGAAAACCCAGACATTGCGAGGGGGCAACTTTATCCCATGTAGATGGAAACAAATGGGAGATTAAATGCACGTGGTGTACTGCTATCTCCTGGCCAGCCAAGGTAAGGCGACCAAACCGCCACGCCCGCGAGCACGGGCCAAGGGGCGTAGCACGCGTGTGTGCCGCGCGTGTGTGCCGCGCGTGTGTGCCGCGCGTGTGTGCCACGCTCGCTCACCTTGATCGGCGTCAGGTGCTGGAACTGGCGGTGAGGATGAACGATGGTGCGCAGTGGCGTGCTCCAGTCAGAGCAGCCGTACACGCGGATCTGGTCGTACTGGTCGGTGGTGAGCAGCCTGGCGCCGTCCCCAGGGCTGAAGTACGCTGCGCACGGCACAGGCCAACGGCACCCGGCCGGCAGCGTCACGTGGCGAGACCAACGCGAGGCAGCATTACACCACCAATCACTCGAAATTAAACTAACTCGAACTACTTTTATTTCACCAGGTAAGGCCCACTGAGCTATGTGGCTCTTTTTCAGAAGCGACCTGGCCACAAATGATAGCTCAACAAAGCGGCTTATTGCATGGAAATTTATCGCAGCCAAATAACTCCAACACGCATGTTGTTGACAAATAACTCCAACACGCATGTTGTTGATTCTAAATGTGGAGGAAAGAACCGGAGGACCGGAGAAAAATCCACGTGACCACGCCGAGAACAAATATACAGGCGTCAGGGTCGGGATCGAAACCACAACCTCCTGCATACCAGGCGAGGTAATTAACATCTTGCTGCCGCGGTGCCACTAAGTGGCGGTGATGTTACCACGGTGCTTATGCCAGGCTAGGTGCGTGTGTGCGTGCGTGTGCGTGCATGCGTGAGCGTGTGCCCCCGTGTGTGTGTTTGTGGGGAGCGGTAGTGCAATGGTTAGCGCGCTGCGCTACCAATCCGACGACCTGAGTTTCATTCCCGCTCATGGCCAACACCAGTGAAGATTATCTGAACCGGTCCTGGGCCTTCTCCCCTAGGTCGACTCAGTCTCAAATGAGGACCTGCTGCGGCGTGTAAACATCGCCACTGGGGAGATAAAGGCGGTCGGGCGTGGTGCTGGCCACCCACCCTCTCCATGTGCCGTGCCGGCCTTCATAGGTGCTATTCGCTAACAGCACTTGCCCCAACAGTCTGTTAAGGCGATACGGGGAATGTTTGTCTTTACGTGTGAGTGTGCGAGTGTGTGCGAGTGTGTGCGCCCACCGGAGTTGACGGGCTTGTCGTGAGGCAGCGTGTACAGGAAGCTCTTGGCGTCCGTGATGGCGCGGAGGTCCCACAGCTTCACGGTCTGGTCCACGGAGGCGCTGGCCAGCAGCCACTCGCAGTACGGGTGGAACTCCACGTGGGTCACCTTCTTCTTGTGAAGTCTCCGCCTCCAAATCTTAAAGCAAATTATTATTATCAGTGCACCGAGTCTCAAGACTCGGAAGGTCCTGCAAAGTCTTTGCCAAAAGCCTAAAAGAATATGAAAAGCCTACGTGTTAAACCTTCACGTAAATGGTCGTTGATCATTATTCTTGTTATGGAGGTACCTTATTCTGTACGGTACCTTACTGTTTACGCACACACACGTGTACATGCACGCAGGGGCTCACGTTGGTGCTGCCGTGTGCAATCCTAATTGAGTAAGTTGCAGGTACATTTTCAACATTGAGATGTTTGGCCAATACCGGTTTCAATGCTTAATTATTTTTAACTAAGGGCGGATACCGGAGAGCCCGGAAGAGACCCACGCAGAACAGGGGGAAAACGTACACCCCTCCACGTAGAAAAGTGCCCGAGTCGGGAATTGAAAACCCAGGCGCTTCTTGATTTGAGACACGAGTGTTACCACTGCACCGCCACCCTGCCGCCCTAAATTATAACATTGCACATGAAGACACAACACGCGTTCATGTGTCTGCACCCGTATTAGTCAGGCACACTAGCGACACAAGTAGAATATCGAACCCCTGAAGTGCTGAGTAATATCGTACTGTATTCGCACACATCACACGTACACTTCTCACTTTGTACTACTTATTTTTACCGACCCCAGGAGGAAGGTAGCTTGGGTTGCTGGAGCCGTGACGTGGCTACCGGACGGGGTTATGGGGTTTGCCCGGAGGCGCATGGCTCGAGAGATGGGCGGGCGGGACTGCGTGTGATGTGGGAGATGGTGGTGCCGAGCGGTGGCGCAGTGGTTAGCGTGCTGCGCTATGAACCCAGCAAATAGAGTTCCATTTCCACTCACAGCCAAACACCAGCGATGATTTTCTCAAGCAGTCCTGGGTCTCCCCTAGGTTGACACGAGTACCTGGTGTGGTGTGTGAACATCTGCACCGGGAAACAAAGACGGCCGGGCGTGGTGCTGGCCACCAACTCCCTCGTGTGCCATGTCTACCTTAAAAAGTGCCCCACCAGTCTGTTAAGGCTACAGGGGGGGGCATTGACAGCGCCAAAAAGAAACCATGTGGAGCTCACCGGAGTGCCCTCGAGGCCACACATCTCCAGGTGACCGAGGTTGTCCCCGACAGCCAGGGCCTGACGTGGCACGGACACATCCACGCTGCAGTACCAGCAGCTGCGGCAGCGAGAGGCGCGGGACGGCAGCGGCGTTAGCGCGCTGCGCGCGAGCACGAACCAACGCATGGAGGGCTCGCCTTGTCGGGCAGTAGCGCAACGCCCGTCGTAGTGGGAGACCTCGCTCTACCAGGAGGTGCCCAGGCGTGTCCTGTGAGGGTTACTGTGCATCTTATTTACTACAGTTAGTAAAATATACCAGGGTGTCGAGTAATGCGTCAGCCGCAGAAGCCGAGACAGCGTGATGTGAAGTCCTGCTAAGTTGAGGGTACGCACAAAGAAAGATATCACCAAGGTGATCATTCTCCAACCACAGTGATTTCATTGCCGGACGTTACGACAGCCAATCCTCGGGTTCACCGCTCGAGATTCAGAGTTACGGCACAGTTCCAACTGCAACAATGAACCACGTCAAGACGCGGGCGTGGACTGCGAGCCCAGCGCGCGAGACGCCGCGACCCTGCCGAGGCACGGCGAGGTGTGCGCGGAGCCGCGCGGTGCCGCCGAGTTGATGCCCCCCCGGGATGAGTGCCAGGACACGCCGCCGCGTAGACAGCGAAGACCCGAGGCATGGGCTGGCGCCTCGCCACACCCCGTCGTACCCGCAGTCACGGTGCCGGTGCACGCACTGCGGCGCGTTGGCGACGATGCGGCCCCGTGGCCCTGCGCGCCCCTCCACGTCGCGCAGCAGCAGCGAGCCGTCCCCCGACACCACGAACACGCGGGCCGTGTCGCGCGGGTCGAACCGCATGCCGCCCACCGCGTCTCCTGGTCCGTTCTGCGGTGTGGCGCACGCACAAAGATCCCCCGCGTAGCCATAACAGACCTTTGGGGCAAGTACTGTTATCGTGTAGCACCTATGAAGACCGGCACGCCACACAAGGAGAAGGGTGGCCAGCACCACGCCCGACCGCCTCAGTCTCCCCAGTGGCGATGTTTACACACCGCACCAGGTACTCATTTGAGGCCGAGTTGACCTCGGGGAGGCCCAGGATCGGTTCCAGATAATTGCCACTGGTATTGGCCGTGAGTGGGAATCGAACTCGGGTCGCTGGGTTCGGAGCGTAGCACAGATACTTGGCACCTTGGTCATACAAACACAGCACCGCAGCAAGGCACCCATCTCCTCCACGACGAGAACAAAGTCTTTGCCAAAAGCCGAGAAGAATATGAAAAGCCTACATGTTAAACCTTCACGTAAATTGTCGTTGATTATTATTATCCTTGTTACGGAGGTACCTTATTCTGTACGGTACCTTACTGTTTACACACACACACGTGTACACGCACGCATGGGCTCACGTTGGTGCTGCTGTGTGCAATCCCAGCACAGATACTTGGTACCTTGGTCATATAAACACAGCACCGTAGCAAGGCACCCACCTCCTCCACGTGGGCTGAATAATTACATTATTAGTATTGCACTTGTTTACCCAGCAAAGCCTCCCTGGGGGGGTCCTTCCACATTTTCTCAGGAGTGGGCGATGTTGCTGCTGCTGCCGCTGCTACACCGCGTAATCCCAACTGAGTAATTTGCAGATCCTTTTTCAGCATTGGGATGTTTGGCCCACAGCATTTGGATTGAGTGGGAACCCAGAGGAAGCCCATGCAGAGCAGGGGAGAACATACAAACTCCACGCAGAAAGGCGCCCCAAGGCTCTCCTCGCCGCGAGGCACGCCGAGCGTCACCGCCGCCTCCCTTCCTCGGTCACGACAAACACGCCCGTGAGGCGCATCGGCCAGGCGCGCTCCCGCCGGCGGATCGCGAACGTGCGGGACGCACCCCGAGGAGGAGCGAGAGGGGCTCCAGAGCACGGTGGTCCCACAGAAGGACGTCACCGCCCTTGGAGGCCACGGCGAGCGTGCCGGGCCGCGACGGGTGCCACACCACGCAGGTGACGCGCCGGTCAAACGGGCTGACCTTCCGCATCACGCCGAAGCGCGCCACCGAGCACGCGCACTGTCGCTTCAGGGTCTGCTCGCACGACGACACCAGGCGGCACAACAGAGGGAGGGGAGTCGGGAAAGAGCGAGGAGAGTGGGGGCGCTCGCTCGTGCGCCAACCCCAGCACGAGCGAGCATGCAATTGCAGGGCTGCGCCTTTACCTATTACCCTCGGTTACGTGCCATCATCGTCATGGCTACAAGGCGTTATTTTAAGGGGTAATGGGGGTAAGAGTACCTCCGGTCCATGGCTGACACTGCGGTGGTGACGCACGTCCTCACGTAGGGAATTCAAACCGGAAATCAACTTCAATATTTATGAACCGATGATGAAGAAAATAACAGGCTTCACCCCTTCCGGCAAGAATACAGGTGTAATGATGTTCAAACACCACACATGCTTGTGGTGAAACATGCAAACTTGCATGTTATAGCCTTAAACGTTTGTTTGTAATGTTATGTTTGCATGTTTTACCACGAAGCATGTGTGGTTAATGCAGACTTGATGCCTTGTGATGGGTGTCTATTTGTTCTTTGAAAATCTTAACACCTCCACTTTTCTTGCCAGAAAGGGTAAAGCCTATTCTTGTTTCAGCATCTTGATACTGGCTAAAAAAGTGTCCCATAGATTATTTATGAACCGGCCTCACCACCCCCGACCATGCCGTGCTCGCGCACCATGGAACTCCCTTGCAGAACAGCCGTGCCACCGGTCAAACACCATCATCGTCAGCGCAACAAATCAAATGAGCTCAAGGATGGAACCCCGTGCATGTCGGGGAGCGGGGTGTTCCCCCGGCGCACCTGCTGCAGTCGGCCCTGGCCCCACAGGCCGAGCGGCCCTTGGCGCGCCAGCTGCACCACGCCACGGCACGCCCAGGCTGCGGCGGCCTTGCGCCCTCTGAGCGCCACTGAGCTGGCCGGAAAAACACAATGACGACAACAAGCACCATTCGTCACTAAGTGCCGGTGACGTCGCCACACGCACACAAAAGACAAAGGTCCCCCCAGTATAGCCTGAACAGACTGTTGAGGTAAGTGCCGTTAGTGAGCACCTATGAAGGCCGGAACGGCAAACGAGGGGTTGGGTGGTCAGCACCACGCCCGGCCGCCTCCGTCTCCCTCGTGGTAATGTTTTACACGTCACACGAGGTACTCAATTGAGGCCCAGGACCTGGCTCAGATAATCGTCACTGGTGTTGGCCGCGAGCGGGAAGCGAACTTGTGTCGCCGGATTCCGAGTGCCAACCGTTCCACTACCGCTCGTCAAACACAAACAAATACACAGTCCTGGACTACAGGCCATGTGCGCAGCCACCACCGCACGGCTGGTCACTGACATTGCCCGACTGCCATGGGAACAATCGCTCTGCGTTGAGTAACATCTGCAGGACGATTACCGTTTTCGCATATAACCCGCAGACGCATATACCCCGCAAAAATGGCGTTTCGTGTAAAACTAATTTCAGATAGCCCGCACCTCCATATACCCCGCATACATTCATATCTTTAACGTCGTTACTGCAGCTTAATTCCATCATATTACGAATTTTACATTGGTAATACGAAGTTTACATTGGTAATACATTCCACTATCAATTGTTAACATTTAAATCATAACCTGCACAAAGAAAACAAACTAACCAGAAACGAGTGAACTTAAAAAAGCAAATAAGTAACATGAATTACTGCAGTCACGAAAGCTTTAAATCAAAATTTAGGTAGATAAGTAGTTTTAGCACTGGTAGATTGTGCACTGCAGCAGATAATAGCGGCACTACGGTAACGCCGTTGCCTCGCCCCCAACCCCCCCACCTCTCCCTCCCCCCAGCTGCCCCACCCCCCAACCCCCACCTCTCTCTCCCCCCAGCTGCCCCACCCCCACCTCTCCCTCCCCCCAGCTGCCCCACCCCCACCTCTCTCCCCCAGCTGCCCCACCCCCCAACCCCCACCTCTCTCTCCCCCCAGCTGCCCCACCCCCCAACCCCCACCTGCCCCACCCCCCAACCCCCACCTCTCTCCCCCCCCAGCTGCCCCACCCCCAACCCCCACCTCTCTCTCCCCCCAGCTGCCCCACCCCCCAACCCCCACCTCTCTCCCCCCCCAGCTGCCCCACCCCCAACCCCCACCTCTCTCTCCCCCCAGCTGCCCCACCCCCCAACCCCCACCTCTCTCCCCCCCAGCTGCCCCACCCCCCAACCCCCACCTCTCTCTCCCCCCAGCTGCCCCACCCCCCAACCCCAACCTCTCCCTCCCCCCAGCTGCCCCACCCCCCAACCCCCACCTCTCTCTCCCCCCAGCTGCCCCACCCCCCAACCCCCACCTCTCTCTCCCCCCAGCTGCCCCACCCCCCAACCCCCACCTCTCTCTCCCCCCAGCTCTCCCGTTGCCGGTAAACTGCGTGCACTTCAAACATTGTCGATTAATTGTACAAACAATTTAAAACGTGATAACACGTGCAATTTTAGTGTGAGTGGTTTATTCAGCAGTGCTTTAGTCAAAGGTAAGTGTTGCATAGTGGATAGTCCGACCATGAACACATTAAACGTGTACAATATTTTTGGGATAGCCCGCACCTCCATATACCCCGCAGGGTCTTGCTTTGTTTGTAAAGAGTGGTACACCCCGCGGGTTATATGCGGGAAAATACGGTAAATCACAAATGCGACACCCACGAGATTTGTGGCGGGGCGATGTAATACAGCGGTGGCGAGGGAACGCCGGGGGCACGGGGCCGCTCACCACAGGCGCCCTCCTCCCCGTCTCCAGCCTGCGGCGCCGTCCTCTTGCCCTTCCTCCTGCCCCCACGCCCTGTGCGTCGAGACTCCCGCCGCTCCTTATCCTCCACTCTGGGCCCCGGCGCCATCTGCAGGGCCGCAAAACGGGAGCGCCGACACGTCGGCCACAAAACTTCATTCTTAAAAGAACGGCATTCCCTCGCCAACCACGGACTTGCCAACCGCGGAATTCATGTACGCACCGTTTATTATCTGGAAACCGATTCACCAAATGCAGCCTGGAAATTGTGAGTATCCACGGGTAAGCACGGATCCTCAACACCTCCGCGCCACTGCACAGCTCATCACGTAGACTGCGTCGCATCGCAGCCATCCTAACGTTCTTTAAAGAACCAGCACCACCGAGCCAGCCAGCAGCGCCCCTGGTCCTGCCTCCTCACCTGCCCACTCATCTGTCATTGATGACCCGGAGGAAGAGCGGAGGGTGGGCTGAGCCCCTTCTCACCACCCCTTCCCCGATCATCTCATTGTCATCATCGTCATCATCGTCCTAATCATGGACTTCGACCATCAATATTAAAGGTATGTAATGTTAATTGAATCCATAATATAGGTTTTTTTTGGGTTAGTTCGCGTAAATATAAATGTGTCGTTAAACCCGCCAACACCCCACAACCAATTATTAAGGTTTGTCACAAAGAGAACATGCCAATTCATTACTAGTGCAGCACACCGGTGTGTTGGAGAGAAAATCTACATTTACAATCTCAGTACGACGTTTCGCCAGTAATTACAACTAGCTTCATCAGGCAACAGCCACATTTATGGAGACATCCTCCCGTTTATTTATGTTTTATGTTATTGTGCAAATGTACTGTAATTTATTCGTGTTTAGTTTAGAAATAGGCATCTTGGTTTCGCTACGACGAGTCTGACCACGCACGTGGTTACCCTAACCCCCTATTTCCCATGGGGCCTGCACTTTAACAACCGTGGATTTGCCTACCAAGGCCTTTTCCAGGAACCTAACCCCTTCACAGTTGTTGAGGGATTACTTTACTGCATTGCTACTATGACGCTTGTTTACCCAGGAAAGCCTCGCTAAGATGTGGCAAGATGTTTACTACCTCGCCTGGTATACAGGAAATCGTGAGTTTCACCCCGACCCTGACGCCTGCTGCTGTATATTTGGAGTTTGCGTGTCCAACTCCCCGTAGTGGTGTGGATTTTTCTCTGGGTCGTCCGGTTTTCCCCTTCACATGTAGCATCAAAATGCGTGTAGAGTAGTAGCTATTACGTGTAGTAGTAGCTACTACTACACGTGTAGTAGTAGCTACTACACTACACGTGTACTACTACACGTGTAGTAGTAGCTACTACTACTACACGTGTAGTAGTAGCTACTACTACACGTGTAGTAGTAGCTACTACTACTACACGTGTAGTAGTAGTAGCTACACGTGTAGTAGTAGTTACTACTACACGTGTAGTAGTAGTAGCTACACGTGTAGTAGCTACTACTACACGTGTACTACTACACGTGTAGTAGTAGCTACTTATGTGTAGTAGTAGTAGCAGCAGTAGCTACGGGCCCCGCGCTAAATGCTTTCAAGCTATCAATTCCGGTTCAGCGATTCTGCACTTGCTCTATTACTGTAGTACTATACCGCCTTCAACTTTCACGAACGACTGGCTGTTTAAGGTTAGCGATGTCGTATTATCCGTCTGTACAGAAAATGAAATTAAACAATTACTTTACCGTGCAAGTTTAAAAATGTCCGTGTTTTAATATTTACGTGTTTTTATTTAAATTTCGGGCCCCTTTATAACAACGACAACAGCAGCAGGAGCTACTGGCCTCGCACGAGCTTCATGCGGCACTGCGCGCACGGCAAGAGGCAGCGCGGGGTGTTGGCAGGGAGAGGCCTCGCGTCTCGTACGGCAGGGAGAGGCCTCGCGTCTCGTACAGCAGGGAGAGGCCTCGCGTCTCGTGCGGCAGGGAGAGGCCTCGCGTCTCGTACAGCAGGGAGAGGCCTCGCGTCTCGTACGTACTGTGTGCTGAACTTCTTCTCTCGCACCGCTCGGAGACAACCCTGCACGCCTCAGTGATGAAGGCTGGTGGCGCTGATGGCACAGGCGATGAGAGAGTCGCGTGAGATCTGTGCCACCTCGCCACGACTTCAAGTCCTCCCTCGCTGACGGCGCCCCACGTGGCGGCAGTGAAGGCTGGCAGCCCGTAGCGCCCCCCCCCACTCGCACAGAGCCCCCCCCCTCGCACAGGGCCCCCCCCCACTCGCAGAGCCCCACTCGCACAGAGCCCCCCACTCGCACAGAGCCCCCCACTCGCACAGGGCCCCCCCCACTCGCACAGGGCCCCCCCCACTCGCACAGGGCCCCCCACTCGCACAGGGCCCCCCCACTCGCACAGAGCCCCCCCCACTCGCACAGAGCCCCCCCCCACTCGCACAGAGCCCCCCCCCCACTCGCACAGAGCCCCCCCCCACTCGCACAGAGCCCCCTCCACTCGCACAGCCCCCTCCACTCGCACAGAGCCCCCCCCCCCACTCGCACAGGGCCCCCCACTCGCACAGAGGGCCCCCCACTCGCACAGAGCCCCCCCCACTCGCACAGAGCCCCCCACTCGCACAGAGCCCCCCCCCCCACTCGCACAGAGCCCCCCCCACTCGCACAGAGCCCCCCACTCGCAAGCGCGCTGCTGCCGCTGCCTCGATGGCTCCTCGCGTTGCACAACACCGTGGACTTACACAACAACAACCACCACCACACGGTGAGCTGTGGGAGTGCCTACGATGATGACGTTGGACTTACACAACAACAACCACCACCACACGGTGAGCACGTGGCCGTCCACCACGACAACAACCACAGCGGGCTGTGGGAGTGCCTACGATGACGACGTTGACGTTGATGACGCCATGACGTCGGTGACGATATTGTTAATGCATCCTGCGAGTGACGTCATCACCGAGAAACGCTGCCCGGATTGGCACGATGACGTCGATGACGATCCTGTTAATGCATCCTGCGAGTGACGTCATCACCGAAAACGCTGCCCGGATTGGCACGATGACGTCAATGACGATCCTGTTAATGCAGCCTGCGAGTGACGTCATCACCTAAAAACGCTGCCCGGATTGGCACGATGACGTCAATGACGATCCTGTTAATGCAGCCAGAGAGTGACGTCATCACCGAGAAAGGCTGCCCGGATTGGCACGATGACGTCCATGACGATGTTGTTAATGGATCCTGCGAGTGACGTCATCACCGAGAAACGCAGCCCGGATTGGCACGATGGCGTCAATGACGATCCTATTAATGCTTCCTGCGAGTGACGTCATCACCGAGAAACGCTGCCGGATTGGCACGTGGAGACTGCCATGAGGGCTCGTAGCGAGCCGGGTCTGCGGCTTTGCCAATCCACTGCTGGATGAATCTTTGTGGGCTCACCTCGCCACGTGGGTGAGTGAAAGGCGCCGGGTCGAGGAAGCACGCCCCGCGTCCCGCTTCCCATGCCGTGCCGCTGCACGTCAAACAGTCGCGGGGTTTGTTCTAAACACATCACGTCAGCCACGCGGCCCTCGTTGAGTGGAGATCCCCCAATATATATTATAGTTACGGCCTTGGGGGGGGGGGGGGTATGCATAAAATTGCTATGCTATGTAAATAAAACAACAATTTGCTAAACCTTGTCCACAATGTCTGGACTTGTCTTCATATAAATCAATGCATAGATTTCTTTTTATATGATTGTGGTTATGGTTGTACTTTATTAATCCCTAATCTCTGCCATTACATACAATGAAACAATAAATGGTAAAAAAAAGAAAAACAGATCAATATAATACAATATACGATTAGACATTGTAAAAAAAATAATTTTAAAAAGTCCATCCCATGTGTTTGTGAAAAATTTTTATATTTTAGGCATGAAATTAGTTTTAAAATGTAGACATTTTTCTGGGTTGGGACCTCCAGACACCCTGAAACATTTGGGTCTCCCCCAATGTTGACCCCATGGCTATGGCCTTGGCTTCAGCATTACTGTAATACAGGCACGACCTAACCGTGTTCGACCATTGAGTGTGTCATCAGTCGTCAGGCTTTGCTTGAATCAATGCCGGGTGAGCTGACCCAGCCTCTCTGTTCTCTATGCGTCCTCACCTAGTTCCTGTCTGCAACCTTAACGCTGCCCCCTGAGTGAGTGGCTGGGTTAAGTTCGGAGGCCAAGTTCGGCCAAAAGCCATCGTGCATCCATCTCTCCAGCAAGAGAGACAGGGGGTAGAGAGGGAGGGAAGGGGTAATGAGAGCAGAGCGTGAAATCTTTCATTTAAAAATGGGGGGGGGGGGGGGGGGGGGGGCGGGGAGGGGTTACATAAAGCAAAGCATTAAAAAAAACTAAATGATGAACGAAGCAAAGTACCGACTACACCGAGCATCTTCGCCTTTCTCTGATCGTAAACATAAAACAGAGAGGGGGGCCTCCCGCGGTTAGCCCCACGGGGCAGCGGCTGCGGACAGCAAACGCCGCCTTGGCCGAGGCCGAAAGAGGGCCCCCCGCTGCTGTTGTGGTTTAACTTTCCTCTTCCGGTGGGGTGGCCACGTTTTCTCAGCTGTTTGAGAATGTTGTCTAAGCCAGTGGCTTCTCAATCTTTGTTTGGCGACGGTACCCACTTTGTTGAACTTTAGTTTTCAACTGAGTTACCTTGCCACCCCCCCTGTCACCCCCAATTTGCTTGACCCAAAATAGTTTTGAGAAATAAATAAATGTGATGGATAATGAACATCAGTATTTTAACCAGTGGTCCATTTTGAAGTATCCTAACAAATGCGTAGCTCTTGCAAGCGAATAAAATAAAATCCAACCGACTTGGAAACCGCATTGTTTACGATCAATGAGTTTAGGAAGGTGTGTTTTTTATCGTCATTGGTTACCATATAGATTTAAATTATATTGTTATTTTATATTGGCAGATTCATACGTGATTATTCACCAACGACTCTAATGTATGATGTAATTTCACTCGTTTCTAAATCACCTCACGTACCCCCCAGAGGTCCGTGTACCTCCGGTTGAGAACCACCGGTCTAATGGACAGAATGACCGACCACACGTTAGTTTATGAGACCTCCTTTGCCAGTAACAAGATATAGTAATAGGTTTTAACCTTTTAACTGGCACAAAAACTGACACCTTTATTCAAGGCATCATGTTTGTAATAACCACAACACAAGCAGTCAAAATGCAATCAAATTCAAGGACAGTGCATATTATTGTCAGAGTTGTCTCTTTTGTTTGCATTTTGACTGCTTGTGTTGTGGTTATTGCAAACTTGATGCCTTGAATAAAGGTGTCAGTTTTTGTGCCAGTTAAAAGGGTAAAACCTATTACTATACTACACACGTTAGTTCTTTTGGAGATGGTGGTCTGGATAATGCTGAGAGCCATTGTGCATGCAATCTGTGTGCGTTGTTAAAAGCCCCTCTGGCAGGCCCAACAACCACGGTGGCATGCTCAGAAGCATCTCGGAAGTGGCTGGGCATGACATCGGTGACTTGTGTGTGTTGAAGACTGACCGTCTGACAGCCGTGTAGTTGATTGGAGAGCACATTGCACATGTTGACCCGGGAAATCCTCGCTGAGGCTCAATACTCTTTCTCAGGAGGGCCCTGGCAAGTTTGCCGCAGTAGGGGGTTGATGTTTCTGCTGCTGTGTGCAATCCCAATTCAGTCATTTGCAGGTAATTGTTCAGCATTTGGATGTGGTTTTACCAATACTGGTTACACTGTGTGTTTAGCTATAGCAGGAAATCAGAAAACCCGGAGAACATACAAACTCCACACACTCGCATACTCTGACCATGCAGAAAATGGGGAGTGCAAACTCCGAGTATGGAATCGATCTCGGGAACGTCTTGCTGTGAGGCACAAGTGTGTAACCACTGCGCCATCCCTGGACACGTCCTCAGTTGGCACCGCTGCAACTTGTGTGGGCCCTGTCTGGCGAGGAACAGATTGAGCAGCCGGCTTGCTGCCCTTGCGATCGGATCCTCGGACCCCGGTACAGGGTACCCGCGGAAAGGATTGTGACAAGGAACAGCAGTGGCGTGGAAAGCCCAGCCATTCGCAGCACTTGCCTGCTTAGTTGGTGCCAATGCACTGGCAGTCTCCGAACAGATCTTGTAACAATGAACATGTTATGTTGTTATTGTGTATGAGCAACATATTTATCAGATAATGCAATATTATACACCCTCTGAATACATCCATATTTAAAACATTGCATGCATAATGTTCCAACAACCTACTGAATTCGCTCTTTGGTTCTTTCGGTAAAGTCACGTAGAGAGAAAATAAATTGAATAGAGTACGATGTTTCAATTGCAACACAAGCAACCGTCATCAGGTAGAATTACATTTGAGAGAGAGACAAAACACAGAAACGGAGACACAGACACACAAGCAGAGAGAGACACACAGAGACACACATAGAGAGACACACAACATCGACACACAGAGACCCAATGCCTTAAATAGAGAGAGAGGGGGGTGGTTGGCCAGAGAGAGAGGTGGGTCTGCTGGGGCAGAGAAATTAGCATGTCAATGAAAGACCCAACAAGACTGGTACATTTTAGAGAGAGTTGTGTGGAATTCCACCCCGAAGCGACCGGGGGAGAGAAAGAGGGAATGGACCTGTGAGAGCCTGGTACATTTTAGAGAGAGAAATAGGCCGTTTGAGAAAACAAAATGTAGCGATTTTTTGGGAAATGTAATGCAATGCAACACAGAGTCGGCTAACACACAGTTAACGCATAGCCTGGTTGATCGTGTATTGCTGGTAGGCTAGTGTTTTTATTTTGGTTTGAATAAAGTTTGTTTTCGCTCTTTCCTTTAACGTCCAGGCAAGTTTGTTTTGTATTAATATTTTATCGAATTCAACACCAGTTTTAAATGTGTCCGCGTTTTGATGGTCATTGCAGAGGCCGGTGCGAGGTGAACCGTGAAGAACCGTCACGAGCCGTGAATTTCTACTGCTGAGATATGGCCACAACGGAAACGAACACCATGGAGAGGTTTGTGTAACAATTCACGACATACCCAGTGTGTGCAGGGAACCACGACCGTCAGTGACTCTGTTGTGCAATGAGTGTGCACGGAGTTGATGAGTGAGCGAGAGGTGGACTTGGATGACAGCGTGAGTGAGCGGTGTGCTCAGGGTCTACATGGACTACAACGCCACCACACCATTGGCCCCGGAGGTGGTGGAGGACATCAGCCGGGCCCTCACGGAGGCCTGGGGCAACCCGAGTAGCTCCTACGGGCCAGGTGAGTGCCAACTCACCCGCAGCAGCGTTTTGAGGGGCTCACACTGGCTTCTTGGAAAATACGAAAATCACACTCTTACCACCCCTCCCATCACCCTCTCACCACCGCTCCCATCACACTCTCACCACCCTCTCACCACTGCTCCCATCATCCTCTCACCACCCCTCTCACCACCCTCTCACCACCTCACCATCCCTCTCACCACCCTCTCACCATCCCTCTCACCACCCTCTCACCACTTTCTCACCACCCTCTCACCACCCCTCCCATCATCCTCTCACCACCCCTCTCACCACCTCACCATCCCTCTCACCACCCTCTCACCACCCCTACCATCAGCCTCTTACCACCCTCTCCACCACCCCTCCTATAACCTCTCGCCACCCCTCCCAATCACCCTCTCGCCACGCAATTTAATGTGACTAGCTCTGACAGGACACCACTCGCGTGATCTCACCAGGTCACTCACAACGTAAGCACGCTGTCTGTTGCACACCATCACCTGGGACCCCGTAGCAGTCGTACACAGCGGTGTGCACGCGTCTCCCATGAATGACGCACACGGCAGGTGAATTCAACCGTGAAGGCCGTTCGTGCGTTACATCCAAACGCTCTTTGTTTCGTTTCCTGCCATTTTGAGGTGGTATGCCTTATGCAGTGAGACGGAAACTCCTCACTGTGGGTTGGCAGTATCAGAGGCCCCACTTACAAGCGGCCGAGGAGCAAGCTGGGTTTGTGCGTTAATAGCGCAGCATGCCATGAACATACCTACACAGAAAGACAAGAAGTTCAGGTACAGCGTATAAAATGCATAATGATTGGTCTCGTTTGGGCTACAGGTCCGTTGGCTGGGACGGTTAATCGTAAGGCTCTATCAAGAAATTCTGTCTCTCGCACAATCAATCTTCTCGAAATTTCTTCCGCCTTTTAACACTGTTGTTCACCCCACTCTTCTTTCCACTGTCTCTGACTTTCGCATCTCCGGCACTCCCCTCTCCTGGCTCCCCAGTCTCCTGCGACCACTCCGTGTCCTCGCCTTCCCATCTCAGTGGTGGTCTTCTCCAGGGTTCAGTTCTGGGTTCCTCGCTATTCTCTCTCAATATTTCACCTCTTGAATCTATTATTTCCTCTTTCTGCTTTCCTCATCATTTATTTGCTGACAACGACAACCCAAGTATTTCTTCTCCTTTCCCTCTCTCACCTCTGACCTGTCCTCTTGTATCTCCACCTGTCTGCCATCCAGTCTTGGATGGCACTTCAATATCAATCTTTCCAAATCATCGATCATTTTCTTTCCAGCCTCTCGCTCTCTTCCACCCGTACCACCATCTCCTTCCCTCCTCTCTTTCTGTCCTGCTTCCTCTGCCCTCAACCTTGGTGTCACCTTTCACTCTTCTCTCACTTTATCCACCAGTCTCCACTACTACTCACATCTCCCGCCTTCATCTGTTCAACATCAGGAAAATCTTCCCTCTCATTTCACATTCTGCCCCCAAACTCCTGCTTCATTCTCTGATCTTGACCTGTATGGACGAATGTAATTCCCTTCTTCTTGGCCTCCCTGCCTCTGCCCTCACTCCCCTGCAATAAATTCAAAATGTTTCTGCACGGGTTATTTTCAATCTCCCCTTTAACTCTCACATTCTGCCTCTCCTCCTTCAACTCCACTGGCTTCCCGTTCACTACACCACTGTCTTTTCAGATACCTGACGCTCATCTTTAAATCTCTTCATGGCCTTGCCCCACCTAATCTTGCATCTAATCTCCTTCCATGTCCCCTCTCATCCTCTTCGTTCTCAATCTTCTCCATCTCTCTCTGTCGCTCCTTCTCCCAGTGCCCAATCAAGTTTCTGGTCCTCCTTGCACCCCTACACTGGAATCAACTCCACTGTACATTAAGCGGTCCCCCTCCTTAACCTACTTCCATTCCTCAATCAAAGCCTCGCCTCTTCTCTGTTACTCATTCTCGTCCCCCTTGCCCCTCCACTTCTTCCCGTCCCTCCCCTACCCTTCTGTGATCACGAAGTACCTCTCTATCACCGTCACTTTGTCTTCAATCCTTGCACGCCCCTGCCATCTAAATCATTTTATTGTGTCATCTTGTTTAACTATGTCAAGCACCTTGAGTGAAGGTGCTCTATACATGTAAATTAGATTAGATTTGTAGAGGACTAGTTGCGGACATTACGTCGGGCTCGCTTCCAGGTGCGGTGACGTCATGGGATGTGACGTCATGCGTGCCTGCCGGCAGGATGACGTCATGTCTCGCAAGGGGATAAAAGCGGGAGCCCCGTGACGTCAACGGGGTCGTTGCGAGAGACAAGGGACAAAGAAGGGGAGAAGTTAGGGCCAGGGGTAAGGGGATAGGAGTCTGTAGAGAGGCCAGCGTAAGAGCTAGGCGTGGCTACGCTCCTCGGTCGGCCGATGCTGGGTGAACCCTCGGCCGGTGCAGAGGAGGCAGCCCGGGCAGCTCGCTGTGCTAGGGGACAGGCAGAGCCAGGGGTCCGAGTGTAGGACCGAGCCTAGGACCCCTACCCCTGGGGGAAGTGTCGGTAGACTGTTGTATTGGCGCAAGCCCTTAAACAAACACCGGCAAAAGCCCTTCTCTCAGGAACCGTCTCCGAGTCGTCCAGTGCTCCTCAACAGATTTATAGAAGCAGAAGTAACTTGAATCCAGAATACAAAACTAGAGAAAGCCCCTTGGGAATGATGGCCAAACGGTGCGTGGTATTTTTATGATTATTATACCTGCAGTATTAATCAAGGAGGCCGCCGGAATAGAACCGCGGACGTCAGAAACAAGCAGCCAATGCGCTGCCGCTGGACCGCATCACTGAAGCGCTTTAGAACGACGATTTCCCTCGCGTGGAGACGCTTGAGGGACGGACATCGAGGAGCACGCAGAACCACTGCAGTTCTGACTCCCACGTGTGCTGCGTCGTTTGCATTGTCACCTCAGTCGCCTCGTCACCAAACCAATAAGCATCCGCTGGGTTATTTTTCACGGAAATAAGTGTGGACATTCCTGTCAGGCCTCGCTCAAGCTGATCGAGTTGCGTGGCTGGGTCTACGGTGTTCTGCGTGGCTCTGCTCTCTGTCGGTTACCTTGCAGGTCAGAAGGCAAAGGCACTTATTTGCCGGGCTAGAGGGAACATTGCCTCCATGCTGGGAGGGTGCCCAGAAGACATCATCTTCACGTCCGGGGGAACCGAGGTATCACTGGCCCACTGGGGCCGCGGACGGCTGCCCAGGCCCTCGGTGTACTCTGGCGATCATCACCCCCCACCCTGCTCGCCCACGTGCAGCAGCCGCGTGTCTTTAACAGAACAGCGGCGCAGCGGCGACAGTCACGCCTCGTGACAATAAGGCCCTGGGTTAGATTCCCGACCCGAGCAGCTCTCTGCGTGGAGTGTGTATGTTCTCCCCCTGTTCTGCATGGGTGCTCTGGTTTCCTCCCATAGCTAAAAAAAAAAACCCAATACACAGCAGCCAGTATTGACCAAAACATGCCATGCTGAAGAATGATTTGCAAATGACTCAAATGGGATCACACGTGGCAGCAACTTTGCCTCCCTTCTGAGAAAACTTGGCAGTACCCTCCTGAAAATGAGTCTTCACACTCAGTGAGGCTGTCCTGGGTAATCAAGCGTAGTAGTAGTAGTAATAATAATGAACGTGCCCCCACATGTATTGCAGCATGCACGTATCCTGTAAAGCGTGATGCAAAACCTGGCAAGGAGCGTATGCTCGCTCTGTGGATTCTTGAGACAGGCCTTAGACCCCTTGGCCTGCTTTAGGCTGCAGGTGCCACCCTTTTTACGCATCTTCAGTTGTAAAACTCCAAAATACTCGAGGTGGTGCAAAACAAAGGAAAATCAACTAAATTAGATTTAATGTTTACATGCCCCTTAAAATATAAGTCACACTGTTTGTGTTTGAATATTGCTATGCAATTAAACCCAAATAGAACATCCGGGCCCAATCTTCCACGCTGTGTGAGTCTACATGGCAGCCTCTTTAATGCCTCGACTTAGGAACACGCAGATGGTGGACATGGATGTCTACATGATTTCAGGTGGTTAAGTTCAGGTGGTTAAAGGACTGGATCGGAATGAACAATGGAATCATTGTTGCAGAAGTAAAAAAGCAGCAACCAATTGTTGTTTATATTTCACCTGGAAAATCGCGTGAGACGAAAAACGTGCCGTTTGCAAAGTGTTCATAGCCGCCGATGGACAGGTTACCGGGGTTAACTCGCTGCCGTGTTCTGCTGCGCCAGGCAAACAACTTGGTGCTGCACACGGCTGTGAAGCACTTCTGGAAGACGCGGAGCGCCGGCGGGCGAGAGGACGGGGTGCCAGCCGCGGGGAGCCGAGGGGCGGCGCTGCCGCACATCATCGTGTCCTGCCTGGAGCATGACTCGGTGCGCCTGGCGGTGGACAGCCTGGTGGCGGAGGGCCGGGCAGGTACAGGCAGAGCCCCCGTGTCACCACGGGCCTCCACGTTATGACACCGGCACCACCTCGACAGCCAGACGCGTGGCGCGGTGCTGCACCTCCAGCCAGGTGGCGGCCAAGCGGCAGAGCGAGCGGATCGCGATCGCAAGGTCGCGAGTGTTCACATTTTGGTTGGGGGTTGACTCGGCACATCATCGCTCGGGTTGATAAAATAGGTACCACTGGCAAGTAAGTCAGCAGTGATTGTCCTGTGAATAGACTCGCCCCCGCTGTAGGAATGTGGATTTTTCTCCCACTGGCTCAGGGCTGTAAATGGGAGATGAGCGCCGCCTCAAGCTCATTTGAGCCGGAACCACATTCTGGGATTGCTCTCTCTCCATCGCGATGCTCCTCATACATGGGGCAGTGCAGCATCGCTTGTGCATTTTCCAAGCAATTTATTAAACGGAAAAATGTACAGCGCACTGCAAGGACACAACAGGAGAAATATAACTAAACTTTTTTTTATTTTTACCAGCTAAGGCCTACTGGGCTATATAGCTCTTTTTCAGAAGTGACCTTGCCACAAATGATAGCTCAATGGAGTGGCGTATGTGGTTTTACAGCAGCCAAATACTCTAAACGCAAGTTTCTAAATGTGGAGAGAAAAACCGGAAGACCTGGAGAAAAATCCATGCGACCACAGGGAGAACATGCAAACTCGAAATATACAGGCGTCACTGCCGACGCCAGTGATATCATTTGTTTATCTGGAAAAACCTCACCGAGTCTAAATAAATGGGAAGTATCCTAAAAACTGCAAATGTGAGGTGTAACTCGCAGAGGCCTGCACAGATGCTCAACCTAGGCTGCGGAAACCTCAAAGCTAAGTTGATGTCCACTTTCCATCCATCCCATCGCCTGGCCATGTTTCCACCGCTGGCGTCTTGCGTGCCTCATCGACCCTCTGTATGAAACTGTCATCGTATTCTTGGTCGCAACGTAGACACGCAAACTAACAAAACGCCGCTCCCCCTCATCTGCTGCAGACTTTACGGCAGTGCCAGCCTCGTGGGTGACGGGGCGCGTGGAGGTGGACCAGGTCCTGGCTGCCATCCGCCCGACCACCTGCATCGTGTCGATCATGCTGGCCAACAATGAGACCGGCATCATCATGGTGAGGCGCACGGGGCTTGCGCAAGGCTGGGACTGGGCCCAAGGCTAGGGCTGGGGTGGAGCCAAGTCTCGCGGTAGGGATGAGCCTGAGCTAGAGCTAGGCCTTGGGTTAGGGATGAGACTTAACAACACACAAAGGTGTGCTGCTCACGCACACTTCAGGAAGGCACACTCCCACCATGCTATGCCTGTGTAAATGCACGTGTTCAATCTTTTTTATTACAATTTTAGTCGTGCGTTTTGGTGTTTTGGGCCTGTGGTCAGCAACTGTTAATAATCCAATAATTTTTGCAGTGCATGTCATAGCGCACATTGCCTGTACAGTGCTCCCAGTTGAAGACGACGCGCTGCCAATGGGGATGGCCGCATCTTCAACTTTCTTTGAGCCGATGGCCTAGCCCAGGGGTGGGCAACCAAAATAACAAGAAGAGCCATTTTTGTTTCGAATTCGGTAAAACGTTCAATATTTCAAGAGCTGCAATGCATGTGAATGCGAGACGGTGGTCCTAAATAAATAACGTCACGAAGCGGTCCTTAAAGGGCCGCATGTGGCTCTGAAGCCGCAGATTGCCTATCTCTCATCTAAACGATAACACGGTCACACGTCCAGCTCTACCGAGCTGGTGGCTTAGACAAGGCTGAGAGCTCCTTTTTTTGCTCACTTGTTGTGCGATGTACTCACCGCTTTGTGCAGTGACATTTTGGTATCCAGCTCTCAGAACTAAAATTTTTGCGATACTTTGACTTTCCCGTGCATGTGGCTTGTCACCAGAGTGAGTAAACTGAATATTGACACGGGCTCCCGTAGGAGACCACGGCGCTGGCTCCGCTGTCTTGCCGTAGACGAGTCGATCGCACAGCACCCTTCTCGGACGCGTTGCCGAGGAGCCGCGGAGCAAGACGGCGAATGTGCCGCTAACGAGCACGTGTTTTGGGGCAGCCGGTCGCGGAGATCTGCCGGCGCGTGCGCGCAATGCGAGGAGGGGGCGCGATGCCGCGTCTGGGCCGCGTGCTGCTGCACACGGACGCCGCCCAGGCTCTCGGCAAAATCAGGGTCAACGTCGAAGAGCTCGGGGTGGACTACCTCACCGTCGTGGGGCACAAGGTGTCGCAAACACGAAGACAAAGGTCCCCCCGTGTAGACCTTTAAGAGGCCGCTGGGGCAAGCGCTGTTAGCGAGTAGCACCTATGAAGGCCGTGCGACGCATGAGGGGGTGAGTGGCCAGCGTCACACCCGACCGCCTTTTAATGCTCTGTGGCGTTGTTTACACACTGCTTCAGGTACTCATTGGAGGCCGAGTCGACTTAGGGGAGGCCCGTGACTGGTTAATAAATTTTTGTAACTGATTTTGGCCGTGAGCGGGAATCAAACTTGGGTCGCCGGGTTCGTAGCGCATTGCACCACCTCTCTATGCACAAAGACACACGCGTTTATAAACGTGGAGGGGAAAACCGGAGGACCCAGAGAAAAATCCACGCAACCACAGGGAGTCGGGATCGAACCAATGACCTCCTGCCGCGGCACCACACCGTACACACACCCACAAAAACACAGCGACGAACAGATGCAAAAAGCGGTGCACCCGTCAGTCATCTCATTCGAGCCAAAGTGAACCTAGCCCGGCACAAGCGCTGCAGTGACGTCATCACCACTTGTTGTTTATGCGCGTGTGCAGTTCTACGGGCCGCGCGTGGGAGCGCTGTGCGTGCGGGGCCTCGGCGCCGGCACACCGCTCGTCCCCATGCTCTTCGGGGGCGGCCAGGAGCGCAACTTTCGTCCGGGGTGAGGACCGACGCCACGGCGACGTTGCTCTCGTTCACAGCGGTAAACGACGGAAGCGCGAGCGCGGGGTCCATGAAAGTGCAAAGATGCGCATCGCGCGTTCCGAAGCGCTCCGCCTTCTCCAGACCGCCGGCTCAAGGGAACTGAATGCGTGGCCATTTTGTCGCTTAGAGCGACAGTTCGTAGAGTGGGGAAATGTGGTTGGCTGGCGACATTCTTTGTGGTCCCGCGTGCTGCCTGTCCCCGGCCCTGTCCCCCCCCCTACCCCCCGTCGTGAGCAAAGCAACCCACGAAATGTCTGGCTGCTTGACGGGAAGGCACGAAGGGAATGACGCAGGCCGTTTGTCTGTTGCCAGGACTGAAAATACCCCCATGATTGCTGGCCTGGGCAAGGTGAGTGCTGCGGTGGTATGGTCGTGGCCACGAGATGTTCAACCAAACATAGATCCATGCAGGTTTCACCGTCTAGAGACATTTTAGTTATCTCTCACACCCCACAGCCATCCCTCGAATCAAACACCTTAGCTCATCTACAGGTGTTTGTAATGTACTAGTAGCTTTGAGGTATCCTCACAGAGTTTAAAATCCTTACAATGTAACTGGTATTCGTCAACATCTGAACACTGAAAAATGACCTGCTTAATTGATCGGTTGGGATTACACGCGGCAACATCGCCCCCTGCTTCAAACACTTGGCAGGACCCTCCTGAAAAGAGTCTTGAGACTCTTGAGTTAAGCTTTCATGGGTAAATAGATATAATAACAATCGGGCATCGTACGGTAACGTTCAGCGCACGATGTTGCTTGTCGACGCGGCTGAGCATGTGGGGGCTCGTGTTTCCTCCGCTGCACCGCTGTGGGGCGGCCAGGCCGCGGAGTTGGTGTGTCAGCACCTGGACGAGTACGAGAGGCACATGCGGCAGACGCGAGACTACCTGGAGGAACTACTACTGGTGAGATGTGGCACATGAAGCACAGCAGGATGGAGACCCGACCCTCGAGGAGCAGAGGGTCAGCTGGAGTCGGCTGGGATTTTCCCGGGGCTCACAGCTGCGTTCTGCTCGGCCGTGTGTGCGCGTGTCTGCCGCAGGCGGAATTTGGGCCCGAGCGCCTGCACTTTAACGGCCACTTCTCGGGCTCCGACCGATTGCCCAACACCTGCAACGTGTCCATCCTGGGCCCCTGCCTGCAGGGTGCGCCCGCACTCCTCACTCGCCAGAGTCGTCTGCGCCGCTTGTTTACCCATAAAATGCGAGAATGAAACTCTAGCCGACGAAGCATGAATAAACGCAGCGGGTCAAGGACTGTGAAGCGCCTGGTGGTCATCCCGCTTGTGTTGGAACACCGCGGTCCGAGAGTTAAGAACCAAAAGCAGAGCCCTGCTAAACGAGCAAAGCATTAGACCGGGCATCCGAGGGAGCACCAGATCCGTGATGGTTATTTTATTATCACTGAAGACTCCAAAGACACTTTTTCATGGAGGGTCTTGCCAAGTTTCTTTTTCGGTCGGGGACGATCTTGCTGTGTGTGTAATTCCGATTCAGGAATGTTTTGGGTCGTTGTTCAATATCGGGACATTAGGCCAATTGCAGCTCCATTGGTTTTATCGTTCGCCCGGCAGACTCGCCAAGATCTTTCTCTGCTCTCAAAATAAATAATCAATTCGCCTCCTTCCCATGTTTTCCTCTCCACACAATTAAATTAAATGATTGGTTACACACCCCATCGGCCACACGTCCTTCTTGGAGTTTACTCTTCCAGCAGCATTGGTTGATCACAAGGAAACGCTGGACAGGTTTCGACATTCTGTGTCGCATCAGCAGTCGGGCTCGCTTGAACCAATGCTGGCGAACTGCCAGATGTTTATAGACAAAGACCTGGCTGTGTTAGATATGGGGTCCTGGTTCGAGTAAAAACCATATAATATATACAACACAAGATAATCATTAGCTTATGGAGAGTAACAAAATAACGTTAAAATATATTGATTTTACGAGTTCCTCAAAGCACAAACTTTATAACGTCCACAAAATAGATGGCGAGTGTAACGCAAGAGTGTTGCGAGACCGGGTGCATGCATGCGTTTGCACTTTGTACATTGGTGATGTGGGTTAACAGTACGAGCCAGATCCACGCGTCGATGGAAGGCTGCGTTGGAAATGAAAGTATCTGGTTACAGTAATAAATCCACAAGTCAGATTTTGATCATCGGAGCTTCCCAGAATTGCATGTATGTAGCACAGTCGTCTAACGGCTTGGGGGGAGGGTGAGGATGTGATTTGGCCTACAATGCAATAACTAAACTATTTTAAATGTTTTACCAGGTAAAGCCCACTGAGCTATGTCGCTCTTTTTTAGAAGTGGCTTATCACGTGGAAATTTATATCGGCCAAATACTCTAAACGCACATTTCTAAATGTGGAGGGAAAAGCCTGAGGATCAATACACGGTTGATGAGGCCGCCAACTCGGTGCTTCTACATGTATCGATTCCATCTCGTTCACTCGCATTGACTTTACCTCCTTGGCTTTCGTCGCAGTCGTCGCAGTCGTCGCAGTCGTCACGAGCCTTGTGAAGCCACGGGGTGGCTTCACAAGGCTCGTGAGTGGCGCGTGAGTGGCGCAGGCCGTAACCTGTCACAGCATCCCCCGCCCGTGTCCTACCCCCTCAGGCCACAGGGTGCTGGCGGAAGCTCACGGCCTGCTGGCGAGCGTCGGGGCCGCCTGCCACTCTGGCAACACCCACCGGTGAGCAACAGTGGCGTGATTACTCATATTATGATGTTTCTGCTTGTTTACACAGGAGAGCTTCACCAAGTCAATTCTTTTTCGGGAGGCTCCTGCCAAGTTTTCACAGTAGGTGGTCATGTTGATATGTGTAGAGGAGTCAGAGACTGGTTCAGCGCTTCTTTATTCTCTAAACCACAGCCACTCGTTCCTAAAACCAACTCCTCTTTAATACCCTCCATATCCGCCCTCGTTCTCAATCCAGATCTCCGTCTTGTACGCCGAGTCCATGTGACGTCAGTGCCCTTTAACCCTTGACTCCCGTTTAGTGTATTCCCGTGCGTGTGATTGGTGTGTGCTATGCCGAATGCGGAGATTTAATGTCTGCGTGGTGCGAGTGTGTGAGGATGGCTTGCAGATCCCCTACATGTGTAATCCCAATTGAGAAATTTGCAGGTAATTTTTCAGCATTGGGATTATTTGGCCGATGTCAATTGCATTGTGTGTGTTTTTTCTGTCAGTGCTTGTCGGTCGAAATTTTTACCATTTGGAAGACAGTAGCAGTGTTGCTGATCCATAACCCAAGCAGTGCGAGTACTAACCCGGCTCCCTAGGAGGTCCACAGTGGCACGTGGAAAAAGCTTCATTAAATAATTATTTTAGACACAGACCAACCTGGAGAAACTGCACTGCACCTGGAACTCAAGAGACTATCTTAGCTTCTTGAGATCTCACCTGGCGAAAAAAAATAAAAATTATCGCGGCTGGCAAAATCTCATTGCTCTCAGCTGGCGGTGAACCTCGGCCCTCGGTCGCCAGGCACGTGAACGTCTTGGGACGGTCGTGAAGTGGACGGAACCGCGTGTCCCTACAGGCCGTCGCACGTGCTGCTGCAATGTGGCGTACCGGAGGAGGTGGCTCTCAACGCCGTGCGCCTGAGCGTGGGCCGCGAGACGAGCCGTCGCGACGTGGAGCGCGCCGTCTCCAGCCTGCGCGCTGCGGTCACCACGCTCACGGCACGGGGCCCCGCCGGGACTGTTCCTCGCGTCGCGACTCCCCCGGCGGAAGACTCCGCGCCCACAGAGCAAGAGTCCGTGTCAGACAATGATGTGAACTCCACTCCAATAAATATAATTTCTAATTCCGGAGACGCTTAGAGAAATAATCGAGCGAGATGGCTGGGCGGCTGACGCGCGCATTGGCGCGCCCATTTCACGTCGCTGAGATGTTCGGTTCAAATCCAGGGAGCAAGCAGCCAGGCCCAATTAAATCAGGTTCTCGTATATCGAGAGTTGATTGCAACTTGTTCACCAACAACTACACAAAATACGACTTATTTTTTATTGCACTTGTTTACCCATGGAAGCCTCAGTCTCGACTCTTTTTCAGATTTATCAGTAGGGGGCGATGTTGCCACGGGAATTGTAGTAAAGTAATTTGCCAGTAATTTTTCAATACCAGAAGTGTTTTTTTTTAGCTGTGGGAGGAAACTGCAGAACCCGGAGAAACCCCATGTAGAACAGTGGGAGAACATACAGACTCCACACACAATTCGAACCCCCCAGGCCTTTCTTGCAATGGCCCACAAACGTTACCACTGTGCTGCCGCCGCCATCCTTCCGTCCTCTAAACATGAGCTTTCACTTAATTGGCCGGGCCCAGCTCTGAGTGTTGATTCAACTTACTCGGGCGACTGCCGTCTGGTGACTCATTGCTGACGAGGTTTGTGGTGCTTTGCGAGAGAGGCCTCTGCTGGAATTACTGTGGACATGATCTGGTTTAGATTGATGTTTCTAGTTGCATGGTGTGATCCGCACGGCAGTGGGAAGTTGGTGTTTCCGACAGATTGAAATATTGCCCGAGTGAATTTTTATGTCCAAACTTGACGTGAACCTTACAGGACAATATTCTCCGGTTTAACAATGCAGTGGAAAGTAAGACACTCCCCCAACTCTTGGATTAAAAAAATACTACGTTTATACGGGTTAAGTATGCAGTCGTGACGTTACACAGAACGTGAGCACCGCGGTATTCGGCGTGACGTGCAGTGGCACTGTCTTACAGATCGTGGCGGTCTGCACACCATGCCTCCTGAATGCACAAACACGCAGAACCATGTTCCGGCTCCGCGTGCTAATAAAAAAACACATCTGTAATGAGTTTCTGTACAGCACCAGTGAAACGTTTTCATTCCAGTCACTCGATGAAATCCCTTTGACGAGTTGTACGCAGGCCGAGTGGCACGTACACGGAGTGGCACGCAGTCTTAGTGGCATATTGATGGAGTAACACGCAGTCTGAGTGGGACATAGATGGAGTGGCATGTAGACTGATATGCAGCTTGAGTGATATGCAGGCTTGTGATATGCAGGCTGAGTGATACGCAGGCTGAGTGGCACGCAGGCTGAGTGGCACATAAACGGAGTGGCACGCAGGCTGAGTGGCACGCAGGCTGAGTGGCACATAAACGGAGTGGCACGCAGGCTGAGTGGCATATAGATGGAGTGGCACGCAGGCTGAGTGGCACGCAGGCTGAGTTGCACGTAGGCTGAGTGGCACGTAGGCTGAGTGACACGTAGGCTGAGTGGCACAGAGACGGAGTGGTACACATTAGGTACTGAGCACAGTTGTAACATGGTGCCAGGTTTCGGGCCCATTGCTAAATGTTAACTTTGCTTTCAAATATGTACATCAAGGCACTTCCAGATAAATGTCAACAAGACAACACTTGTGTGGGATACTAAAGCTGTGGGCAAGCAGAGGCCCAGAAAACCCAACTGCTGCCAGGCCCAGGGTAGGGTGGTAACGATATTGCCCCCAGGTTGATGCATTGCCATGGTCAGGGTTAATGAGTCAATTCAGCAATTGATTCCTGCCCACATTGCTTGTAGAATGTATAGCAGCGCCATCAACTAACGATATACTTTGTGTATGACTTGAGAATAGAAGATGACGACTCGCACAAATAGGTACATTTGGTATGGGCAGTGGTGATATTTTTAAATGTGTCCAAGAAGACTGGAGACGGATCGCTTGAGGCAACACGTGTATGTAATACAACTGCGTGATACACGGGTCCCTAACACAGAGGGGTAGCGGCCCCTCTACCCGATACCTGGGGAGGTATAGCCTCCGGGCTAGCCTGTCCTATCACTGGGGCTAGTACTCTCAACCTTCCGGCTAAGGGGACCTAAGGGGAGGCTATCTGACCCGACCCAGCCAAGGTACACGGGTCCCGACCACTGGCCCACTACAGCCCCGGCCCTTAGAAGGACCTCAGGTCTGGGGGTTCCCAGGGTCGACCACTGGCCCACTACAGCCCCGGTCCTTAGAAGGACGGCGGGTCTGGGGGTTCCCAGGGTCGACCACTGGCCCACTACAGCCCCGGCCCTTAGAAGGACGTCGGGTCTGGGGGGTTCCCAGGGTCGACCACTGGCCCAATACAGCCCCGACCCTTAGATGGACGGCGGGTCTGGGGGTTCCCAGGGTCGACCACTGGCCCACTACAGCCCCGGCCCTTAGAAGGACCTCGGGTCTGGGGTGTTTCCAGGGTCCTAGCCTAGCTGGTCTTCTTTCTTCAGCTTGACGAAGACTGCCGGACTCGTTCAGAGGTCCGGCTTTTATACTCGTGCCATGGCCACGCCCTCCTTCTGGGACTCTCTCGGGGGCTCTGGAATCCCCCACCCCCTATGGACACGTGTCTGCTACTACAGGTGAGTCTATACAATGCTTGTCAATGATGCTCCTCGAGGCGAAATTGATGAGAACATTGATCCTGCTGTAATTTCTGTAGTAAGGGGAACGTAAATGCGTATGGTGGTAAGAATTGGTTTTATCTATACCGCTGTACGTGAGTTTTGGGTTATAAAAATAGGTTTTACCTTTTCTGTGAATAAAACAGCTGTTTTGAGATGTTAACACACCAAACTGAAACCTTTTGCAAGGAATTCTGTCTGCATTAACCATAGATTCTTGTGGTGAACATGCAAACAAATCATGCCCTGATATATGCATTATCTTTGAAACTGATTGGCCCACACCAGAGACAGCTTTCTTTAGCGCCTGGTCTCACACAGTGTTAGACCAGAGGAAGCTAAAAGACGAACAGCACAAAGACAACCATGGGGTTGTTTAGTCAACTGCATTGCTATACATTGGTAGAGGCAATCAGAATACTGCGAGAAACTCCACGGGAACATTGGGGGAGGAAGGGGAGAGGGGTGGTTAACGCTCAATCTCCCAACAATTTCCCGAGCTCTGTGTTCCTATATGGGGATGTTTGTCGAACCCCCACATTATGGACGAGCCACGACACGAATGTGAGGTGACCGGTGGCCCTCCACGTGTTCGATGGAGGGCCGCTCACGCCGTCAAATCTCCGACCAGGCAGTTTTGTGGCGTTGCACGCGCAGGGAAACAAGCGGACAGTGCCGGATTATCGTAGTAGCACAAGTAGCTACAACACGTGTAGCTGCTGATTGTGTAGCTACTACTTGTGTAGTAGCTACTACACGTGTTGTAGCTACTACACGTGTTGTAGCTACTACACGTGTTGTAGCTAGACAAGTAGTAGCTACTACTTGTGTAGCTACAAGTGTAGCTCTACAAGCTACTACAAGTAGCTACTACTTGTGTAGCTACTACTAGTACTACACATGTAGTAGCTACTAGTAGTAGCTGCTACTAGTAGTAGCTGCTACTTGTAGCTACTACAACTACAAGTAGCAGCTACTAGTGTAGTTACTACACAAGTAGCAGCTACACGTGTAGTAGCTACTTGTGCTACTACAACTACAGGTAGCTACTACTTGTGTAGCTACTACAAGTGTAGCTGTAGTAGCTACACTTGTAGTAGCTCTACAAGTAGCTACTACACGTACTACACGTGTAGTACGTGTAGTAGCTACACGTGTAGTAGCTACACGTGTAGTAGCTACACGTGTAGTAGCTACTACATGTGTAGCTGCTACTTGTGTAGTAGCAACACGTGTAGTAGCTACTTGTAGAGCTACTACTACACTTGTAGTAGCTCTACAAGTAGCTACACTTGTAGTTGTAGTAGCTACTTGTAGTTGTAGTAGCTACTTATAGTAGCTACTACAACTACAAGTAGCTTATAGTAGCTACACAAGTAGTAGCTACTACTTGTGTAGCTACTACAAGTGTAGTAGCTACAAGTGTATTTGTATTATTTTATTATTTCCCTTCTACGTGACTTTACTGAAAGAACCAAGAATATGAATCCCTGCAGTCACGAAAGCTTTAAATCGAAATGTGTTTAAGGTTAGCGATTTGTCGCATTATCCGGCTGTATAGCAAATAAAAAAGCAATTACTTTACTGTGCAACTTAAAAATGTCCGTGTTTAAATTATTGTCGTGTTGATTTATTTATTTAGGGCCCAGTTCTAACAACAGCGGCTTCAGCCCCAGCGTGGGAGGGGCGCGCCGGGACGGAGGGAAAACCTCGCGTCTGGCAACGGCCCCGCCCCCTCCACACCTCGCAGCCTCGTTGCTATGGAGACGCCGAGGACGCGGACAAGGCGACTGGGTGAGGCGACTGGGTGAGGTGACTCGGGTGAGGTGACTCGGGTGAGGTGACTTGGTGAGGTGACTGGGTGAGGTGACTTGGTGAGGCGACTGGGTGAGGTGACTGGGTGAGGTGACTTGGTGAGGTGACTGGGTCAGGTGACTTGGTGAGGTGACTTGGTGAGGTGACTCGGGTGAGGTGACTCGGGTGAGGTGACTGGGTGAGGTGACTGGGTGAGGTGACTTGGTGAGGTGACTGGGTGAGGTGACTCGGGTGAGGCGACTCGGGTGAGGTGACTGGGTCAGGTGACTTGGTGAGGTGACTGGGTCAGGTGACTTGGTGAGGTGACTTGGTGAGGTGACTGGGTCAGGTGACTTGGTGAGGTGACTGGGTGAGGTGACTGGGTGAGGTGACTTGGTGAGGTGACTGGGTGAGGTGACTGGGTGAGGTGACTGGGTGAGGTGACTTGGTGAGGTGACTGGGTGAGGTGACTTGGTGAGGTGACTGGGTCAGGTGACTGGGTCAGGTGACTTGGTGAGGCGACTGGGTGAGGTGACTGGGTCAGGTGACTGGGTCAGGTGACTTGGTGAGGTGACTGGGTGAGGTGACTGGGTGAGGTGACTTGGTCAGGTGACTCGGGTGAGGTGACTGGGTGAGGTGACTTGGTGAGGTGACTGGGTGAGGTGACTTGGTGAGGTGACTTGGTGAGGTGACTGGGTCAGGTGACTCGGGTGAGGCGACTCGGGTGAGGTGACTTGGTGAGGTGACTGGGTGAGGTGACTCGGGTGAGGCGACTGGGTCAGGTGACTCGGGTGAGGTGACTTGGTGAGGTGACTGGGTCAGGTGACTCGGTGAGGTGACTGGGTGAGGTGACTGGGTGAGGTGACTGGGTGAGGTGACTTGGTGAGGTGACTTGGTGAGGTGACTGGGTGAGGTGACTTGGTGAGGTGACTGGGTGAGGCGACTTGGTGAGGCGACTTGGTGAGGCGACTTGGTGAGGCGACTGGGTGAGGCGACTGGGTGAGGTGACTTGGTGAGGCGACTGGGTGAGGTGACTTGGTGAGGTGACTTGGTGAGGTGACTGGGTGAGGTGACTGGGTGAGGTGACTGGGTGAGGTGACTTGGTGAGGCGACTCGGGTGAGGTGACTGGGTGAGGTGACTGGGTCAGGTGACTCGGGTGAGGTGACTTGGTGAGGTGACTGGGTGAGGTGACTGGGTGAGGCGACTCGGGTGAGGCGACTGGGTGAGGTGACTGGGTGAGGTGACTTGGTGAGGTGACTGGGTGAGGTGACTGGGTCAGGTGACTGGGTGAGGCGACTGGGTGAGGTGACTGAGTGAGGTGACTTGGTGAGGTGACTTGGTGAGGTGACTGGGTGAGGTGACTTGGTGAGGTGACTGGGTCAGGTGACTGGGTGAGACGACTGGGTGAGGTGACTTGGTGAGGTGACTGGGTGAGGTGACTGGGTGAGGTGACTCGGGTGAGGTGATTCGGGTGAGGTGATTCGGGTGAGGTGACTTGGTGAGGTGACTTGGTCAGGTGACTCGGCCCGGGAGGACTACCACCAGTCAACCAGGTTGTGTGTGTCCACCTCCTGTGTGTGTACACCCTGTGTCTGTACACCCCCTGTGTGTGTCCACC